ACACTCTTCCGAATGAGCTACGGTAGCTACTGTTACAAACAGACTTGGGCCAGTTGGGGGGAGATGTTGTAACAACTCACCTGCACAAGGCTGCAGTGCAGAATAACCATGATAACTACACCCGGCCCCGGATGGCGCTCAAGCTTCGCACCGGGCCGTCGTCACCACTGCTCCGTGGTTTCCCATACACGTCATGTACATGTATGTACTACACTAGTCTACAGTGAAACCTCGTTAGGAAGAACACTGATAAAACAAATGTTTGCCTAAGGGGTCGTCGCAAAAGTTTTCTGTCGTCCCTGAAACGAACATCGTTCATCTCGTACTTGGACCCCCTCCCCTAGCCCTCCCTCTAGCTCTGAAACGAACACAGCTTGCTATGCTGGACGACGAAAATCGCATGCATGTACATGTCATATGTACAGTGTCGGTCGACTTGCGATTTTGGCTCGCACCCCCTCCCCCCAAATGAATCATGTTCGTTTCAGGGACGACAAAAAACTTTTGCGACGACCCCTAAGCTAGAAGAACTAGTATTCGTAACCATGGTAACTGTATTGGATAAAACACTGTGTACATGATTGTGTACTCACTGAGTAAAACATAATATTTGTGGATAAGAAGAACTACCGTTATTGCGAACAAAATTAATATCATCGGTCCCTTGATGTTCGTCCTAAAGACCTAAACTAAAGTCAGCAAAGAGGTTTGACTGTACTAGCAAGAGCTCATAACCAGGTTACTCTCCCCCCCCCCCCCCCCCCCCGCATACTGTATACTGGTAAGTACAAATTTTCGTTTGGAATTAACTTTCGCTATATCCGTTAGGATTAGAATTAGGTATCCCGCCATCATCTCCAACAAAGACCTACAGTGTTGGCCAAATGTTTGGGCCTACCCAAGAGAAAACAGGTTTCTAGAGAGAATCTTTGTATAGTGCACGAACAAAACTACTGAAGTTGGCTATCTACCGAAGAGATCATACTCTGATCCGTCTTTCGAAGGCTAGATAGTTGTAAAATAAAATAAAGTCAATTTAATCGAAAAAGCGTAGGCCCAAACTTACGGCCAAAATTAAAAAACAGCAAAATCCAGGTGGGAAGCTAATAGATATCAACTAAATCTAATCGAAATGATTTGTTTCCATGCTAAGAACCTATCAGTGAACTGTTTGCCCAATTTTACCACTTAGTAGGTCCTCTCTTTGCCTTGACGACAGCCTCCATGCGCGCCGGGATGGTCGAGACGGGTTTCGCGTACTTGTCCCTGCTGATCTTCCGCCACGCTGTCTTGCACACTTCCCCAGGCTGTGTTTCAGTTGATGGGACTTGGGGAACATCATGGCAGAGACAATTCAGTATTTCCCACAAATCCTCAGTCGGATATAGGTCCGGCGACTACGTCAGCCGCCCCAGTACGCGATATGGGCGGTCCGCCAATTACGCCTTTATCGCGTATGCGCGCGCAAATACATCATCCAGACCGCGCAACACATCGACCATGGACGGCTGCATACTGTTCTGCAGTATTCCTTGGTATTGGTCTGCTTTCATCGCTCCGTTAACGTTGTAGAGCCGCCCGACCCCGTTGCCGGCGACGCGGTCCCGTATCATGATGCAGCCACCACTGTGCTTGACTGTGCCAACAGTACACTCTGGCACAAGTTGTTCACCTGGTCAACAACTGAAATACACCACACCATCTGATGCTCTCATATTAAAATTTAACTCATGGGGCCACAGTACGTTGCTCCACTGGTCCACAGTACATTCTTGGTGGGCCCTGGCAAAGACCAGTTGTTTCTTCAATTTTCTGGTTGATATACGGTTTTTTTGTGGTCCTGCAGCCTCTCAGGCCAGCTTTCAGCAGTCTGGGACGTTCCGTACGGCTCGGGACATGTTTGCCACGGTTTTGCACCAGTCTGTCTTCAGCTCCCACGACAAAGTCCTTCTGCTAGCCAGAGTTATCACCTTGAGGTACCTGTCGTCACGAGCAGACGTCAGCCTTGGATGACCAGAACGAGGCTAATTCTTGCAGCTTTGCATCACTGCGAACCTGGTGACAGTTTTCTCACCGTGCGCGCACAAACGCGGGTCAAATTGGCGATATCATTCGAAGAGAGGCCATCATTATTCATCTTCACTGTCAACTCCCTCACGTCAGAGCCAAAGGTGCTTGGATCGACCCATGGTGAAGGAAAATGTCAAAAACAGCAACTAAAATTTGTTGTTCGTGTCGTGAGGACCACCACGTGTTGTGCAGTTGAATTTCCCGCTGGTTTTGCATCACACATTTTTGTACCGTACGGTACCGTACAAATTCAAATATTTTGGCCAAAAATTTGGGCCTAGCTTTTTCATGATTTTCACCTGAAAATTTGTTTTGAAGCGCACGTGCGCTGTAGAAAACATATCTCACGCGTTTTCATCGGGCTTGCAGCAGGTTTGAAGATACACAACCTGGCAGCACCACTGTATTGTGCCAAACCCCAAAAATTTATAGGTAGGCCCAAACTTCTGGCCAACACTGTATAATTATTCCAGAGCACACACACAGCCACTTTCGCACACCGTTGCTGTCCGCCGTTTCCGGATGTTGGGTCATGTTCTGAGGATGCCCTCAGATGCCCCGCCACAGCAAGCAATGGACAACTACTTCCGTCGAGATGTCACCGGTGTGCGTGGACGCCCGAAATCGAACCTGGCCTAGGCCTTGACGGATTATGCTAGCATAATTTTTCGCATAATTCCTACCAAAATCGAATAATCGCATAATTCGAGGCAAATTGCATACGAATCGCATAAAATTGGAAAAATCCGCCTGTTCGCATCAAATTCCATAGAGTTGTACATGTTCTACAAGTACAAGTAGATGCACTAGGAAGTTGTAGGTTTACGACTCCCTTGATAACATGTCCAGTCCGCTACAATCAGTGATGGTCGTAGCTAGGTTGGACGGTGTGTTGAGCCCGTTGAACCTTTGCTACTACAGTCCAACGCCCTCTACAAAAAATTCCCTTGTTATTTTGCACAGAACCATTATGCATTAGCAGCATATGTGAGCATAATGCGGCATAATATGATAACTTTTAGCATAAAAATAGCATAATTCTGCAATTTTTTCAGCAATGCGAAAAGCATAATTTCACGAAAATATTAGCATAATCCGTCAAGGCCTAACCTGGCCACGGCAGTCAAGGCAAGCACAGCTGCATGCCAGAGACATGCCACTTAAAGGGGAAGTATACCCTAAAATCAAATTTTCACCAGTTGTAGTCTTCTGGGTGCTGAGTCGAATGGTCTTTGTCCGAGGAAGCTGCGACGCTCCCTTCCTACTTGAATCCCAATCGAACTCGCGCACTTCCACCGAAACTGGGTGACTGCGCCCTACTAGATGGGGATTTGTATGCAAAATGTCACTAAAAGCGCCATTTCGTTCTTATAAAAGCACGGATGACCGCCATTGGCCCATATGTTGTAGTCTTTTGAACGCTGAGTCGACTGGTTTTGGTCAGAAAAGGCTGCGATGCAGCGTTCCTCCTTTATTCCCAATCGAACATGGTTGAACAAGCGGTCACGTGCTCCTGGGTGCCCAAATCACCTGGTCACCACGCCAGCAGGTGACAACTTTCACACCAAGGTTCAACTCGAGTTCAACTCGAGTGACAGGACTGCACCCAAAAAAGGTCAAACAGGCTAGTAAGTTGTACCCTGCAGGCACGGTGACCAGGTGACTGGTGTACGCAGAAGCACGTGACCACTTGTTCAACCATGTTCGATTGGGAATAAAGGAGGAACGCTACATCGCAGCCTTTTCGGATCAAAACTAGTCGACTCAGCGTCCAAAAGACTACAACATATGGGCCAATGGCGATCATCCGTGCTTTTATAAGAACGAAATGGCGCTTTTAGTGACATTTTGCATACAAATCCCCATCTAGTAGGGCGCAGTCACCCAGTTTCGGTGGAAGTGCGCGAGTTCGATTGGGATTCAAGTAGGAAGGGAGCGTCTCAGCTTCCTCGGACCAAGACCATTCGACTCAGCACCCCGAAGACTACAACTGGTGACAATTTGATTTTAGGGTAGACTTCCCCAAGACCATGACTGATCTGAGTGGGCTCAGAATGCGCGCTTTGGACAAGCAATCATGGAGGGAACTCTCAGCCTGAGCTGGTTTTGCTCGCGGCTGCAACGCACGGGGTAGTGAACCCAGGACAGAAGCGGACCAGGCATCATGACTTTGCACATCTATCGTTATGCTGCTTCATTACGCGACCTGTTTTATTATTATTATTATTATATCCGTTAGGGCCCAGGGGGCGCGAAATAGTTTTTTTTCTGAGCGTTCGGGGTGACGGACTTCGACCAAAAACGAAATTAAATTTTTTAATTTATTATTTTGGTACGTAACAAGCCGGCTGGTGCCATGCGCCAGTGCAGTGGTGGAGTGAAATAACGAAAGATTTCGTGAACGAAAATTTGTACTTATACAGTCAGTACAGACACACTCTGAACCACGCTCACTCATAATACCTAGCTACAGTCGACTCCTGACATAACGAACCCATTGTGCAGGAGTTCTACACAACGGAAGCTCTTTATAACAGAAATGCACTCACACCCTACAAACAACACAGTCATCATACCTGGCATACAGCCAGTAACAGCACGAGTGCACCTGGTTTGTATTGTCATGCTCCCCTACAAGATTATGATGCGTTATAAACGAAAACAGTTCGCTACAAAGGGTCAATTTTGTATGAGTTCAATGGTTCGATATAAATATTATCATGAAATTTGCTACAAGCGAGTCCGTTATAAGTGGAGACGACTGTACCTGTCCAGCCACATATCCACCACCAGGAGAGGACAGTACAAGTCACAAGTACAGAGAGCAGTGATGGTATAGCTGATCCATTGACTGCAGCACTATTGAAGAATTCCCTATCACACACACACCGCAAACTATCAAACCCATCGCACATCAGCACCTTTTAAAACTCATTTCAAAAAATTTCCACACGACCATAACACACCATCGCACACAAATAAATAGCATGAGAAGATCGCAAGCGTGTGAGCACCGGATAATCTTTGTCCCATACATTAGACAACAGAAAGGACTAGAACTGGTACACAGTGACACAAAGCACTACAGTGTTCACTGTAGCATGTTCTAGTAGGCCCATGAACAACTAAACAACTAAACACAGGAGAAGCAGGACTATTACATTCACAGCGTATCAGTATCTGTGGCAGTCTACCTAGATATCATATGAATCGTCAATACAGATCAGCAGCAATGTAGGACATGCCATGGTGCTAGAAGTAGAAGAATTTTTGATAGATATGTAAATTGTTGCCTATAGAGTTCTTGGACCATGGAACAGCATAAGGTGACAACAAGAACAACTTCATTTTGTCATTAAAATAAGACCACTCCAAGAGAAGAGGAAAGAACTACTGGTCATAACGAGTGTTGAAAAAAACATTGGTCATATTCACAATATACTTTGAAGGACAGCGCCAGAAGAGGTCCGCAGCCAGGGAAATCACATAGTCAACAACAACAAAAAACACATTGCATAGTGTCATGTTGAACTTAATGTTCTCAAAAAGTGGTTGTGGGTGTGAATTTTTCATGAAATTGTGATGGGATTAATATTCATTTTTTCTTAGTTGGTGGACTAGCCCGAGGAACCATAACAGGTTGCATAGTTTTGTCACAGTACCGTTCATACAGATGTGACGCTCTGACTGAGGATAATAGCATGAGTGCTCGAAAGTCTCGGAATCCACCCAGCAATGTGTGAACGCAGAAAACAGCAGCGTTGCCGCATGGCATTGCTTACTGGCATCTTCTTGCCTCTTCAGCCTCCAGCTCATCTAGACGCACACTGCTGAAGTCACCCTGAACAAGTAGAAATGCCAATCAACAGAACAACTAGTGACTAGAATGGACTTGGGTTTTGGTGAAGTGTTTGGAACAGAAGGACTGTGGGAAATGAAAAATGCTGCGAACAATGACACGTGTGAGCTCATGCGCGCACACACACCTTACATCTTATGCCTAACACCTGCCCATCGCTGAAGCGATGATAGCGAACAAGCTATGTTAGACTAGCAACTTGTTCTGGGATTACACCTTTCATCAGCACACGCACACACATAAGGTGCGTGCACACGCGTGTTCAATTTCACTCATGTATGCCCTTTGCAAAAGAAGCACGCAAATCAGCAAATGCACTGGATGTACTCCGGCAGATTATCTCTTATATCAATGATAGCGGACAATACCTGCATAGCGCAGATAAAGACTTTCACCAGATAACTGCACATACACATACCAGGTGAACACACGCATGCATGTGCTAAGAAAGACAAATCATCTCTACATTGCAAGCCGTGTGCCCGCCTTACAATGACTGCCGTTCTTACCAGCTTTGTTTGAGCAAGTGATGCAAGGGTGTCTCCGCGATGTGCTGCCTTCTTCAGTACACCCATATCTACAGAATGCGGATTCAAGAATCAAGCAACATGACAGCATTTGTACAGAATAATCGAAAATACTTCAATACACAGAGTGTTCAATGTTCTAGCGAAGGGTTAATTCGAGTGGTCTCATTTGGAATGGTAAGACCTTCTTCAAAAGAGGCAACACAAGGTTTTCCATTCGAACAATCTGGCTAAGTTTTCCCTCAAAAATCGTTATCTTCCTGTATCTATCGCATACCATTGCCAATTCTGTTTCGGTCAACATGAGCATGGCATCAAGGGGTCGCATGTAACAAAAAAATGCAAAGTAGCAGTAGAAACTAACAAAATCCTGCACTCTTCGTGAAAATTAAGCATTTTCTGTGCCTCTCACAGAATGAGACTAATGAGACTAGAAATGGCACGTAATGTCATATGAGCTTGTGCGAATGCTCATCCGAGAAAAGATGAGTCATCAACCAGATCATAAAAGAGGCTAGCACAATTACAGACCTACCAGAAAAGAAGAAAAAAAATCACGGTTCGCGTGAGACTCGGCTGGAAACCGAGGTTTCCGCATCTGTAGGAACGCCACCACCCTTCAAGGATCAAGGCGCAGATGCAGCTCCTAAAGCGGTGGGAGGTGAGTAGATCAGCTCACCAGCAAGTGGTCAAAGACCGAAAATCCCATTCACTGCATCCATGTTCTCCTCGTGCAGCCAGAAGTATATTAATATTGTACTCTTCCAAATAACACTCTTCAAACACAGCTTCACTGGCATGTATGTCACCTACGGAGGAGGTATTTTTTAAACATGGGCTCCTCACAATACATACCTTCAATTCCAGATACGGATGGAGAGCTTTCTGTGTTCAGAATTACGTGTAGGAAGCCAGCAACCCACGCATCACCACCACCTGATCACAGAGGAGAATTGGTAGAATTGAGTGCAGACACACACACAACACGACACGCATACACGCACACCCGCGTGCACGCACACACACACACATACACACACACACACCAATTCTCCAGGTGTAAGAAAAGGAGAACTGTAAGGAAAAAATGGGAGACGTGTCCAATTTCGAAAGAAAAGGTGTCAGTACCGACGCAATCCACACAGTCCAGTTAGCCAATTTAGTAACCGAACGTTTTCGTTCCCTTCTCATCATGGGTAAATACAGGGAATAATGGAAAAAAAGTCAAATACAGCAACGTATAGAGCTACAGCAGAAGCATAGATCGAGAACCTCACGCTATACGTGTGGAAAAAATAAAATTCAGCTGAACAGGTCAAAAATAGGGTGAAGGTGAAGAAATGACTAAAACATAATGTATCACTAACCGACAGACAATCAGCAATCGGCTATCGGCTATCAAGAGTCATCTGTTGGTTAGTGATAGTTGTCGTGAGCTGTACAGAGATGATTTTTCAGTTCATCATGTTTTAGTTAAGATAAATCTACTCACCTAGATGCTCAACCAGTTTGCTGGGGGTTCTCGTGGAGTATGTAGACACTGATCCTTTACAACTAGCTACAGTTGACCATCTTGCTTGCTCATTCTATTCAAAGACGCAGATAGGAAACCGGTATGTTAGAATCAAGTTCATGTACCCATACAAACACTACAGATAGGAAACCGGTATGTTAGAATCAAGTTCATGTACCCATACAAACACTACAGATAGGAAACCGGTATGTTAGAATCAAGTTCATGTACCCATACAAACACTACAGATAGGAAACCGGTATGTTAGAATCAAGTTCATGTACCCATACAAACACTACAGATAGGAAACCGGTATGTTAGAATCAAGTTCATGTACCCATACAAACACTACAGATAGGAAACCGGTATGTTAGAATCAAGTTCATGTACCCATACAAACACTACAGATAGGAAACCGGTATGTTAGAATCAAGTTCATGTACCCATACAAACACTACAGATAGGAAACCGGTATGTTAGAATCAAGTTCATGTACCCATACAAACACTACAGATAGGAAACCGGTATGTTAGAATCAAGTTCATGTACCCATACAAACACTACAGATAGGAAACCGGTATGTTAGAATCAAGTTCATGTACCCATACAAACACTACAGATAGGAAACCGGTATGTTAGAATCAAGTTCATGTACCCATACAAACACTACAGATAGGAAACCGGTATGTTAGAATCAAGTTCATGTACCCATACAAACACTACAGATAGGAAACCGGTATGTTAGAATCAAGTTCATGTACCCATACAAACACTACAGATAGGAAACCGGTATGTTAGAATCAAGTTCATGTACCCATACAAACACTACAGATAGGAAACCGGTATGTTAGAATCAAGTTCATGTACCCATACAAACACTACAGATAGGAAACCGGTATGTTAGAATCAAGTTCATGTACCCATACAAACACTACAGATAGGAAAGCGGTATGTTAGAATCAAGTTCATGTACCCATACAAACACTACAGATAGGAAACCGGTATGTTAGAATCAAGTTCATGTACCCATACAAACACTACAGATAGGAAACCGGTATGTTAGAATCAAGTTCATGTACCCATACAAACACTACAGATAGGAAACCGGTATGTTAGAATCAAGTTCATGTACCCATACAAACACTACAGATAGGAAACCGGTATGTTAGAATCAAGTTCATGTACCCATACAAACACTACAGATAGGAAACCGGTATGTTAGAATCAAGTTCATGTACCCATACAAACACTACAGATAGGAAACCGGTATGTTAGAATCAAGTTCATGTACCCATACAAACACTACAGATAGGAAACCGGTATGTTAGAATCAAGTTCATGTACCCATACAAACACTACAGATAGGAAACCGGTATGTTAGAATCAAGTTCATGTACCCATACAAACACTACAGATAGGAAAGCGGTATGTTAGAATCAAGTTCATGTACCCATACAAACACTACAGATAGGAAACCGGTATGTTAGAATCAAGTTCATGTACCCATACAAACACTACAGATAGGAAACCGGTATGTTAGAATCAAGTTCATGTACCCATACAAACACTACAGATAGGAAACCGGTATGTTAGAATCAAGTTCATGTACCCATACAAACACTACAGATAGGAAACCGGTATGTTAGAATCAAGTTCATGTACCCATACAAACACTACAGATAGGAAACCGGTATGTTAGAATCAAGTTCATGTACCCATACAAACACTACAGATAGGAAACCGGTATGTTAGAATCAAGTTCATGTACCCATACAAACACTACAGATAGGAAACCGGTATGTTAGAATCAAGTTCATGTACCCATACAAACACTACAGATAGGAAACCGGTATGTTAGAATCAAGTTCATGTACCCATACAAACACTACAGATAGGAAACCGGTATGTTAGAATCAAGTTCATGTACCCATACAAACACTACAGATAGGAAACCGGTATGTTAGAATCAAGTTCATGTACCCATACAAACACTACAGATAGGAAACCGGTATGTTAGAATCAAGTTCATGTACCCATACAAACACTACAGATAGGAAAGCGGTATGTTAGAATCAAGTTCATGTACCCATACAAACACTACAGATAGGAAACCGGTATGTTAGAATCAAGTTCATGTACCCATACAAACACTACAGATAGGAAACCGGTATGTTAGAATCAAGTTCATGTACCCATACAAACACTACAGATAGGAAACCGGTATGTTAGAATCAAGTTCATGTACCCGTACAAACACTACAGATAGGAAACCGGTATGTTAGAATCAAGTTCATGTACCCATACAAACACTACAGATAGGAAACCGGTATGTTAGAATCAAGTTCATGTACCCATACAAACACTACAGATAGGAAAGCGGTATGTTAGAATCAAGTTCATGTACCCATACAAACACTACAGATAGGAAACCGGTATGTTAGAATCAAGTTCATGTACCCATACAAACACTACAGATAGGAAACCGGTATGTTAGAATCAAGTTCATGTACCCATACAAACACTACAGATAGGAAAGCGGTATGTTAGAATCAAGTTCATGTACCCATACAAACACTACAGATAGGAAACCGGTATGTTAGAATCAAGTTCATGTACCCATACAAACACTACAGATAGGAAACCGGTATGTTAGAATCAAGTTCATGTACCCATACAAACACTACAGATAGGAAACCGGTATGTTAGAATCAAGAGTTCATGTACCCATACAAACACTGATGAGTACGGATACTGTAAGTCTACAAATATTTGCCGCATATTTATTTTCGGCCTGGTCATATTTGGTCGAAAATTGTTTGCAGCCGAAATTTTGTTTTGCAAGGTTCAATGTGCCAGTGTATACAGGTGGCAGCAGTACAGGCCGAAAATTTCATGTAGCCGAAATGGGTATTAGCCCTGGAAGGCCGAAATTTGAATGGGCCGAAATTTGTCGACTTCGGTGATCACATAGCAAACATTCCCCCCCCCCCCCCCCCCCCCCATACACACACACATACACACACACGCACACACATACACACAGCACGCCACCAGAGAGCTATTGGGGATATCCTAGTGGCCCTGTGGGTTTTTTCCTGGTGGCCCGAACCTATGGGCTATGGGCATAACAATGCAGCTTTACTCCCATTCTATAATTATAATATCAACATTATTTTGCCAGCCTCGGAATTGGTTGCCCAGTGAGTAGATTATGACTTTCTCCCACACCACAACATGCAAAACTGAATGCAGGTAGGAGAGACAATGCAATGATTTTGAGCTGCTCAAAAATACAATCCATTACGAATCATTGCCAGTCCATAGTATTCCAAAAGAGAGCGCAGAGCAAGAAAAATCAAATAACGTTACACAGATTTACCCATAAAGCAAGTACAGGAACATGAATGTCAAAACAACAACTCACACCATCCAAGTGATTGGAGCATGAAATTGCTAGTGATTTGCACTTTAGCTCCTCTCGTAGTCGACTTGCGAGTCGCTCATCCCCAAGAACTTCTTCATCCCTGTTTGTTCACAAGTCAATAATGTCAGGAACACAACAGAACAAGCCGCATGACATGGCAAAAGTAGGCATAGCATCATGTAAGTCATTCCGATGTTATGTCAGGATCGCTGATCCGATTCAAATTACTGTAGCAGAAGTATGACGAACAAATTTAAAAAATTGGAAATCACATGCAGAACTACTGCAGCTTGGTCACGGTGATTGACAACTGCCATGTGTAGTGGTTCTACAGAATGCATACCTGTTACATAAAAGGATACAATGACAAACAGTGGGATGTGCATCCACTACACCATGCAATCCTGCCTTCGTGGCACATGTACATAGAATACACTTGAACACCCCTTCATACCGGTGACAGTATATCCGAGCGGCCGTATAATTGACTGCTGCAAATAGACCATTGGTTCCATACAACCAAATAGATGAGTAGTTCCGCACAACAGCTGCAGGTGTAGCCTGTAGGTGTGGACAGCAGAACTTACGATAACTCCTTCCAGCCACTTAGCTTGGACTTGGCGATTGTAACAGCTGTACTGCTGCTAAGAATGAGCAGCTGGACACAGGTTTAAAACACACACAGTACACAGTCAACAGTCAGACAACATCACAGACCACCGCACATATCTACTAGTGTGCTTGGCAGAAACAAAACACAATTGTACTCCTGGTATAGACTCAGAAAGAATTTTCTAGCAGTGTTCGCCTGGATGCATGATGACCTGCTAAGGTTCGAGCTGGATAACACTATTAATTTTATCACAAATTCTCCGACCTGGGTATTGTTGACCATTAGCAATTTAGCATAACCGATATCCTGATGCTTGGTAGTTTCAGCAATGAGCTGATTGGTCGCAACACCATTGTTCTTGCATGGTAGAAGTGCTGATAGTGTTGCTCCTGTTGTTGTTGTTGTTGTAGCATTGCTCATTATCTACTAGGTGGCAGTTGCAGAGAGCAGCTCAAGTCATGCAAAACTATGCCTGCCAGTGCAGTAGACAGTGCTGCCAAAGAGAATATGACCTAAATGATTCATCTACATTGACTTTTCACCATTCGTGATAATTTACATATATGTAGGACTCAGTATAGAGTCCATGCACTATATGATGTCCAGCACCCTATATAGAGTCCATTGGTCCAAAATCCACTATACAGAGTCCAGGAGTCCACTCAGTTTTGATCAGCTTCATCCTGCCGCGCAATCCCCTATAAGGAGTACACTTTTTCTACAAGTCCCCTATTCACGGTCCAGGAGTCCAGTTTATCCAGTCACGCCGTCCTGTGTGTTGTGCCCAAAAGAGAACAAACACCTTTTCAGTTTTGCTTGCCTCGTGGCAGCGCATTCCTTTCTTCACTTCAGCCATGGCTGCCAGTTCTGCTGTGCAGTTGCTGACAGTAATCTGTCTCGAGTAACCAAGGAGGATAAGGAGACGTTCAAAATCAAATCTGGAAAGCGTCTTGTGGTTCTCGGAAGACGTTTGATCAGTGCCCGGGATGAAAGCAGAAATTGCAGAACGAGAAAAGTTCAGCACAGTTCAAATCTGACGAGTCAGGTACACCGACACTCTCTTTCGTTCGACGCCACAAGGATCCCCTGTTTGGCTGGCCATTGCTGCCAGTAAGACGTTTGAACGGTTTCATCAGAGCGAGGGATGAAAGCAGAAAGCGGAGAACGAGAAAAGTTCAGCATAGTTCAAATCTGACGAGTCAGATACACTGACACTCTCTTTCGTTCGACGCCACAAGGATACCCTGTTTGACTGGACAAGAGCTGCCTGTACCACCGTGTCAAAAGGCTGTCCAACTACATGGCAGGACGATGACTGAGGTAAGGAAGCTTTTACTCGTTTCGATTGGTCTGCTGTCCTGTCGTAATATGCTTGAATTTTTTTTCCATTTTTCAAGGAGCGTATCGCGTTTGTTTGATGTTGCTTGAATGAATGCCCTAAAAGTAATCAACCGCTTCGTAATAGTCCTCAAGGACTGCAAGGACTTTGCATCAATCGTATACGATCGTCTAGCTATCATCAATTATTATTTTATTTCATGAGAAATGTATTTTTATCCCTATGATAATTATGTGAACTCCACGACACTCTTCCTCTACAAGGCTCTAGTATGATGTCAAATACAATGGGATCCACAAACACAGTGCCAGTGTACTAGTAGTAGTACTAGTAGGAGGAGGATTTCTTGTATGCCGATGACAAGAAAAAGCTTCTCAAGCTAATACATGTACTCGTATTCCATGAAGTAACCGTTTTGATGTCACAAACATGACACTGTGTCAGTGAAACTGCCTCGTGACAACAAATCATTGCATTTCCATCGTGGGGAAGACTGACTGACGGCAACGCTGTACAGATTGTTCAAATCATCTCATTTCAATTTAGTTGCAGTGAAGTGAAACACTGTGTACACTACATGTATGGTGGTGTGTCTGTGCGTCTTGAGTGTGCACAAACGATCTTATGCCTCATATTACTAATAGATTATTGTCCCCACCTTCACCTGTTCACAGGTCTTTGAGTGGATCGATTTTCATTGAGCATCACATTCGTTGAGAACTTGGTAGTTGTGTGCTCCCATGCATCATTACGGTAATAAGCGTATCCTTGTGCTATCTATTTGTTGCAGGTGTGCTGATCTTCAGAAGCTTGCGGAACTGAGTGCTGCTGAACATTTGCATGGCCATGAGCAATGGTGAAGCTTGCTATTGCACTCTCAGCATGTGCTAGTATTATGCTGACTACTGCACTATGATACTCTCTTACACTACTACATGTACATGTATGTAAACGTGCGCGCATCCGCCCACGTATGCATTCGTTTCGTATAATTATTTGTTATCCCTCTTGACTTTACGTGTAAATGGGTGGACGTTTCCATGGCTGTTGGAGTTGCATGTGTACTGTGTCTCTACTCTTTTCTTGGTGTTTTCTTGGCGTTGTATAAGTTTGTGTGTGTGTGTGTGTGTGTGTGTGCGTGCGCGCGCGCGCACACACAATAATTTGAAAACAAATAATTAACCCTTGGCTCTCCATTATTCTCTTTCGATTCTTGGTTTTTTTCTAGGTATTTTCTTGGCGTTGTGTGGGTGTGTGCATGTGTGTGTGTGTGCGTGCACAATAATTTGGCAACACTACATGATTGAGATATTGTAATTTACAGCGTCTGGGAAGAGACCACTTGATTTGAGGATGGTGTTTGTAGGGTTTTTCATGTAATGATCTGGCTGCAGTGGCGCCTCAATACTTATTTTTTTTATCTTGAGAAGTGAATGATGTAAAGGATTAAAGGGAGAGGCCGTTTTCTGGTTAATATTCACTGCTTACAGCAGATCCTATGTCTAATTTCGAACTCTGGATAGGGGATGCCTAATTGGCTGGACTTTATACAGGAAGTTTTGTCCACATAAAGACTCTTTATAGTTGATTTCAAAGTTTGGACTCCGTACAGTTGATTTTGGACCAATGGACACTATATAGGGGTGAAGCCAAATGGCTGGACTCTATACAGGGAGTGATGTTCATGTAAACTTTGAGCTCACAGTTGATTCCAAGTTTGGACTCTGTACAGTGGATTTTGGACCAATGGACTCTATATAGGGGTTGGACATCATATAGGGGCTGGACGCTCTACTGAGTCCAACATATATACCATCTATTGTACTTTTGTTATGGTTGTTGTTCTCTATTGCTTCCTTGCCTGTAATTCCTCTGACGAGAAGGCTCTGAAAGTTAAGGGCAAACAACACTTTTAAGAATAACGCCGCGGCCCTTGTTGTTGACTTTCCTATTGCAATAATTTGCTTCTTATCTTCTCGTAAATTTTTATTATTATAATGGAGATTGGGTTGACTATCATGATTTAGGTCCGAGGATGTACTACTGAGAGTGCCGAAATTTGGACCCGAAATAATTATGCACACACGCCTGATCTATCATTATGTATACAATAAATGAGGAGGCCGAGGGTTTATGACCAATAAAAACTATTATAAAAACCGAGGTCCGCCGAGGCCTCCTCATTTATTGTATTTAGATTCAACCAGAAAAACTCCTACTAAAATCTCCAACAACAAAATTAGTGGATAGCTGTTATTTTGGAGTGTTTGTTCTCGACAAGTATTAGTTTGCTGAACGCAGGGAGTCGTAAAATACCGGTATTTTACGACTCCCTGCTCCCTGGCTGAACGGCCATGAATGATATCCAGGCGCATGCTCGATCATCGTTCTCTTTCTCCACGTGCTTGGTGTAGTCAAGTAGGTAAGCATGCTCGATGATCGTTCTCTTTCTCCACGTGCTTGGTGTAGTCAAGTTGGTAAATTTTGGTCTAGTCAAGTTGGTAAATTATTTGTGTTTTGTTCATGGCGGAAAAGTCGTCGTCGTCACCTTCCACTTTGTCATCAAAGGAGGAAAGGGACAAGCTGATTCTTGATCGTATTCCAAAGAAAACCGCTGAGGCAACTGATTTTTGCTCCCGCAGTTTCTGCAAGTATGCTCAGGACTCGAAAAAGAAGCCGGACATTGCTCGAGATTCGAAAGAAGAGATTGCTGAGGCACTCGAGTGCTATTTCGCTGATGTGAGGAAGAAAGGCGGCGACATGTACAGTCGTAACTCGTATATAGCAGCAAAAGCGTCCATTCAACGGTATTTGGCTATAAAGAGGACGGCGGCTATCAACATCTTCACAGACCGGGAATTTCGCAGAGCAAATGAAGTTCTTGATGGCCTCCTGAAAGACAAGAAAAGGAACGGCTTGGAACCTGCTGTGAAGCATAAGGATTCAATTTCAGACGATGACTGGAACACCTTGACTGCACACTTTGCGGATGTCCTAACGTGCAACGACCCGAGGAAGCTCTGCCAGTTTGTATGGTTCCACGTAACCTCGAAGTTTTGCCTGAGAGGTGGCGAGATTCAGCGGCTACTGTGCAAGAAGGACTTGGTTCGCACCATTGTTGATGGCAAGCCGGTTTACAACCTCGCCAAGTCTTTCATGTCCAAGAATCACCAGGGTGGCTTGATAGGTTCTAACCATGTAAGTGTTGGCTGCGTGCAAGACGAGCTGCAAGTTTCTGCCCTTGATCTGTACATCTCTAAGTTGCATCCTGAACTAGATAGGTTTTTTCAGCGAGCTAGAGTCCCAGCAGGCACTGTTGTACCTCCTTCTCTGTCAGTGTGGTATGGCAATTCACCTTTATCGCACAATCTTCTGAATAAAATGCTGAAGCGTATTTCTGAGCAGGCTAGCCTTTCCACATTGTACATTTATTTATTTATTTATTTATTTATTTATTTATTTATTTCACCTTCCCGTGGCCAGAGAATATAGGCCAATATGGAGGGAGGGGGGCGGTAGCCAGCCATGGCAGTAAACAAAAACAAAGCAAAAATAAATAAATATTACACATTACTGGAGGCAAAGAGAAACAAATGTGGATGAAGAACTAGCAGTTATTAGAACACGAGCTTCATGTTGGCCTTGAAATCCTTTAGCGTACAAGACGATTTTACTGATAGAGGCAGGGCCAGCCAGAGAGAATAAGCAGCAAAAAACGGAGATCTGGTATAAGCTGAGGTTCGGGCTTTAGGTAAAGTGCAGGGATTGCGCGTAGGACGAGTGGGAAGAAACCAGTTATATTTACGCAAGTGTGGCGGGGCTTTGTCAAGACGAATAGAATGAACAACAATACACAGTTTTCGATCCGCTTGACTAGAGATAGGGAAGGTGTTAAACATATCATACAGCTCGGCAGAAGGAAAGTATGATGGTTTGCGGAAAAGGACTTTGAGTATCCTCTTATTGTGGACTTCCAGGGTACTCATTAACGATTTACCAAGTAGGGATGACCAGGCGGTTGAGCAATAGAGAAAAATGGGGAGAATATAGCAATGATAAAAAAGGCGAATGCATTCAAGCGGTAGGTGGGAGCAGTGAGACACGAGGTAGCCAACAGCTTTACTGACTTTGCTACAGATATAGTCGACATGTCTACTAAACGATAAGTCTGAGTCAATGACCAAACCAAGATGCTTGTGTTGTTTTACCACTGTGAGGTCTGTGAGGGATCCGGGAAGAGTGAATGCATAGGTTGGCTCTGAGTTCGGCAGGAATAATATCTCAGTCTTGGCGATATTAGGTCTTAGTCTCCAGGTAGTCATCCACTGATGGACTTCGTTGATACCGCGCTGGAGACTGTCTCGCAGCCTGTCTAGACACTCATTGAACCGGAGCAGTGCAGTATCGTCAGCAAATAAGGACACACCTTCAACATGACTGGGAAGATCATTTATATACACTAGGAAAAGGAGGGGCCCTAGGATGGATCCCTGGGGCACTCCGGACAGAACAGGTGAAGCATCTGAGAGAGTTCCACCTACAAAGACAACTTGCGTTCTGTCGGATAGGTAGTCTGTAATCCACTCCAGCGCTGAGTCACACACACCGAAAACTTTGGAAAGTTTAGCAAGTAATGCACGGTGCCACACGGTGTCGAAAGCTTTCTCGAGGTCGAAAAAGCACATGGCAACTTTCCGCCCCATATGACGATGGTCGGCAATGTTTTGGATCAGCTTGGTGAGCTGTAGAGCGGTCGAGTCACCACGACGAAACCCAGATTGCGCGGGATCCAGAGCAGGAGAAATATGATTATACAATTGATTGAAGAAGAGCCGTTCGCAAAGTTTGGAAATACAGGACAGGAGGGAAATTGGGCGATAGTTACTAGCTTGAGATTTGCTGCCTTTGCACTTGTAAATAGGCACAATTTTAGCCAGTTTCCAGTCAGTAGGGAACTTGCCTGTGGTAAAGGAGAGGTTAAATAGGCGGCTAAGTGGAAAAGAAATCGCAGGAGCTAGCTTCTTTATCATATTGTTCGTGATACCGTCTAGCCCTGGCTCTTTCCCAGATTTCAGGTTTGAGATGGCTTTACGAACATCTGCTGTAGTGATATGAACGCGGGTGAATTGGCGAGTAAGACGAGTGTCATATTGGAGAGGGGGTATTACTAAACGTGGGTCATCAGGCACCGCGACAGAGGTAAACTGCTTGTTGAGGATGGTTGCTTTTTGGAAGCTGTCGGACACCAGCAGCCCATCAGGGCTTGCAATGTCAGGGATGCCAGGTTTTACTTTGTGCGATCGCTGACTGAGGACAAACTGGTGAAGCGTAGTGCTGCCTGAGGTAAGTGTTGTTTTGATTGAACGAATGTACTGGCGGTGGCACCAGCGGGAGAGATGTCTCACCTGGTTCCGCTGTGCCTTATATGCTGATAGGTTGTAGTCCGTAGGGAATTTCTTGGAGAGGCTGAATAGGTCACGCTTCAACTTGATAGCCTTGCGTAGTTCAGTGGAAACCCATGGATGATATTTGCGTGTAGACCCTGGGGTTGAGGGAGTTCGATTTGGTTTGCGGGAGCTATGAAGGGGAACATACTTGGACAGCACAGTCTGCAGGACACTGTGCAGGTTACTAAGTGCACTGTCCACGTCTGAGGATATTAATGAGTTCCAAGGTACTGAGTCTAAGTCTGCATTGACCGCCTCCCACACAGCAGGTGTGACGTGTCGGAGATCGAAAGACATAGAGTTAGGCTCCTGAGTTTGAGACGTTATTTCGCGGGGAGACTGAGGCAGGGGGATGTCGAACTGGCAGCACACAATGGCATGGTCTGAGGCGCCCAGAGGGCAGTCAGTTTCGACGCAAGACGAGAGATTGGCACGGTTACTAAATACCAAATCCAAGCAGGCTTGGACACCAGAGGGTGACGTGTATGTACATGTGTTGACGAGTTGGTGAAGACCAAATGGACTGAGCGTGCGGTACAATTCAGCACCGGCAGTATTGGTGGAATCTGTCGAACACCATGACGTGTGCTTGCTGTTAAAATCACCTGTCAAGATAACGTGAGAAGATGAAAGAGGAAGAGTAATGAGTACGTCTTCGAGAGTCTGGCAGTACCTTGCTATATCTGTTGGCTTAGCAGAAGGTGGACGATAACTGCAGCAGAGGAGGATCGGCTCAGCTGCAGCCGGATACGGCTGGATTTGAACCCAAACGGCTTCGCACCCATCGCGAGCTAGATCGGGACGCATGGCAACAGACTTAAACTTATTCTGTCGAACAAGGATAGCGACACCACCATAACCTCTTGCACTTGTCCCGGACTTATTCTCTGCAGGGGGCCTGTCCCTCCGGAAGGTGTCATAACACGTAATATTAAGTGCGATATTCGGGTCGAGCCAGGTTTCAGTTAGGCAGATTATGTCAGGCTGCCACTCTTCAGCAACAATAGTAAGCTCTGTACACATGAACCACTGTTTGAGAGCGACGACGATAGTACGTCTCAAGGAAGCTGGTATTGAAGATCGAAAAAATTGTGAGATATCGGGCCACAAAAATCCAGCTTCCTTGACAGCGTACGATCGGACGTCTGCTGAACGCGCTTGTGATTTATCAGCAGCCATTGACTCGAAGCAATTAGTGTCACGTTCTCATTTGCCCCCTGCTGCTGTATCTGCTACTGCTGTATCTGCTGCTGCTGTATCTGCTGCTCAGCCTATGCATCCTGTACTCTGTGATGCTTCGAATATGCCTGGATTTGTTTGGAACGCTGGCAGTTCCACGTTCAGCAATGTCACATTCAACATTTCGCCTCCACCGAAAAGAAGAAGAAGCCGTGTTTACAACTGAAGAAGACCCAGGAAAAAGACACCGGAAGGCGAAGAGATCCACACCGCAGAAAGAACAAGTGTTGAGCTTTCAGAATCCTAAAAAGGTGTTTTTATGAACTGTTTTTATTGGATAATTGCCATCAGGATATGATTATGTTCAATAAAGGAGGTTTGTGTCAATTGGAGATTGACTTGGATTTTTTATGAGTTGAATCTAATTTGGTATAAGGACAATACCATGCCTTACCTCAACGGACGATAGGTATGGAGCGACAATGTACAGTAGCTCACCCAGGCTTGACAATGCTGGTCGATGATTGAGATCAATGGACACGGGCACTTCCAAAGCCTTCGCCTGCTCCAAGAAAGACAGCCATGTAGCTGAGATGGAGAAAATGCAACACCAGTATGAGTTCTTTCACATGAACCAAATAATCCAATAACCATTTCCAGAAAGGCACAGTTGAAATGTAATTTTTTTCCGCAAAACTCAGTGAGCACAATGAGTACGTTTTGCTCTTTTAGGTGCTTGCAACAAGTCAGCCTCTGAAGGATATGCTGGTGTCGTCTTTCAGTCTGGTCAGCCTCTGAAGGATATGCTGGTGTCGCCTTCATTCGCCAGTCCCGAGTGCCCCCGAGAGTGTACCGAAAGGAGAAGAGAAGGAGGAGGCTAGTTGAATGATGTACATGTGTCGTCGGTATGAGTGGTGGTCAGTGTATGGCGCAGAATGTAGTCTACTCAATGTTCATTGCAGTTTGTGGAGTAGAGCATGCGGGAGAGGTGGAGCAACATGTCAAGGAGCGCATCCAAGACCATTACAGAAAATCAAGAGTATGCACATTGCAAAAAGCAACCTGGGGAGAGCATTATGCATTGCACCAACCTGGGGAGAGCAATATGCATTGCACCAACCTGGGGAGAGCAATATGCATTGCACCAGCCTGGGGAGAGCAATATGCATTGCACCAACCTGGGGAGAGCAATATGCATTGCACCAGCCTGGGGAGAGCAATATGCATTGCACCAGCCTGGGGAGAGCAATATGCATTGCACCAGCCTGGGGAGAGCAATATGCATTGCACCAGCCTGGGGAGAGCAATATGCATTGCACCAGCCTGGGGAGAGCAATATGCATTGCACCAGCCTGGGGAGAGCAATATGCATTGCACCAGCCTGGGGAGAGCAATATGCATTGCACCAGCCTGGGAGAGCAATATGCATTGCACCAGCCTGGGGAGAGCAATATGCATTGCACCAGCCTGGGGAGAGCAATATGCATTGCACCAGCCTGGGGAGAGCAATATGCATTGCACCAGCCTGGGGAGAGCAATATGCATTGCACCAGCCTGGGGAGAGCAATATGCATTGCACCAGCCGCTACAACACCCTTCCACCGCGCTGTTCATTCTTTTCACATCACCATCAATACTTGCAAAGAAAGTGTTGTATGTGAACTGCAGGATAAGGGACGCCATCCACATATCCAGACGCGACCCTTATGTTGGAGGCTACTTTACAATTGATATTGTGCATTTCGGTTGATGATAACTGGTACTTCCCCCTGTCCTGCTGTCATGAAGTACTTGTCACACAGTTGTTCTACTGCTCACCGCAATGTTGTAGGGGTTTCCCTATCACGTCACTCACACATGTGTGTGTGTGCATACAATGTGTGTGTGCCTAAGTGGGTAACATTCAATAATGGAACATATGTACTATTATCGCGTATGGCGTAAATCATTCCACTTTGTTTTGTATGATATAGGTCAACCTCCTCAGGCTCCTCGATCCGGATGGTGGCTCCTGGCCGAAAATTTGATTGAAATGGAACAAATTTGCAACAAAGAGACTACTTGAGTTTGTGATGGTGTAGGGTGTATCAATGCTAATTCATAGCTGCTGATCATCATATTATGCATGTACTTCAAAGTAGTCTGTCACAGGTCAATCAAAATTGAACAATGTCATCATTAATTTTCAGGCCGGGCATGGAAAGTTCGGAAGATATTGCGACCAACCTTTCGGTGTTTCTCCCAGCATGGGTGTAATACCAGTCAGGTGAAGCCAGCGCGTACTGCTTACAATAGAGAATAGGTCAAATGTACCCGTGCGCATTCTGCTGAACGCCGAATTGCTGTACAAACAGACAGAGCCAAATCCACAAGCATGTCTCACATTAGTGGATTGTTCGAGAAAGGACAGTATTATATTATTGACCTCAATCCAGATGTATGAAGGCACAACGTGGCATTCTGCAACTTCAGCATATGCGGAATAAATAATTGCCCACGCAGCTTGGAGTGAAACCAATCTTAGAAAGAAGGTGCATCTAAGATTATCATGTTTCGTATAACTGCTCAGATATCGCACAGTCTTTTGCTGTGGGAGAACATGTAACACTCTCATGTGTGACCTAGCACTAGTACGTCTATTCAGCAGCACACTGATGCACTGATGCTGACGCCTCTTTGATCCACGGCCAGATATAACTATTTCATACAAGGGCCCTGCGTTATTCGGGAACTCAATACTAGGCCAACACAAACAATAAGAGGATGGAAAAAGCGTTTTAACTCTGAGTTTCACGCACTAAGCGTTCTGTTTTATTAGGCCAACACAAATAGATAGTGCTGAAATTACCTCCGTTGATAGTGAGGTGTTGGTTGGTCCTTTAGGAGGTAGTATGTTCCCATCTCCATGTTTGCAGTTCGTTGGCACCAGCGCATGTTCACACCAGCCTTCTTTATTTCATGGACAGCTTTATCCCCTAGAGCACCTGGAAGCAGGAGACATGCCAACAGCAAACACTGACAATAAGGCGTATGACTTAGTGATTGGAACTAGAAAGTATTCAACCTGTGAATAGCAAACACTGCAGCTATAAGGCGTTAACACAACTTGAGGCAGTCCATCTGTGTTCCTTTTACCATAGTACAATGCCATGATAACTGTAGATTATGCCATGAGATACAAGCTCAGTACCTTCAGGAAGGATGGATGCCCAGCTTGTTGGTTTACCAAGCTGTGCTAATGCAACAGAGACGTTGACCTCAGCACCGCCGACCGTCCGTAGAAAGTACTCGCCTACCTCGCTGGGATAACCTTTGCTACTCGCGCTAGACGGTCTCTCTATCGGTAGATACCGGAGCATGGCTTCACCAAAAGTGGTTACATCGAATGTCTCCGAACAGCTGTTTACACGCCGCTGCCTTTCCGTCATTGTGCTCGTGGGCAAGAGGACGGTGCTACATCGGGTAAGATATCAGAGATCACATGCCATCGGTCAACAGCTCCAAAAGACAACATCACAACAAGCAAGGACATCTGACCTGATTACCTGAATTAAACTGTTGTCATTGGTTGGTTGTGCAAGTTCAAGCATGCATCTAACACTGCCTGGTTTAGATCCTTTTTCATGAGACGCACTCATGTGTGACACTTAAACGTGCCTGCTGACTGATATGATTGTAGTGTTTCACACATTGCATAAACGGCACATCAACGACCGTGCATGCAGAGAACTGGTCACCTATACCTTCAAAACATGCCACCCGGGTATTGCATCACAACACTTACAGTGCTCACGTCCAGTTATTAATCAGGATATTGGACAACCTTTTCTCAAAGGATATAGTCACAGAACAGTTTCTTGTACACCCTACTGTACCTACTAAAAATTACAGCGTTTAATATTATACAAATTGATTGAGAGCATTGTACATCGCCGAGCATTAGGCCATGGTAAAATATTGTTTGGTTCTCAAATACGCGTGCATCAATGTTTGGCAGTGCACGGAAGAATTCTTCAATTTCTGTACAGCTAGGCTAGGCTGAGAAACTGCGCGTGCAAAACCATATTATTTTATTATTATTTATTATTATTTGAGGGATTCCCCAAAGGCCGAAGCCTAAATCAAGGGGTCTCCGAGAATAAATATACGTGTACGATGCGTGTACAATAGGGTGCAATCCTTAAAAGGAAGAACATATTAAGATTAAAAAAAGATTAATGAGAAGGGGTTAAATAAGAAGTCTGAGTAGAAGCAAGCGAAAACGTCAGGCGAAATTACTGGTCAGTCGGCGACACGCATTTTTCACAAAAATTTGCGTTTCACCTGTATGCGTGTACTCAAGTCTCATCCTGAGCACGTTTTTTTCTTTCTTTTTTTCAGCTCCAGTATAGCTGTATTTTTCATTGCAAAGCCGTCCTCGATTGTTGTGTTCGTTGTTCAAACGAAGTGGACATTCAATCATGAAGGCAAAGGACATAGCAGCCTGATTGGAGTTTCTCGTGGCATAGGACGGCCACACAGAGACACTTTGGGATTTTCTGAATATAAAATACCGTACGCACGATGCTGAGATCAATTTGTGCGATATCAAATTGTTTGTGATCTACCACATCGAGCAGAACGGGATCCAAACACAAGCTTACCGACGGTTAGGCTGCCGACCTGACTGGACAAATGATCCCTGGCTTCATCAGACGCCAGAAGTCGGACACCATGTCCTTTGCCGCGACGTCCATCTCCAAAAAGAACTCCATCTTCGTCTTGAAAAGGCTTGACATACTCAATATTAAACCGAGATTCGCGGTCTCACCCTTTCTTAGATCGAATCATTTTTTGTTGTAACAGTTGCAGGGCAGATCCCCGCCACTACTTCAACAGAAGATGGCTCCAAAGCATGCCTGGAACAAGCCATATCGAGTTTGCAAGCCACCCCTCTCAGCACTTTTTTTGAAGAAATTCGAAATTTCAATGGTGGAAGGTATACTATGAAGAGAATTTCAAAAAGTATGTTTCGCGGAGCGATCGCTCAACCTACGTCATTCAAACTTTGCAGGATGGTTCAGATGTACATGCTAGGCATGGAACCACAGAAGATGATATCACAGCTGACACACCGAGTCACACACACAGCAGATTCGTGTGCACAGATACTAAATTAGTGGACGTCGTCATCTTCTTCCCGCTGATCTCAAATGTACTATGACGTGCTATTTCGCCTGACGGGGTACTGGTAAAGAAGGGGGGTAATCAGGAAGTGAGAAAACCTCGAGGATGGAATCTATACCTGTGGAAATGGGACTTAACGTGCCGGCTAAATACACCACGTATGAACTGCGTTCGGATCAGGGAGTCTACTTTACGACAAAGTTGCCTGCCCACCCACCCCGTTTTAATGGGTGTCTTGCGCTGTTCTTCTTGATATTCTATGCCAATGCGTGTGGCATACGACATATCCCGTTTATTACATGTAGTTTCTTGTTTTCTCAATTCTTGGGACCGACTGGCGGTGGGGCAGGAAGTAATGAAAGAGATGGAGTTTTTGGCCGGAAGGCGTGTTTGTCCTCTAGCCCGGTCGAGCGGTCGTGGCCAGGAATGTAGGGAGTCATTGCTTTCAGGCGCTCCCCAGTCACCCATGTTCACCACTGACCATGCTGTTTCTCCTGATTTTGCGGCCCTTTCTCCCGCATGCTTGTGGTGTTTTGACTGATTTAGAGGTCTTTCCACTATGTATCTACTATGTGGCTGTGAGTGTGGTTTTCGCTTCTACTCGATTTTGGAAAACCACTACGGTGGTGAGTGTGATTGCTCTGGTACACCACTATCCCATGTACTGAACAGTTGCTCGGTGAGTGAAAAATAAAATACAACATCCGCCCGCTCGCACCGATTTCCACAGGCTAATGTCCTGAGCATGAGAACCAACTATAATCGTTACCATGGCTATATGAATATTTTATTGTTTTGTAATATTTGTAACATTTATCACCAACCAATAATTTTAATAAAACCGAGAGCCGGGAGCGGACAACCCATTTCTGATGCTTTCACGGCCGAAGCATGGCATAATACACTCTCCTTTCAGTTTTCAGCTTGGAAGAGTCTCGGTCTAAGCCATCACTTTGTCAATAATGAGAAAATAATGAATGATGAAGCCGTTTGGAAAACTTACCTGGAGTCGATGGTTGGCCGAATTGTTTTGTACACCTGGAGCTAATGAAGATTTCGCAAGACCGCTACTGAATTGGCAACTGGACAAATCAAAGCGGTGCTATTCACAAGCAATTAGTCACGTGGGAATGAGTCGGAACAATAATTTTATCGCAAACAGTAGGAACAGCAGCTATTTAGCCAAACGCCCCAAATGACACAGGCAATAATTATTGACAAGATTGCCAGCTAGCTGGCAGCTCCCCACTGCTGAAGTACTGCCTGGGCCCTACTGAGTACTGCGACTCCGCGCTCGACTCCCCCTTATATGGGGGTACCATGGATACGGCCGAAGACAAGTGCATCATCATGATCATGCATGCATGCAAACAGCTAATAATTATGTAGAGCTAGAGTCGTAATAGTACTACTAGACTAGAGAGTAGAGTGCCACTGCCAGTCAGTCGATCGTGGGCGGGTAGGGATCCCGTGCGCATTTTCATAACGCCTGAGCTGTACAGTAAATATCGGATATAACGTGCCCCTTTGATTTTCGAAAATTTATCACTATATCCGGTGCATCACTATAGCCGATTTGCATGTTTGACCGACACATGGCACATGACTGCACATGAAATGATGCGCACACGCTGGAAAAAGCATGCTGAAAGACTTAAGTGCATGCATGCTCCGCGGACTGTGTACCGGTGCATGACACAGAGCAGTGCATGGCAGTGCAGTACGAGTACAGACTGTACAAGTCATGTACTACTAGAACTTCGATACATCATGTGGCATGGCTGCCTCTTAAAGGGGAAGTTAAGGCAAAAATTAAAATTTCACCAGTTGTAGTCTTCGGGGTGCTGAGTCGAATGGTCTTGGTCCGAGAAAGCTGAGACGCTCCCTTCCTACTTGAATCCCAATCGAACTCGCGCACTTCCACCGAAACTGGGTGACTGCGCCCTACGAGATGGGGATTTGTATGCAAAATGTCATTAAAAGCGCCATTTCGTTCTTATAAAAGCACGGATGACTGCGATTGGCCCATATGTTGTAGTCTTTTGGACGCGGAGTCGACTGGTTTTGGTCCGAAAAGGCTGCGATGCAGCGTTCCTCCTTTATTCCCAATCGAACATGGTTGAAGAAGCGGTCACGTGCTCCTGGGTGCCCAAATCACCTGGTCACCACGCCAGCAGGCGACAACTTTCACACCAAGGTTCAACTCGAGTGACAGGACTGCACCCAAAAAAGGTCAAAACAGGCTGTAAGTTGTACCCTGCAGGCACGGTGACCAGGTGACTGGTGTACGCAGGAGCACGTGACCGCTTGTTCAACCATGTTCGATTGGGAATTAGGGGCGAACGCTGCATCGCAGCCTTTTCGGACCAAAACCAGTCGACTCAGCGTCCAAAAGACTACAACATAAGGGCCAATCGCGGTCATCCGTGCTTTTATATGAACGAAATGGCGCTTTTAGTGACATTTTGCATACAATTCCCCATCTCGTAGGGCGCAGTCACCCAGTTTCGGTGGAAGTGCGCGAGTTCGATTGGGATTCAAGTAGGAAGGGAGCGTCTCAGCTTTCTCGGACCAAGACCATTCGACTCAGCACCCCGAAGACTACAACTGGTGAAATTTTAATTTTTGCCTTAACTTCCCCTTTAATGTTCAGCGTGTTCTCCAAAAAAAAGCCTGAGCTGTAACTGTAAGTGTAACCCGGCCGGGGGTACTAACCCCCCCCCCCCCCCCCCCCCCCCAGCTCACTTGTGTCGAAGTAAGTTAGGGCGCGTTCGTCACTCCGTCACTCTTTGACTTTTCGAGGAGGTTCGTTTTTCTGGCCATATTAGCCTCTTCAGAAAAACGAAGCTCCTCGAAACTCCACAACCTCACCCGATGGGAGAGGTGGATTACATGTATGTTGTAGATCCGAAGAGTTTGGAATAGCTACTACTAGGACTAGTACATGTACACGTCACGTAGTACGTGGAGATGGTCGATCTGATCGGACGTCATCATCGCCATGACAATTCCGCTGAAAAACTTTAAAAAAATTAATGATAGTTCTAATGGGACACTTCAACTACTGTAATCTCTTTTAAAAATTTGTTTGAACAGTTGATGAAGACAATTCGAACGCGGCCTAAGTTGTGAGGTCTGCATTCGACACTGACCGGGATATGGGCGAAGTGGTGGCCCGCCGATGCGAATGTATTTGCTTGACAACTTACTTGACAAGACATAATAGTTGATGTGTTCTAAACACGTCAGGTGATGCAGCCGCGATACTGAAGTCTTGCTAACTACTGGTATTAATTTTAATAGTATTTTTTTTAAATACTTTACTTTTTCTTGCTGTCCATATGACATCCTATCAAAAATTTAATAATAATAATGTACATGTAACTCGGATGGTGAGTAGGGGATAATGCCGGCAGAAAAATTAGCAGAATTCGGTACTTTTTCTGGCAAGTTTCATGCAGGTTTGGTATGTGGATAAAGAAATGGAGCAGAATTCGAGGAATTGCCCGCCATAAGGTTTGTATGGTTCTGCCAATTTCGGTGCAAAAAAAGCAGAATCTGCCACCTTTTCGAGCATTATCCGCCAAGGCCTAATGGTGAGCCAATTAAATAATTGTGAAAAGAAGAAGGACACAATGTTACGAGTTACATGTATGACTAACAGTCCACCAACGTAACCAGATAAGATCTGGTGCTGACTGTATAAGATCTGGTTACGTTGGTGGACTGTAACAGTGTAAGTCATAACTCGTAACATTTTGTCCTTCTTCTTTTCACAATAATAATAATAATAATAATAATTATTATAGAAGTTGAAAATGTGTCATATCACTCCTTTTTGTGTGCCATCTACGTCTACTGTCACACTACAGAGTACATGTATGCATCGCACAGTACGGAGTACTACATGTACATGTACATGTACATCAGTACAATCATGTCGTGTCTATGGTGATAATCATTAAAATTAATTATGTCCCTCCGTGTACGTGTATGCCGTTGGTGTGTGTCTTCTTATTTCACCCAACCCAGCTGCCACATGTGCACGTCGTTACATAGTCATTATTAGCACATCGATGTACATGTACCATGATATACACTCAGGAATCAGCCAGTGCTCAGCAGCTGAGGAAGAAACCATAGAATACATGTGGAAAATTCGGTCTCCAGCCGAGTCTCACGCGAACCTCGAATCTTTCTTTCTTTATCACAATTGGTAATAGGTTTTTTTTCATTTGACCCGACGAGACCACACGACGCTTGCAGAGGACCCCACGAACAGTTCACCAGCCACGCTCCACTAAAGCAAGTACATGATTGTAGTGTTACTCCTGACAAGTCTGGTTTCGTTCCGTAAAGATGCTGGGAACTCATCAGAGGAGAAGCAGTTGTTGAATGAAGGGGTTAAGCTGAATAACGCTATTTTATAGAGAAGATATTGGCGCAATGTGTGAACACTCAACTAACTCACATATGTGACAAATCAACACAAACGGAATAGTGCAGAATGGAGGTGTTATGAACCCTACCAGACACAACTATCACAAGGTCTAAGTCAATCACAATGAGAAGAAGAGGTACACACGAATAGTACTGGGGTGGTGACAAAGATAGGTGAAAAGAGAAGTGGACGTCAAGTGAAAGCCAATACTGAAATCATCACGGACATCTAACGTCACATCTGAAGATCGCTAACTAGTACACAAGACAAATACTTCACGAACCTCGAAAACTGAAAAATCAGCCAATGGTAGGTGAAAGGAAGGTTGCTGGGGTGTGACATAGTCGAGAACTGTGGGCTGCTGAAGCGACGTATCCATCCAGATCTTCACTGCACGGTTGGTGTCTAACGCTATATCACAATAGGTTTTGTCTCATGCGATATCAAGTGCTGTGAGTAATTGGCAAGCATCGGCTGGACGGGATTGACATTCAGTACTGTTGCATAATGTATTAATGAGCCTTTAGCCCCATCCCTCACACAAACAAGTCAACAAAGAGACATCTTTGGATTGAGGAGTGCTGGTTTCGAAACAACTGGTTTGAAGCTCAAAGTAGAGCTGGTGTTAGCTCAGAGCAGAGCTGCAGTTAGCTCATAGCAGAGCTGCTGTTAGCTCAGAGCAGAGCTGGTGTTAGCTCAATGTAGAGCTGCGGTTAGCTCAAAGTAGAGCTGCTGTTAGCTCAAAGTAGAGCTGCGGTTAGCTCAAAGTAGAGCTGCGGTTAGCTCAAAGTAGAGCTGCGGTTAGCTCAAAGTAGAGCTGCTGTTAGCTCAAAGTAGAGCTGCGATTAGCTCAAAGTAGAGCGGCTGTTAGCTCAAGGTAGAGCTGCTGTTAGCTCAAAGTAGAGCTGCTGTTAGCTCAAAGTAGAGCTGCTGTTGGCTCAAAGTAGAGCTGCTGTTAGCTCAAAGTAGAGCTGCAATGCTAAATGGATGTAATATAGCGCAAGGCAGAGCCGCAGCAAATAGCTAGATAACACCAGTTGTGAGAGTGGACCCGATTAGTGGGTACGATAATTATAATGATGGTGTGAATAAGTTGGATAGGGAGGGATGGTGGGAAAAGAAACACTGCTGAAGCACGATCCGTTGTCTGGAGGAGCACAACAGGGCAAGCAAGATTTGTTTTTGTTTTTCAGCAATATGGGCTGGTGCCATTTGTGATTATGCAACAAAACAAAGCGCATGACGTCAGTCTTGAATGCAGTACAAAGCAAGGCAGTACAGTGTGTGCGCTAGTTCGGATTGTTGCTAACAAGTACACCAGTATTCAAGAGAATTTTTGCAATATGTGTACGGTCATTGAGCTCATGAGACAAGCAGTTGCTCAACGTACTGCAGTATGTTCTATTCACCCAGGGCGCGTACAAAGATACTTAGTGGGTAAGCTGTGCATGTGGATGCATACCCAATGTGTCCTTGGCGCACTTTACAACCTGAACTACAACATGGCACATAATGCATGTAGTGTAGCAGGGAGTGGTATGTATACGACTGACTCCCTGTAGTGTAGTGTGCTACATGTACATGTACATAATATTATTATGACCTGAATACTGTGCTCTCGTCTGATCCTGGACAAATTATAATACTACTAATAGTACTATACTTCCACCAACTCGACTTGCTAGAGGAAATGTAGCAAGCACTGCAGAACCAAGTCTGGAGAATGATTGTTTATTTACCTAGGCAGATGGTGTCGTGTGTTACAAGTCTACAAATGTCACAAGTGTCACAAGTTCTTACTGTTGCTGCTGCACCAGTACAGCATGTTAGACTCGATGCAGCAACCCGTGACGCAAGAACTGGCATGAAGAGGGGCGGATGGGTGTATCCATGCTCATGATCACCCCTAATCCGGAATTGAAGCTTGCTTGTATATGGCACCTTGCTGCAGCACAATCTTCCTCGGGTTCCGAATCAGATTGAACCCTTCCTTAGCACAATATTTTCCTCGCTTGTCTATTTTCAGACAGGAAGTGTGCATTGATGTTTGCGTCTGTGTGGGGGGACTGCTTCAGGAGAAGGTGACATGAGATCGACAGATTGCAAAACTTGTTCTTGAGTAAGCCTTGGATGCTAACGAAGAGAGCAGTGCAGGCAACAGTCTTGAGCCGCTAGGAAGCCTGCCCATCAGTGGTGTGGGACTCGAGTGCAGTCAGTTATTTCTAAGTTCATCTTATTCTCGAAACACAATTATGTAGCAAGTGAAACAACACCACTGCAGTCCTTTGCCTCAACATTGACTCATGTCCTTGTAGCGGATACCATAATCGCACAAACTGACTGGTGTAGCCGCCAAAACAATGGCCAAGTTGTCTCCAGGACCTCTGCTGACTTGCCTCATAGTGACGCTCTGCTGTCTGCCAGGTCTGAACAGTAATGGCGTGTTCGGCACAGAGGCACCGCCGGTTCCAGCTAGTATATCATCAGAAGCTATTGTTAGTGAAGGTTTGCCGGTCACACATCCACAAACTAAAAATGAGGACACGACTCCAGAAGGTGGACAGCAAGAGGAGGGAAGCGGAGGTAAGAAGCCGCACCAATGAATGTTGAAAAAACCTTTGGTTTGTACGAGCTTAGTCTGCTCGCCATCGACTGCTCCCCTGAGGTAGTGAGCATACTCAAAGCCGTTGGGGGTATCTTTGTGGACAGTAGTGGAAGCAGACCAGGAGCCACAGATATGCGCCGTTGAAGTAGCTTAAAAAGACCAGCCGCCTATGCATTTCATGTGCCTCTGGCACTGTCACTATTATGCTTCAATTATTTATTATTAGCCCAGCTACTGATCAGCAACTTCACTGGATTTCTCTTTTTCCAAACGTACATGTCCAGGTGAAGTCACAACAGACGACGCGCAAGTGAATCCAGTCACCCAGCGTCCTGGAAACAGCGATCCAGCTTTGGCTACCACAACGGGTGCGTTATGACTGATTATGCTGGGCACAATCTATGTTATATTCTCTGGGTCTCCATCTCAATAATATCTCCCGAATTATTCAAGATTGCAAGCAGTGTTCGTATAGAATTGCACTGCGTGAATATTTTTTACTTGGGCATTCATAACAGATCCTAGAGTGTCCTCGTTTCTCACATAATGAGCATACAGACAGGCATGGACCATGAATCCATGATAGACAATGAGGGCAACAGGACACAACTTGAGGGGTAGTTGGCCACAGCCAGATGGGTAATCAAAGTACACTGTCCGGGCAAAGTGAGTTGGGGCTATTTGCAGCTACTCGGTTTGGAGTAAGTTGTCTCATCAGTAAAAACAAACACCATATATTAGCAATTTTATATTCATCCTTCTCCTTCTTTCTTTCCCTTACTACCTCCCTCACTGTCTCTGTCTGTTTGCCTGTCTGTCTGTCAGGCAGTCTGTCTATCTGTCTGTCTATCCCTCTTTGTTGGTCCCTCTTCTATCTATCTCTATCTATTTCTCCCGCCCAACTGTGCGAGTTAATGAAATGCTGTAGCCTTGCAGTACATCATGTGCCTGACTACTTGGTGCCACTATGCACTTCTGCATCATGTGTGTCGCCTTCTTCTTGCTGCAGAATCAGACCCGACCAAGACATTAGCCATAGCACTTGGCGCCGTGTGGGGAGCTGTCTGTATTCTTCTGGTCGTTATCCTCATTGTTATAGTACAACGAAGTCGTCAAAACAGGTAAGTACTGCGTTTAGACTAGTTTTAAACATGCATAATGTGCTGCAAATGCTTCGGTGTAAGTGCCACATAACCTTTTTTGCAACAATTTTGTAAATTCCATTCAATTCAGCACGCTTGGCTTTTACCTCGCTTACGCAATTGCCTTTAGATACTAGTACATTTTGAAAGTAATTGCAAGATCTGTGGCGACTTCCTGAGAGCCACTATACTCTACAGACAAGCAACTGTGAGGTGACAATGGAGTGACATACACCCTAATAATCACAGCCAAATTTGTTTACTTCTTATAACTTGGGCATGCATGTACCACGCTTGTTGTTAGTTTGACAGCATGAAACAAGGTGGAGGACACTGTGTGCGGAAACAGTGACCTTACTACAACCATCCACTGTTGGCAGAGCCCCGGTCCGTTGGGACCATTTGAACCATATGGGTGTTGAATGCTGCCAAACTAACAACATGTGTGAACTATAACAATGTTTATCTAATACTAGTATTGAACTAGTATTGAACTAGTATTGAACTAGTATTGGGTTATATAATACCATGTACCACGCTGTTTGACTGTAGCACGCCATAGCAATCTCCAGGCAGCTACATGTATGTGTTGTTTTATGCATATGCTGAGCCACGACACAGGCCCCTGCCCCCCCCCCCCCCCCCCTCTCCATCACCCAACATTGTACCACACTGACTTACTGGTGAGCCTATTCGTTATTTTCCCCAGAGAACATGCCGGCGCTGATGGTACAAGGAAGAAGAGTACAGATGACTTGGAGATGACTGATTTGCTGTAAGGCCAAATCTTCACGCTTTGCACCTTACTCGCACTACGGAGAGGGGAAATTCTGTTGCAACTCTGAGTTTCCCGTTCCCGTTTCTCAATGCCAATCCATTTGAAATGCATACTGATTAGTCAGTGTGTTCAGCATATCTCCTTCCGTTTGCAAATTTGGGTAGGCCGCGCAGGCCTGGCGGAACCGGTCCAGTTGGTCAGGCCATGGCCGTACCAACTATTTGACCAGCACAGTGTGTTTAGTGCTGAGGTGGTTATGTGTATACCTTCCACATCATACACAAACTGTATGGAAGGCCAGGGTATGGCCCCACCAATAATTATTAAAAACTAGTTCCACCGGTCCTGTGGTGGACAGGACTACTGTACTGCGTTTGATACACTACCAAGGCCCAGAGTCGCATTACACCACACAATCCAAGTACAGTATTATCCATATAACCAAAGGTAATGAACGCTTCGCATTGAGCATGCCTGGAGTGGAGAAGCTACCTTCTCTGCAAATGAATGTGATTCGCACAAGTGAAGCACAAACATGCACGTACATACATTATAGTTCATTTTGAGTAGAACATTGCGCCACTGCCACAGGCACTGACAGAAAATCAAGGTGACTAAATAGCCGGGTAAGCCTGGTGGGCTGCACTCATGTACACAGCAAATTATCCCCACAACCACATACAAAAATACATACACACAAACATTTTTTTACATACAGTCAACTTTGCTAATAACGACTGCGGATATAACGACAGAATTTCCATGCCCAGAACAAAGTCCCATCCCACTGGAATACATATAATGAGACTTCGGGTATAACGACACTTCGCGAATAAGGACACCTTTTTGATGCCCCGCCGAGTGTCGTTGTAAGCGAAGTTGACTGTATCTGCATAATGGTGTGAATACAGACACATACACGTACCTAGAGGGAGAACCGCCAAATTTTCTACTTTCTGTGCACGTATTCATATGGAGACAGAGAGACTAAACTTCCAATAATTGACTGGGAAAGCTCTGAATGATGCCAGTATCAGGGAACTTGATCCTCAGACGTGATCACCAGACTAGGTAAATATTGCGAGAAATAGCCACATGATAGCTTTGCCAGGGCAGGGAGAAGAGCGTGAAATTGTCTGGCACACATGCATAACAGGAGATGATCTCTCTCTCTCTCTCTCTCTCTCTCTCTCCCTCTCTCTCTCTCTTTCTCTCTCTCTTCCATCTTCTCTCTCTCTCTCTCTCTCTCTCTCTTTCACTCTCTCTCTCTCTCTCTCTCTCTCTTTCTCTCTCTCTCTCTATCTATCTATCTCTCTCTCTATCTATCTATCTATCTCTCTTTCTATCTCTCTATCTCTACGTTGTTTGCCATTTGGCGCATCTCCACACAGACCCAATGGAGCTGATGCTGAGAAAGGAGCAACGGCAAGTCTCGACGACAAAACCGAAGATAAAGATAACCCTGATGGCAAGACATCCGCAGAAGATGGTGACAAACCAGAGAATGGTGCTGAATTGCAAGAGAGTGCTACAGGTGCTACGAAAGCAGACGCTGAAAACTCTACCCCATCCGCAACAGCAGCAGCACCACCAAAAGATGTGGGTGAGGAGAATGCTGAAGGTGCTAAAGAAAGAAATCTTGCAAGCTCTAGCCCACCAGTGAAATCAGCAGAAAAAGATGAAGATGTCACCCAGTGCACTGCAGAGTCAACAGCAGTGTCAACTGGGGAAGAAACTAAGACAGACACTCAGACAAATGCGGAAAGTCCCAAGAAAACAACCGACTTGCAATCAGTTGGAGAGAGCCAAGCCAATAGTGTCAAGGATACAGAAGGGAAAGCATCTGCCAAAGGAGAGAACTCCAATGACACTGAAGGCGAGACCAGTTGTGCGGGTACTACAGAGAAACCAACCTCTGGTAAGGAGCAGGGTGACAGCAAGGACATGGTTAGTAGTGATCAGGGGCAAGCCTTGGACAAGACACAGCAAACCAAGGAATCTGGCAGAACGGAAACAAATGACTCCGAGGACATGGCAAATGACACCGTCACCACTGATGTGGAAGACACAACTACCAAGAAAGGTGAAGAAGGCCAAACCTCTACTGGTGATAGCAACAAGCAAGACCCGACGGCAAAGACTGAAGAAGAGGTGGTTGCTGAGACGAAGGACGAGGCATCGTGATGGCATCGAGCAGTGCAACTGCAAGAGAATCACGGACGGCGAGTTATTCTTCAAGATGATCAGAAAGTCATCTTGAAATAAAAAGGTGCAAAACATCAACGGAAGATAGTGTACAAATATTCTACGTGTGTATTACAATTTTCACCACTAATTTATTGCACCACCGCACCTGGTTATTGCACCACTGCACCTGGTTATTGCACCACCGCACCTGGTTATTGCCACATTCTTCCTTCAGTAGTATGTCATGCACTCATAATCAATAGTATGTCGTCCAGTCATAATCAACAGCATGCACTGTCCACTTTAATCACTTCTGATGGTAATTTGTAATTTTTCTCGACCACCAGTGTCACCTACCAGCAAAGGTGATATACTCGTCAGATTGAATTCATGAGCCATATTCATGATATTGCAGTTTTGGCAGGCTGGTATTCCGCGGACTCTCAAATTCATATATGTATGTCGTGCCATGCTGTGCCCCCCCCCCCCCCTCCCCCTCCAGACATGCAAACATCCATATCCACACACAATGCTAGTGTCATTGGATACATTCCTGCTCGTTTTTGCAGGTGCATACAACACTGCCCTTTCCCTTATCCTGTGCCTAGTCATATCATTTCCAAATATCGACCAATTCACGTCATGCAGGCCTATGGATCTCACCAGAAGCATTGATGCATTATAGGGAACCTTTGTGATTTCTCTCCCACAATTTAACTTGTTGCTTGGATTTGTACTCACCTTGAAATTACCCAAACTACAACATACATGTACATTAAACAGTCGTTTGCAGTTTGCCAATTATTCGGCTATCACGTTCTCAGGTGATCGTTCAAGTCCGCCGTCACATTCACCAAAGACCTATCTCCCCAAACAATGGCAAAGTATGTCTTATTACCCATAGCATAAGCCATTCTGTGAAAACGTAAGCCATTCTGTGAAAACGTAAGCCATTCTGTGAAAACGTAAGCCATTCTGTGAAAACGTAAGCCATTCTGTGAAAACGTAAGCCATTCTGTGAAAACGTAAGCCATTCTGTGAAAACGTAAGCCATTCTGCCAATATACATGTACTGTGCATGTACAATGTACATGTCCATAATATCCATGTACATGACGTTAGGTTGTGAATGATACACTACTGCAGTACTAAACAGTAAACTAGTAAACTCTTACCGAGTCAAGTGTAATCCTGGTATTCTACTACTTATGCACTATGAGTATGATAAGCATAAACAGCTACTTAGAATAGTTACTGGTTAGAAGTACCGTGTAACTGTAAAGGACTAATGCCAAGGTACACTTACTTGGTCGTACATGTACCTATTGTTAGATTGACAGCATGAAACCTGTACCTGTTGTTGATTCTACACAGTGAAGAGAGTTTTCAAACACTCAAGCACTACAGATCCACACTCCTTGGTTGTGGACGGGTGACATGGCGATACGGCGATAGGTGGATGTTTAATACCAGGTGAAACCGTGAAACTCACACACAGGACTCACTGCGCTATCATACATGAGCTGCGTGAGATTAGCAACACAAGTCATCAGTGTCATGAGTTTTGCCTGATTTCCTGGTACATGTATTCAATGGTATTTGCTGCTCCTATTTAATTCCTAGTAACAACATGCACGTGACTCACGTGCATGTACATGACTGTGTACATAATCATTGCCATCATCGTAATCTTCTCCGACATTGCCTTTATCAGTTTTCTCATATGGCTGTTCGAAGCCCGTTGCCTCATTCGTAACGTTACGAATGGACATGTAGTGACAATCCGACGTGAAAGACACGTCCCCTCCCCAACCACAGCAGGCTGCTGGGAGTGACATCCCCAGCCTAAGGACCATGTCTTGTGCGAACCGCCTTTGATCCTGCGGGACATCACAGAAGTATGCGGCCAGTCAGCAGCCTGCAGGCTTACAAATATTGATTATTATGTTCTGCCTCACGAGAAGGTGCGACCATTGTCCGTGTGTCCGATGCCAATGACAATGATTATGTGCCCTGACACGTCTCAGTCCTGCCAGTCCTGCCACTTGCCAGTCCTGCGAGTCCTGCCAGCTTTGCGTTGTACAGGCAGTCAGACAGTCAGTAGTCATAGTCACAGATGATTTGCATGTCGTAGTTGGCAAAATGTGCAATGATGTGCAGTGCGCATTGACACTGTCCGACATGTCAGGCACGTCAACAAGACAACATCTCCGAGGCTGAGCAGCTCCTCGCAGTTCCAATGACTATGACGTCTATGTTGCAATCATTCCTCATTCTCACTCGCCTTTAGTTTAGCCTAGTTTAGGGTTGTACCGGTGGAATGACATTGAGTCCACCTTCATTGCTTGTAGAAGAAAATTATCTTTGCCGCTCTCTTCCATCAACACTCAAAGCTTTCGGCGAAGAGGAGTTTTTGGTGGACTGCTAAAAGGAAATTTATTCGAAGGCATTTTTTCAGAATGAAGAGCATAAAAATCTCGAGCAGTTACTCCAGGAATGTGACGGACTAGATCCTCGACCCATCGCTGATTGCCATCATAAGTTGCCTTCAGCCATGCTCTAGCGGTTAGAGGGTATTGTGGTTTGGTGTGAGGCAGTGGGCTGAAGTGAGAGAGTGGCGATAGCTGGCAGTTTGGTGTTGTAGCTGACATCATGGCCGCTCCGCGCCAAGCAAGAACACTGAGCTTGACCAGGCTGGCAGAAGAGGTGAGAGGGAGGGTTGATTGCATAGATTATTGTGAGCTGGAGCAGTTACATGCTCTCGTGTTCTAATGTAGTGCCGCCCGTGTACAGTGGTGTAGATTAGATCTACTCCTGCACAACCTGGGAGTACGTGTACGTGTGTGATACAATCATACTGTTACACGTACTGTCACTACTACATGATGTATACAGTACTCATGGTAGATTCTACTAGCACACTGTGAGAAACCTCCCAGCAGATGACCGTCAGCTGGTGCTTCTCGCCAGAATACTTGAGGAAATGTCACAGACAAAATTATATGCAGGCATAAAGACCCTGAATTCGATTGTACGGTCAAGCATGTGGCGGTGTGTGGCGAACTGTTATGTTGACCATGGAGATTCCTCTTTCCAAACAGGCATCATCGGCAGTGGTCATAGTTCGTTTGCATCATTCCGTCCTTATCTTTCCGTGTTGCAGTGACTTGGCCATCGGGCTGCTTGAGAAATGTATGATTTATAGCCAGTACCATATTAACTGTACCTCTGTTGCACATGCCGTGCGATCGCATTGCAGATTGACGGTATGCACACTACAACTGTGTTGAGCAAATCACTGTGCAAGGAAACCAGCACTAAAAAGGAATATTCATCAAGCACCAAGATGGATTGCACTGTTCAAACCCAACTGTAGCAGCAGGCCCAAACGTATGAGGGTGAAGTCTCCCCAAAAAGTATACGACAACCAGATCGCCCACATCGACAATCCATGCATTGTTGGGAAGAATCTTATGTGCAGACGTGACTTCTCACAACGATATGTACCTACTGTGAGAGCACGCACTTGCATGCACCTGGCTGACCTAGCTAGTCTTTGCCGCAGGGTATGCTAGTCTATGCCGCACATATTCAATCTGGGTTTCATTTGAGGTGCAGTTATGGCCACACAAGCTGTGCTAGCTGCTATGCTTTTGATGTTGATCACTATTTCTATTATGTCCATGGTTCACTATCCTGTACATAGGTGATGAAATTGGCCAAGAATGATCCGAACAGGAAGAAACCCTTCTCCACAGCGCTAACATCAGCTGCAAGAGACGCGATCACAGACCAGGTCTCCACAGCAGCATGCCACTTTTCACTAACAGGAATGCAGGTATGATAATTCATCAATGCGGGTATGAATTATCAATTGGTCATGTTACCTGATCCTGTTTGCATCTAATACTGTCTTGTTTATATCATTCCTGGGAGCATTTCAGCTGATAGTCACAACCCATTCCGGATGAAACCGTCTATGTCTTGACAATTTGCCATAGAAATTTTTGTGACACAGTACAGCAAATCTTGGTAGATTCTGAAGCTCTTCCCATATCAATTTCAGAATGGCACCTCGTCTGTAAATTTAAAAAAAATAGTCACAACTTGGAACATATCCTTATCAGCTATGTTATCATCCTTGTGTTTTCGCTGTTTACTGCTTGCCCACTTCTCAGCTACTACGTGAAGTCAAGTCATTAGGATCGCGGGATCTGATGAAGGAAGCCAACAAGATTGTTGGATCCATAGACAGCTGCTTCTCTACACTGTTCCAATCTTGCTCAATGATAATACAAAAGCCTTCAGATCTCTCTCACCGTACAGCAGCTGTCGGTGCCATGTTTGAGGTGATGGTCTGGATCAAAGAGCTAGCAAATCTAGCGCTGCTGATGGACAAGATCAAGATTGAAAAGCAGCTGAGAAAGGTAAACTGTTTTCCTGGACTTGAAAACACAAGAATCTGCTGCTGGTACTACTGGTGGTTAGATGCTTCAGCTGCGGCTGCTGCTCCTGACAATGATGATACATGCTGCTGCTGCTGCTGCTGCTGATAAACATTCACTTGTATTTTGCGAAGTCCTTCATGCATGCACTTCTCATGTACATAGAACAGACTGTGTGGCATGAATAGTGACAGGGAGACAGTACCACACCTTGAAACTTGAGTGTCAAGTCGCGAACTGGGCGATCGTTCATCCTAGACCTTGCTTTACATATGGTGTGTCAATGTGTTGTATTATCACAGGTTCAAAAACAATTAACAAAGCTTGGAGAAAATCCTCAGCCTCAGCAGCTAGCACAGTTTCACAAGCAGCATCAGCGAGCAATGGAACTCTACAGTCAATTCACCACGGCAACAGACACACTGACAAGTAGGCACGGCACAGATCAGACGGCGGCATCCAGTGTGATCAGTATAGTACTGAAATGGTCACAACAACTAGTGCAGATTCTCATCACAGCCAGCAGTGTAAGTCTAACAGGCATTCTCCCCCTCTCTTCTCCCCCTCTCCCCTCTCCCCCTCTCCCCCTCTCCCCCTCTCCCCCTCTCCCCCTCTCCCCATTGCATCATATTTCTGGCTCCATGGACCACTGACCTACTAAATAAGGAGCAGTTTGCACATTGATATTGTTACGGTGGGGCGCGTTCTACAAAAATATCTTTCTCAGAGAGCTGAATGAATGATTTACAGGCTTGCTTGTCGCTTATCCAAACCTCAATGCCCTATTCAAACCGTATGTGTCACAGGTCAGTATACGCATGGTCACAATCATAATATTAATTTTCACTATGTTGCTGCCATACAGGGTATGCTACTTGAGTGGAACATTGCAAGTAGTAACAGTTCAGTGACTGCGTATACTGGTGGTGGGAAGAGCAGTGTACTCGAGCCTATCATGAATCAGCTATCAGCAACACTGGACAGATTGGCTGCACTGCTTGGGCAGGAGGATGACACACACGATTCACCAAAGAAATCCCCAAAGAAGCCAGTCGCCCCGGCTGGAGTGCTGAGCAATGCTTTAGCTGCATTCGAAGTAAGTCGTTGGGTGGATAGGAATTGTCCATTGCTATTAATGGGACCAGAGCTCGGAGAAATGTTTTGGATAAAATGAGGAACACTGCTTGACCAGAGTTCAAAACACCTATTTTATTTTGATGAGTGTTGTGCATACCATTGAGCTACAAATAACCTGGGTATAAAAATGCTATAAATGATTTCAGAATATCACCCATGTCCAACAGTTGGGACGGGATATTTGCACTATGCCTTTAGCTTCTTCTCGCCTAAATCCGTTTGGTTTGCATTGGCTATCTTCTTTCTCTCCTTTCTGTCAGCTTCTTGCAGCTAAAGAACCACCAAACGTTAACCGTGCAAAACTTGAAGCTCACATCGCTTCACTTAGAAGACAATGCAACACCATCCTGCAGCACTCCGGTGCTTGTATTGATATTCGTAACCATGACAACATACATCAGCATGGCAACCATGATGGCAACGAGCTGATGACAGCACGTCAGACTAAAGCGGAGATCGCCGTGGAAACGGTCACCCTGGCAAACAACACCCTGCTATCGGCTGTATCAGACCTGGTAAGACGGTGACTGTCTATACATGTTACTGAGCAATGTAAGGTTGTACATGCACACTCATCATATCTTTTATCCGGGCGATCCTGGATCGGTCACTATCCAGAACTTGGAAATATCCGTAACTCTGAATTATGTACGTTGTGATAGGGAAGAGATCTGGAATTTACGTCTATTTTACTAAAACTCACCTACAGGGTTGCCCGGTAGACTGAGGTGCCCCTAACTCTCTAGGCCCGGATAAGAGAGATATGAGTATACACAAACCCCATAATAGCACAGTGGGTACTGTGCAGTTTCCCGGTAGTGCTGAAACGATTATATCGATTACTCGTTACTGACTCGATAAGAAATAGATCGAATGGTTATTTCGATTTTATCGGCTAAACGAGTAGAATGTTACTTACGCTCTGTATGGGATTTCCCCCCCCCCCCCCCCCGCCCCCCCCCCCTTTTGGGGGTCACACAAAGCGTGCATGACTTGTATCGAAAGTGTTGCAAGTACGGCATGAATATGTACATGACTGCACACTTGCAACATCGATGTATGTGTAAAAGTACAAGCACGATCTGAGAAACATCGACGTGATCACCGTCGCCGTCTTTTGAACTGACTACATGCTGTACTAGTACTTTTCTTACATACAGCATGCAGGACGGGCTGGCTCAGTACGTGTCTACACTAGCTAGCTGCAGGGCTAGGGGCTGGAGTTCCCTCCACGTGCGAGTAGTCTTGCGCTAAAGACAGTAAAGTGGTACATGGTCTTCAGTTTCGTGTTTTCCGTTCCGTCGACGGTTCCCGAACCAGTTTGCTCGACGACGAGCTAGGCCTGGCGTCTGGGCCTCTTTTGAGAATAGACAGGAAAAGCAACTAGTTACTTGTTGGCGCACCTCAAGTCAGCTCATCCATCGAAATCTGCCAATCTGCACCCCTGGCCGGCTTCTCTGACTTCATCGTGAAAGTCAGCGAAGTCACAGGCGAAGGGCACCATCAGCTCCTAGGTTGCAGCCAGTGCGTTGCCTCTGTCTTGTCTGTGTTCGTCTGGTCAGTCCGAGCAGCTGACGGACTTGTTGTGGGATCATCGGATCTATGCGCCCGCTATCCGTCGTCGGCAATGTTGGACTCGTAAATTTTTTGAAATTCACAGAACGTACACGTACTGATGTAGTTGCAATAATAATCGTTTAGCCGATAAGCCGATCGTTATGGTATCAGCTAAGCCACTAAGGAAAAACGTAATCGTTTCAGCACTAAGTTTCCGAGCTTTACACATCTCACATGACAGTATCCAGTCAGGCGTGATGCTGGTTTATGATTTGGGCTTGTGGTCGTGTGTTAAATGCTTCCAGTGCTGTCTTTCCAACTGCATTTCAATGTATTGACCAGATTTGCACAGAAACAGGTTTGAGCTTCAGCCCGGTCACTTCTCACGCTTTTCCATGTTTCTTCTTTCTCCGCAGCCATCAAACAATACTCCTCGTGACCTGGCCACGCTGAAATACTTTGACGACAGCCTCAACCGACTATTGCCTGCTGTTGCGTCGCTAAGAAGACGTCTTATGCGTGTATGCGCTGAACACTACGTGTCAGTTCTGGCTCATTTCGACCCAGCCGTATTCGACATGCTGCCGTCAGACTCGTCACAAGATCATGGCAGAACAAGAACCATGTCTGACTCCATCTCACCTCCAGGAGAGGTGTCACGTGATCAGTTAGTAGTGTCACCAATTGACTCCGTGTCCAGCGTGTCTTTGAATATGCCCTCACCGTCACCAACCTGGGATTCCAAGACTCCTTCACCAGCCTCGCCATTGTGTGGTAGGTCTAGTATGCAAAACTGTGCTGGAAAACGTAAATGGTCATTAAGATTTACAAGAGTGTAGAAGTGAGTAGTAGTGTTGTACTTGTTGTGTCCAATAAGGTAACACACAGCAAGGGGAGAAGAAGTTCTTTTACAATCCCGAGTTTCAAAGGAAATTTTCAATGTTTTCAATGTTTCAAAGGAAGTTTTCTGTGTCCTTGCTGAGTGCGAAAGACCTTCCTGTGTCCTTGCTGTGTGCAAGGGACTTTTCTCTGTCCTTGCTGTGTGCAAAAGGCTCTGCCTTAAGATAACGACCGCTTTCCATGCTGTTCCATTCTGAGCTCATGTACTTCCTCAAGACCAGCACAATGTACAGGAAACAGATACAGTAAAACCTGTGACAACGACCACCCCTTGGGGCCAGAGAAAGCGGCCTTTAGTGGCAGGTGGTCCTTAGTTAGAGGTTTGCACCGCACAACCATATACAAATGTGAGACCGTCCGTGCCTGGCAAAGTGGTTTGTAGTACCAGGCTGGTCGCTAGTCACGGTGGTCTGTAGTACCAGGCTGGTCGCTAGTCACGGTGGTCTGTAGTACCAGGCTGGTCGCTAGTCACGGTAGTCTGTAGTACCAGGCTGGTCGCTAGTCACGGTGGTCTGTAGTACCAGGCTGGTCGCTAGTCACGGTAGTCTGTAGTACCAGGCTGGTCGCTAGTCACGGTGGTCTGTAGTACCAGGCTGGTCGCTAGTCACGGTGGTCTGTAGTACCAGGCTGGTTGCTAGTCACGGTAGTTTGTAGTACCAGGCTGGTTGCTAGTCACGGTGGTCTGTAGTACCAGGCTGGTCGCTAGTCACGGTGGTCTGTAGTACCAGGCTGGTCGCTAGTCACGGTAGTCTGTAGTACCAGGCTGGTCGCTAGTCACGGTGGTCTGTAGTACCAGGCTGGTCGCTAGTCACGGTGGTCTGTAGTACCAGGCTGGTCGCTAGTCACGGTGGTCTGTAGTACCAGGCTGGTCGCTAGTCACGGTAGTCTGTAGTACCAGGCTGGTCGCTAGTCACGGTAGTCTGTAGTAGCAGGCTGGTCGCTAGTCACGGTGGTCTGTAGTACCAGGCTGGTCGCTAGTCACGGTGGACTGTAGTACCAGGCTGGTCGCTAGTCACGGTGGTCTGTAGTATCAGGCTGGTCGCTAGTCACGGTAGTCTGTAGTAGCAGGCTGGTCGCTAGTCACGGTGGTCTGTAGTACCAGGCTGGTCGCTAGTCACGGTGGTCTGTAGTACCAGGCTGGTCGCTAGTCACGGTGGTCTGTAGTACCAGGCTGGTCGCTAGTCACGGTAGTCTGTAGTACCAGGCTGGTCGCTAGTCACGGTAGTCTGTAGTAGCAGGCTGGTCGCTAGTCACGGTGGTCTGTAGTACCAGGCTGGTCGCTAGTCACGGTGGACTGTAGTACCAGGCTGGTCGCTAGTCACGGTGGTCTGTAGTATCAGGCTGGTCGCTAGTCACGGTAGTCTGTAGTAGCAGGCTGGTCGCTAGTCACGGTGGTCTGTAGTACCAGGCTGGTCGCTAGTCACGGTGGTCTGTAGTACCAGGCTGGTCGCTAGTCACGGTAGTCTGTAGTAGCAGGCTGGTCGCTAGTCACGGTGGTCTGTAGTACCAGGCTGGTCGCTAGTCACGGTGGTCTGTAGTACCAGGCCGGTCGCTAGTCACGGTAGTCTCTAGTACCAGGCGGGTCGCTAGTCACGGTGGTCTGTAGTACCAGGCTGGTCGCTAGTCACGGTGGTCTGTAGTACCAGGCTGGTCGCTAGTCACGGTAGTCTGTAGTACCAGGCTGGTCGCTAGTCACGGTAGTCTGTAGTACCAGGCTGGTCGCTAGTCACGGTAGTCTGTAGTAGCAGGCTGGTCACTAGTCACGGTGGTCTGTAGTAGCAGGCTGGTCGCTAGTCACGGTGGTCTGTAGTACCAGGCTGGTCGCTAGTCACGGTGGTCTGTAGTAGCAGGCTGGTCGCTAGTCACGGTGGTCTGTAGTACCAGGCTGGTCGCTAGTCACGGTGGTCTGTAGTACCAGGCTGGTCGCTAGTCACGGTAGTCTGTAGTAGCAGGCTGGTCGCTAGTCACGGTGGTCTGTAGTACCAGGCTGGTCGCTAGTCACGGTGGTCTGTAGTACCAGGCCGGTCGCTAGTCACGGTAGTCTCTAGTACCAGGCGGGTCGCTAGTCACGGTGGTCTGTAGTACCAGGCTGGTCGCTAGTCACGGTGGTCTGTAGTACCAGTAGACTGTGAGCCAAGTGCATGAATTCATGATTTTCGTTCCCACTTTGGGTGTACCGCGATTTTGTTCTTTTAGCATGTGGAGAGACCTAATAGAAGATCATTTTTGATTGTTGTCAGTTTGGGAAGCTTGCAGGGAAGTCAAAATAAGCAATTACCTTAACATACCCCGTTTCCATAGCAACTACATAGCAACTGACATAGCAACATGCTATTTTGAAGGTGTTTCTTACTTTTTTCAGCAGGCAACGGCACTGGACGAAGAAATGTATATCAAGCGTCATTGCAGCTGGGTTAAAATAACTATACGAGCCAAAAATTATAGAATTACGCATAAGTGCATTGTATAAAGTACGTGCACATTTTAAATATTACTCGAAGTGACGATGCACTGGTAGGTAAGTGCACATGAAATGGTGCCGACAACCACGAAATGCATTTCAGGAATGATAATGTACAGAACAAACAGGTGGCATTCAATATACAAAGCCCAGCAGCAGCGAATTCTCCAGACAACGGTTGGAAAAGACCATCAACAACAGCCAGGAGAATCTGGTTTAATCCGGTGCAATGCTCATTTCACCCTCTACATCTCTATAATATATACATGTACAGTATGGCAGAACAATGTTAAAGAAGTTGCTGGATACAGGATTTGTATATTTGCACTCATATAACTGATCAATGTAACGTTACTTCGTAAGTACTGCTGTATTGCTTCCTAACTTATAAGTGCAAAGGGTAGAGCAATGACCGTAACCAGTAACGTTAGAGGACCACAGGGGTATACCGGCAGATACAGATCTGTAGTTTATTTGAACTATAATAATTATTATTTTGAAACATTACCCATTGTATGTACAGAACACAAGCGGAAAGATACATGCATATTCATGTTAATCATAGTCTGAAGCACTTCAGTATAAAAGATCGAAACAGTTATTAGCTCTCCGGAGATAAGGTACATTGTACGTTCTACATGTATTTCTGCTCCAACACTGATTACAAAAACCTTTAGTTTAGCTTGACTGATCAGCAGCAAGCATGCTAGCACACTGATATGATGGACATGATGATGTTCGTACTGCCACTGCGCTGCACTAGCACTGCACACAATACTATAGTCGTATAGAAACCACGAAAAAACATCGTCATGATGCGGCTGGGTTTGCACCACCGTACATTTTTGCGAGGTCAGTGGTGCAACAGAAGTCCGCTCCAGCTCTTGTGACCTTGGTTCTTGTCGATGGCGGCTATTGATTTGGCCAAAGTAGTTTCTCCCTTCTATTTGGGCATGTTCGTGCCTGATTTGGAAGTGACAACAAGCTGAATTCGTATCTAGTCGAGTAGATGAAACGAACTGGGGAAAAAAATTGCGGTACGCTCAAGGTCGGAACGAAAAAAAATTCTAACAGGATTTTTGGTGCCTGGCTCACAGTCTACAGGCTGGTCGCTAGTCACGGTGGTCTGTAGTACCAGGCTGGTCGCTAGTCACGGTAGTCTGTAGTACCAGGCTGGTCGCTAGTCACGGTAGTCTGTAGTACCAGGCTGGTCGCTAGTCACGGTAGTCTGTAGTACCAGGCTGGTCGCTAGTCACGGTGGTCTGTAGTACCAGGCTGGTCGCTAGTCACGGTGGTCTGTAGTACCAGGCTGGTCGCTAGTCACGGTGGTCTGTAGTACCAGGCTGGTCGCTAGTCACGGTGGTCTGTAGTACCAGGCTGGTCGCTAGTCACGGTGGTCTGTAGTACCAGGCTGGTCGCTAGTCACGGTAGTCTGTAGTAGCAGGCTGGTCGCTAGTCACGGTAGTCTGTAGTACCAGGCTGGTCGCTAGTCACGGTGGTCTGTAGTACCAGGCTGGTCGCTAGTCACGGTAGTCTGTAGTACCAGGCTGGTCGCTAGTCACGGTGGTCTGTAGTACCAGGCTGGTCGCTAGTCACGGTAGTCTGTAGTACCAGGCTGGTCGCTAGTCACGGTGGTCTGTAGTACCAGGCTGGTCGCTAGTCACGGTGGTCTGTAGTACCAGGCTGGTCGCTAGTCACGGTGGTCTGTAGTACCAGGCTGGTCGCTAGTCACGGTGGTCTGTAGTACCAGGCTGGTCGCTAGTCACGGTGGTCTGTAGTACCAGGCTGGTCGCTAGTCACGGTAGTCTGTAGTAGCAGGCTGGTCGCTAGTCACGGTAGTCTGTAGTACCAGGCTGGTCGCTAGTCACGGTGGTCTGTAGTACCAGGCTGGTCGCTAGTCACGGTAGTCTGTAGTACCAGGCTGGTCGCTAGTCACGGTGGTCTGTAGTACCAGGCTGGTCGCTAGTCACGGTGGTCTGTAGTACCAGGCTGGTCGCTAGTCACGGTGGTCTGTAGTACCAGGCTGGTCGCTAGTCACGGTGGTCTGTAGTACCAGGCTGGTCGCTAGTCACGGTGGTCTGTAGTACCAGGCTGGTCGCTAGTCACGGTAGTCTGTAGTAGCAGGCTGGTCGCTAGTCACGGTAGTCTGTAGTACCAGGCTGGTCGCTAGTCACGGTGGTCTGTAGTACCAGGCTGGTCGCTAGTCACGGTAGTCTGTAGTACCAGGCTGGTCGCTAGTCACGGTGGTCTTTAGTTACAGGTTTTACTGTATTTGTGACAGACGATCTCCATGACAAAGAAATTAGTAAACTAGTACTTCGAAGTAGAAGTGTTTCCAGTACTAGTGTGGTCCGGAGACCTGCTGCCACATTCTTCAGTGAATCCCTGAGTGACGAGAGCAGCGATCAGTACACTGCCAGTCCTGTTTGAGTGTCTTGGTCTGCAACTCGCTTTAGAAGTAGCATTTCAACTCGGTGTGTGTCGTTTTTTGCCGTTTTGTTCTTTGCAGTGCCACGGCATGCAGGAGTGGATGACGTGTACCGAGAAATCGACTGCACTTTGGAAAGTGATTTTCTGAAGTACAAAAGCAGAATGCTAGACCAGCACCAGCACATCCGTCAAGTAAGCACTGGTATACAGTCAACTTCGCGTATAACGACACTCGGCGGGGCATCAGAAAAGTGTCGTTATTCGCGAAGTGCCATTATACCCGAAGTCTCATTATATGTATTACAATTGGATAGGACTTTGCTCTGGGCATGGAAATTCTGTCGTTATTCGCGAATTGTCGTTATATCCGCAGCAGTCGTTATTAGCGAAGTTGACTGTAGTTGTTACAAGTCACATCCGAACCAATGTGTGCAATTGCTGAACCAATGTGTGCAATTGCTGAACCAATGTGTGCAATTGCTGAACCAATGTGTGCAATTGCTGAACCAATGTGTGCAATTGCTGAACCAATGTGTGCAATTGCTGAACCAATGTGTGCAATTGCTGAACCAATGTGTGCAATTGCTGAACCAATGTGTGCAATTGCTGAACCAATGTGTGCAATTGCTGAACCAATGTGTGCAATTGCTGAACCAATGTGTGCAATTGCTGAACCAATGTGTGCAATTGCTGAACCAATGTGTGCAATTGCTGAACCAATGTGTGCAATTGCTGAACCAATGTGTGCAATTGCTTCAGATCAATAGTCTGAGGGTTTACCTTTTGTACGCGACCGCGAGGTCATCAAAAACTCAGGGTTTGTTCACGACTCAGAGGGTATACTCAATCCTGGTCGTTGGCGTATCATCTCATCGTGATCGTTGCCATCATCTCCTCGTAATCGTTGTCATCATCTCCTCGTAATAGACTAATAGTTGTTGTTCATTCTGTTGTGTTTAGATGTGCAGGTCTATGTCACTGCTAGCGAGGTCTCAATCTCAATGCGACATTGCTCACCTGCTGCAAGGGAAGCTACAGTGCTTGACTGATGTGGTAAGAGAATCGGTCAAACTATTAGATTGTAAACCGGGAAACCTGTGCAATCTGGAAAATTTCACACTTTTGCGATGGATGTGAACTTGCAAAAGTAAACCGGCATGAAGGGTAGAACTACAAAAAAGTTGAAAATCTAAAACAATTGACTCCGATCGCACACATTGCCAAGCACAAGGTGGCCTATGCTCACAAATCGCAATCCAAAACCAACACAAAAGTTCCCTGGTTTCCAGTGACTAAGATCAATAGGCAACTACGTGCTCTCAACTCATTATGATATTCTCTATTGTTCCTTGGTGGAACACTGTGTAATTTCTCCCTGTCTGGAATCTAACCTCCACAAAGACATGTGCACTCTGCCCTGTCCTCTGCTACCCTAAACATTGCTATAAACGGTTACATGTCCCCTCACAAGAGAAGCCAACAGACATGGAGAGGTTACTTGAAGCTGTGCATGCAGAAACGTGCAGTCAACTTCGCTAATAACGACTGCGAGTGTATGTACTATGGTGCGCCTAAGGGACCATCGCAAAAGTTCGCAGAAGCCCCCGAAACGAAGACCGTGAGTTTCGGGCCTGACCCCCCTCCCTCCCCCCTCAAACGAAACAACAGTCACAATATGGGCTTCATTTTTTCACTTCGATGCTCACACATAATAATTATTATAATAATACTACACAAGCATTGTTGTATCAGTGTGTAACAATGTACAGCACTTTATAAATGCAACGATGATATCACCTTGCAGTGGGTGATCTCAGAACGAGAACAGCTAGAGCTATGCAGTTGTATCCTTTGAGCATTACAATGAACGTTGATTGGTGTATATTGCTTTCACATTCAAGCGATATATCTACGCCGGCTGTGATGGCATGCTAATCCTACAGGTCCTATAATTATGTCGTCAATACTTTTTTGAATTGAAGCCCGGTTTGCGATTTTCGCACCGACTCCCTCCCCCCCAAACGTATGCTCTTCGTTTCAGGGGCTTCTGCGAACTTTTGCGATGGTCCCTAAGAGAAAGGCAGGGAGAGCCATTGCCTGGGGCAGATGGGGAACAATCTGCATTTGTGAGCTGAGGAGTCAGGTCACCAGGACATTAAGGCCTCGTTTACACGACAACGATTGAAAAACGTTTTTGTCAAAAACGTTTTCAAAAGAATACGCTTCCACAGATTTTGATAAGAGCGTTTACACGACAACGCTGAAAAACGTTTCAAAAACGTTTCAAACGAAAAACGGCCTTCAAAGTGTTTTTCAATCGTTTTCGTTCCGTTTCGTTCTCGTGTAAACAGCAAAAACGTTTCGAAAACGATTGAAAAACGTTTTTCAATCGTTGTCGTGTAAATGAGGCCTAAAGCCAGCAGTGACACCTCCTCCCCCGCTCCCACCCAAAAAACAAAAACAAAAAAAAACAGAACCCACACACATACACAAATCTACAAACTCAACCTCTCGATCCCACTCTTCATCTTCTGGAAACTCGGGATATACTGAAATGATACTCACATTGTTGAAGAAAAAGGGATTTTGAAGTGCTAGTGTATGTACTTGCCCTTTCATGCTCTCTGCGCAATCTTGAGGTCATCACCGGGTGACATGGCAATGTCTTATTTTGCTCTTGTTGTTGCAGTTTCTGGCATGCTGTGACTGTAGGCGCTCTTGTACGAAAAGAACGGAGCAGATCGGACTGGATTCCCTGCTTCAAATGTGCATCGATGCCTTATGGTCGGTGTATGAAGAGGCATGTACACTGGTGTGTACAGATGTACCTCTACTGGATGTTATTACCATAATTGGTAAGCTCTTCATCGGCAGTATCAAGTAGAAGACAGCAGACTACTGCTTTGTGATACTACTCGTATGGTGTGTTCAAAGTCCCAGACTTTTGGAATGCTCAGAATCAAACCATGTACGTACGTTCTAATCCCCATGCAGATTTACGTCTGTCAGATAGCCTGGAAGCAAGTCGAACATTCTCGCTGCTCGGAAGTACAGATGCACTCAACAAGGTGTTATCCAATTCCTGCAATCTGGCCAGCTTCCTCCTGCTTTTGCTGAAACAAAGAATAGCTGAACTGAAGAGTGCGAAAAATCAGAGACGCACACCAGGATCACGTCAGTCTGCAGCAAGAGTACCACAGGATGACCAGCTAGAAGATATAGTCAAGTGTCTTGAGATGAAAGGTAAGGCGATCACTCGGTCCTTGTGCGTGTGCATTATGGAAACATTTTGCTTCGTAAGCTTGACTTGCATTGTGTACTGCAGAACAATCCACGTTCTAGGTATCCCACCAATGGGGTGTAACATGAGTACAATCAAGAGTACACCCCCCCCCCCCCTCCCCCCATACACACGGTGTAAGTCACACTGTGAAAATCGACTTTGGTTTGTGCCACAGAAAATCAAAATGTTACATCATGGAATGGTAAACGTGTTTTAAAACATTGTGGGTTGTATGAGCTCACAGGCAGATCTGTGACTATCATGTGCACCAAGCAGGCCTATTGCGACCACCTGTGTGTACTACTGCATACTACTACAAGTAATCGTACAACATGTTTAGATTGTGCTGCGGCAAACCTCGTCGCAGGCTCAATATGTACAGTTACACACTCTGCGAGCTCTGCATTCTTGGTGATATACAATGAAATCCAGTCGATGCACTCGCGTACGCGTTGGGCGTTTCGCAGCCCTAGACCTGTGAACAGGGTTCGGCTTCAAAACGGTGCAAGGCGCAAACTTGAGTGCTGCGACTGGATTCATTGAGCAGGACTGTAGTTATGTGATTCCAGTGATTCTTGCACTACATCTGATATCAAGTACAATATGTGTCATGTGTGTTCACCCGTGCACAGTGTTGCCTGACATGCTGCATGTCACTGCCACGGCGTCACGCACATCCAGACTCAGAGATGACATCAGCAGAGTGGCAAGAGAGGTTAGTAGGCTTTAACCTTGTGCATTGTGTACTGCATTATTTTGTGTACCGTGCATTTAAGTTGCCAGAAAATTTCAGCTTATTGATTCGGTTGTCGGCTTTTCCATAGGTGGCCAGCTATTGGCTACTTTGACATACTATTCCAATCATGCATGGTAAATGTATATGCTCACAGGTCAATGACAATTTGAATGCTCTTTAAACTGCCTTCACTTCACCTGTGGATGTAATGTGATTATTATTGTATTGTTCTATTTCTGTCCCTGACAGGTCACCGCTTTTCTCAATGACCTGCACCTCTCCTCTCGTCAGCTGAAGGTAACAATTATTGTAGTACACTATTATTGTGTACGTGGTGCGTACGTGGTGTTGGTGCATGCACATGCTTCTGTTGTGTGAAAAGCGGTCTTCGTCTAGAGTTTGTCACTCCCGGTTGTGTTTCCGTTGTCTACTTGTCGATATCATCTTTAAAATGTAGATGTCTCTTCAATTGTCCAAGTGTGGAGATGGCGCGGGGCTGGGAGCAGGAATGAATAACTCCACTTCCAACACAATCACCACTGGGCATTTCCCTCAGTTATAGGACCATGTTTGGTGATGATGTGTTTCCAAAGAACAGATTGCTGTTGGCTATTATTACTCCCTGCAACTAGGTGTCATGGCTGTGAATGACCATAACATGTAGAATGCTTGGGAAATGAGCAAAATTTGGCCCGGTCAGAAACTGTTAGAAATTTGAAATCTGAATTGCATTTACTCGTGAAATGTCCTGCCAGCTAGTCTATCTATCTCCCTATCTGTCTCTCACACACACACACGCTTTCTCCATTTCTCTCCATCTCTCTCTCTCTCTCTCTCTCTCTCTCTCTCTCTTCCTCTTCCTCTTCCTTTCTCTCGTTATTTCTCTCGACTGGATCTTCCCACAATACAATCCGTATGTTCTGTATATGGTGCAGTTGAGAAGCGGATGGAATCAAGTTGAAGCTGATAACAGTGATGAGGAGAGAGAGCTGTCTAAAGATGATGACATGCCAACAGCCGGCCTTCTACACACCATCCCTGAGACATCACAGGACGACCCCCAAGGAGCACTGCATAGCCGGTTACTTAACTGTAAGACCTGCTTCAGAGAACCTTCTCTAAGGTGCATGTACCAGATAACAAATGCATGTGAACACGGAATGATTTTTTTAATTGTGAGGTTCTTTTCGAAAATCGTTGGTGTGTTATATCGTAGGTGCTGCTTCACCGGGAGTATTTTCCACTTTTCATGGCCGATGCCTGTGCTGATTTTTCACATGTTTTCTCAATTTGTAAATGCATACAGTGTCAACTATTGCAGAGGAGAGCGAGGGTAGTGAAGAAGACAACGACTTTGGGCTGAAGCGCTCTCAGAGCTTGTCCAGGGTAAGTGTCAGTGAGCCTTCAATGTGATAGCATGAAACTTTTGTGGAATTTGTTGATCAACGTTGTGAGCTGATCTCGGCACATTGCCACAGCACACCATCAGCATGGGTAAAATGGATGGAAAAAGTCTGTACAAGGTCGAATGCTGCTGCTGCTTACTTTTGTTTAAAACGTCAATTGTGATCCACACAGTCAAGTGTGATCCGCACCTGTAGTCACACCTCTTGGCACTTTGGAACACAGTTATTTCTGTTTGAACACCATGTTCTGTACAGAGATCGTCATTGAGAGCAAGTTGTCGCCTGCTCAGCCTCTCATCGACGTCATCGCTATCCGAAGAGAATGAAATAGTCACCACCCTGTTCCAGGACTGGAGGTGGGCACGATCACACATTCAGGCTGTTGCCAGCGAGCTCTTTCAAGCCATTGACCATGCCCTGGCAATATTCAGTAAAGCACGGAGACGAGGAAGTGGATCAGACCTGTCCAAGCTCATTAAGGTACAGCCAACCGACCGTCGTGTAGCTGTTACAGTTTCGTGTGATGTTGCTGTGCACACGAAGTCTACATGTCAAGCATGTTGTCAGAGCTCCGAGTACAATGCTACATGATCTTGAAGTATAATGTGGACTTACAAATTTCCTGAATCATATGTTATTGTTCTGCAGCTCTGTCAGATTCAGTGGGAAGACATCAATGAGCAATGCCTTGTCAGGCTAAAGGAGGTAATTCATGATATGCTTGAACCCTAATGGCTTCTGTACTGTGTGTTTATCCTCTTTTTTACATTTACTATAATGTCTGCTGATATTGTTTCTTGACCACTTAAAATCTCTGCTAGCAGTGTGCACAATCGCAGAACTGCCTGATGATGCTGGCCACCTGTATCCTCTGCTCATTGTATAGGTTCTTGGCGACAGTCTACCGCAGAAACTAGTCGCCCTCTATGCCAATACATCCCTGCTGTGCCACCAGCTGTCGTCCTTTGCGGACAAAGACGCTGAATCCGCTGGTACGAGGGGTGAGAGTAGCGGGCTGGCGGAGAATGAAACAAAGTAAGTTTCGGCTGACACTACCGAGTACTGGTGCGTGTAGTTTGCAGTGTGCATAGTGTACTCACAGCAAACAAGCCATTTCTGAAGTACACAGGATTATTACCTGTTTAGTCCATGTGTCAGCATGTCCATGCTCAGTTATCCAAGATATTCTTCCATGCGGTGTGCTCATGTTTGCTAACAACCGTACGCACCACATCTGATTTTGTGCACAATGTTCAATGCCGTTGGCCGTTGGCTGCCTGCATGCACTATGTCCGTTGGCTGCCTGCATGCACTATGTCCGTTGGCTGCCTGCATGCACTATGTCCGTTGGCTGCCTGCATGCACTATGTCCGTTGGCTGCCTGCATGCACTATGTCCGTTGGCTGCCTGCATGCACTATGTCCGTTGGCTGCCTGCATGCACTATGTCCGTTGGCTGCCTGCATGCACTATGTCCGTTGGCTGCCTGCATGCACTATGTCCGTTGGCTGCCTGCATGCACTATGTCCGTTGGCTGCCTGCATGCACTATGTCCGTTGGCTGCCTGCATGCACTATGTCCGTTGCAAACATGAAACCAAAACAAACTACTGTAATTCCACAAATTTTGGGTGTACTTTTATTTTCGGTACTTTCGGTGCATCTGTTTCATACCTAAAATTTCAATACACCGAACAAACGCTAACACGTATAATCCAATAGGGAACTGCTTCTCTGTACCTAAAATTTCTGTTCACCTAACCTGGTCTTTTCCCCTCATACCGAAAACATTGATATTTCTGAAATTAGAGTACTACCGGTATGTGTAGTATGCCAACTCAGTTTCCCCCGTTTGTCCCTCTTGATATTAGGGAGGTTCCGCTCTACGTAATTACGTATGAAAATCCGTATGTCGTACGCGCCGGGGAGCGAGGGCAACTTTCATACGTAAATCTCTCTACGGATTTCCGTAGGAAAGCTCTTTCCTACGTTGGGTCCACCGTAGGACTTTTTGAAATATTTTTCGCATTTTCCGGATTTATCCATGGCCACGTTCAAGCTGCGCGAAACACAAGGTACACACACCGTACACCACGTGCAAAATAAGATGGAAACGCGGTTTCGGTTCATGGTGCATGCGGTGGGCGCATGCAGCCAACGCGTCTCCAAAGCAACAAGGCATGTTTAGCAGTCGTGGAGAAATCAAGTAGAGCGAAACCCAACAGCTCTGATTTTTACGTATGAAAATTCCGTTCAGCTCCTACGTTATTGTCATACGTAATTCCGTAGAGCGAAACCTCTCTATTGGTACTTTGTTTTGTACTGTTGAGGCAACAGACTGACAATTATTCCCGTAGCTATGCAGAAGACGTTACTTCAGTAACGTCTGGCGCTAGCCAGGGTCCACACAGCTTTAATTTGGTGTTTGTTTGTTTGTTTGTTTGTTTGTTTGTGTCACGGCTGGAGCTATCCCGTATCTGTCCCGTATCTGTCCCGTATCTGTGATTACAAAGGCTCTACAGGATTGTACATAACAGCTGTCCACAATATTTGCGGGCTCCTGTATCTGTCCCGTACCGTACCAATATTCGTCGTATTATGTATACGACTCCCTGATGTAGAGGGAGATTTGGAAAGAAATAGGGAGACGAGGAGGAAATTAAACGGTGTTTGTTTGTTTGTTTGTTTGTTTGTTTGTTTGTTTGTGTAACGCCTGGCGCTATCCCGTATCTGTCCCGTACTGTACCGTACGAGCAAAGACAGCTGGCCACAATATTTTTGTTTGTTTTTGCCATCGACATGCCTGGCGCTATCCTGTACCTGTCCCGTACCATCAAGCGTACGGTACCATCAAGAGAATGAGTATATAAGCGAAGTGTATCAGGGGAATGCATTCAGTGCAGTAACATTTTGTGTGGATTTGTGTGCGAGGCCGAGATCCCACTAGCAGGCTGGCTGGGCCGCCTGTCGACCAGCCCAGGAATCGCATTAAGGCCGATAGCATAATAATTGTAACGTATATACAGTCATGTAGATGTATAGCAGGGAGTCATATTATGTAAACGACTCCCTGCTGTATGGGGAGATTTTCTGGAAAGAAATATGAATTAGGGAGACGAGTAAATGCAATCAGAATGGATGTTAGTTGCCGTCAGTATAATAATAAGAAGAAGAAGAACGCCCGTGATCGACAGCGTCAGCGCCAGTCCCAGGAAACGTCAGGACAGACATCCCGTCGACTCCAGAAGGCCCGTGATCGGCAGAGTCAGCGCCGGTCCCATAGCTATGCAGAAGACGTTACTTCAGTATCTCATTGAAACGTTTTTGCAATACAATGATGTGGCTAATAGAAGGAAAAAGCGTTTCCATCAGTTCTAACAACATGCACGATGAGCTAGGCAACAAAGCATAGCGCAGGGCCCTGAGCTTCCAAGCTCTCTCGTTTTACAAACGAAACAAAACAAAAACCGAAATTTCAAAAGAATAGCACCTCCGACGGGATTCGAACCCGCAACCCCCGGCTTAGGAGGCCGATGCCATATCCATTAGGCTACGGAGGCTCCACAGATTGAAAATATGGTATTTATAATGATGGAAGTGCACTAGACAGTCCACAACAGATGTACAGTGGTTTGTTAGGGGTGTTAGTGGCCGTCCTAAGTTTCCTCAGGCTCCACATTCTAGTGTTGGTTTGAGACAGTTCGTGATCGCATGCTTAGAGTTTGATCCACTGTCTTTGGCGTTGGTTGACCTGTGGGCAGGCTTCTCCAGCAGAACCTGACTGATCTCAAGCATTCCGCCGTGGATACCCTCACAGCCACTCGCCGACACACCAACATCAGAAAGAGCAGATCCAAGCAACGTCCCGAGGTTGAAAAAGAGAAGCCACTGAGCGCAGACAGCGGCAAGCCAGGCTTGGTACTTCAAACTCAACAAGAAGAGTATTTTATTTGACAATTGTTAACACTTGAGTGTTCTGAGAGAAAGGATTGGATTACAACCGGGATACATGTATGTGCTATTATCTTCCCTCTTCTGATTGTCCATGGTATATTGCCAAGTTTTTTTGGCTTTGCACGTTGAAGAATCTTTGAAGGGAGAACGAGGGACGGACTCTGATCTCTTCTCAGCGCTGAGACACTTGATACTTGAGGTTTCCTACACTCATCCTCTCGGTTTATTGAATAATGCTTATAATTATCATTACAAACTACCGCTGAATTATCATAAAGAACAATTATCCTATCCTTTAAGAGGAGATACACGAATGCGCAGATTGAATGTCTGAACAGTATGCTAAGCGTCGTGTTTGTTATAGTATCACGTTCAATATCAAATCTCTCTCTCTTTTAAATGTTCGTTGTCACGAGAATACGTTCTGGTTACTCTACTTGCTTGTGATTTGTATTTGGTGATGACGCCATGTGACATCTAATCTTATTCATAGCCTTGATCAAATTCCTGCAGGCTCCACGTCCATTATTTATTCTATCCTAGTTCAAGAAGAAATGGGTAAATACCAACTAAAGTAATAGCATCAGTAACTGTTGCTATTCAACACTTTTTTCATGGAATAATCATTGCAGCAACTAGTCGCCCTCTATCGCTGTATGGGTCGTTCTCCGAGTCTTATCATGGTGTCACCATGGACCATGGTCACTGTTAGAAAACTCTACGCACAGTAGAAGAGAGAAAAATAATGATGATTGAGGCATTGGGTCGGTGTACCGCGCCGGTAATTCAATGAACAACAGGTGATCAGCTTAGCCACAGCACTTACCTGCTTACGGGTGACTGTGTGTACAGCCATGTAGATCTACACTGAATGAGAGGAGTGTGACTTCAACACGCACAACAAGCCACAAAATGAGCTTTGACAGTTTCTGTAGCGCTAGCATGGCAGCACGCGCAGGGTGCTGGGCAAGAAATGAATGGATATTCAGTGTCACAAAGGTCGGCTACGGATAAAATAATTATTGAATATCGGACATTCTGCTGTGAACACACTGTCACAATGATAATGTGGTAATTCTGCCCAATATCGAATACATAATTGCAGCTGGATCGGCAGAAATAATGGGGAGTATTCCAGTGCCGGCAGTGGCTCTATCGACGTTCATTTTGCTGCTCTGCAGCGCCAGCTTGATGGTTGGAATGCAGCTAGGTCTGGCCCCGACCGACCGATCCGGTGGAGAAAATATAGGACTATCGCTACATACGCTGTGGACTCATAACTGTAGTTTGTCCGCGTTACCTGTATTCAGTGACAAGAGATTTACAGCCATGTACAACTTGAACATTCCGGTTGTAGAAAAACGGAAATCCATGTTTCTTCTGGCTTCTCGCACTAACCAGTCCGGGGCAGAACTGGATGTCGGATTCGTAATCTTGGAAATCGACATTTCGAATGGAGTTCAAGGATTGGTGGTGAAAACACTCATTGACATTCCATCAGCAGGAAATGAAACAGCTATGGAGTACATGCCCAGTGTATACATGGACAGTGGTTGTAAGACTGGAGACAGACTACTCTTCGTTACACTGATGACCAACTCCAACACATCCTGGATTCATATACAGCAAATACCACTCACAGGAAAGAAGGCATTTCAAGCCCAGCCTCTCATTGACCTACCCTGCGCAATATTTGATGGTGAATTCCCGAGTGGATCATTTCAGGAACATTCGAGGCAACTAGTGTTTGCCACATTGCTGCTGATGACCGCTGAGGATTATCAGTCAACAGCAGCTTACGTGGCAGTTAACATGGATGACCTTAGCATTAGTATACAGAACCAATCAACTTTTCTAATCCCTGACACTATATCAACAAGCTGCGTAGAGCAGAATCGAGATGAGTCAAGCATCGTCCGCACGAATTGCACATATTCCGGGGTGGCGTTCAAGGTACAACCAAATCCCCTTGGTCCACCATGCAGCACGGAACACACATTATTCTGGAACACGGTCGATTCAGACCTGCGAGCAGTGAAGAGTGTGGAAATACCACCACAGCCGTACGACGACTGTGTGACCTATGTCACAGCACATCAGTATGTAACAGTGGACGCAGCAGGCCGGGGCCAATACACTGCGTTGCTACAGACACCTCTTGGAAACTCACCACTCACAGGATTGCTTTATGTTAACGCCGTCACTGGGGAAATGAACTGGAGTAACTGCTCCTGGCGTAAAATGCAAACAGAGCCAGCCCCCATTGGTTTGGTCAATTTGCCAGAACTATGAAACTGTCACCAGAACATATCCAACCTAAGGGGTCGTCCATAATTATCGAACTTTTTTCATGAAACGAAATAATTTCGGTATGGGGTGGGAGGGGGTTGACCAATTTCGTTTCAGAAAAGTTCGATACATGTACATGTCTTTAGGAGCAGTGACACACTTGCGACTTTTGTTGTATACGCATGTATATCTCAACATTTTTTACGTTCTGAGGGGGAGGGAGGGAGGGGTTGGGTCTAAACTAAAATAATTCGTTTGGTGAAAAATGTTCGATATTTACGGACGGCCCCTAATACGACACAGTTCTCAAAGATTCTCCACTAGAATGTTTCGGCAAAATAGTCGTCACAGTAGACATGAAATGACCCGAGTACCAAGAGTCAAGAATATGTCCCAGTGCTAGGGAAGTTGATAGAAACTGGCTTGATACTGATGCTCAATGGCCAGACTTTTAGGCCAGACAGTTGTTGGCACCCCTCCCCCAACCTGATGCTATTTCATAACCAAGAACCTGCCAAATTGGCAATTAATTGCCACACTTTAAACATGCCCTGTGTGTGTATTTTGTTATGGAATGTTGCAAAGTCTCCCTAACTAAGTTACTTGGTTCTTATGTTGGTGGACAACAAAGAAAAACTTATAGATTTTCTCCTTTATTCTTTAGAATTCTGCAAATTTGAATACAGTGTAACCGGTAAATATTATGAAAGAAATTTGTGCTAGATGATGCCGTACAATGAAGAGACAATTTCAGTGAAAAAGAAATTATTTTCTCAGCAATAAATATATCGCCGGTTTTGTGCAGGAAGAGATAAGTAAAGATTTCAATCACATGCACTTGCAAATATCACATGCAGATATCACATGCAGATATCACATGCAGATATCACATGCAGACATCACTTGCAAATATCACATGCATATATCACTTGCAGATATCACATGCAGACATCACGTGCAGACATCTGCATTGGCATCGGGAACAACAACAAAACCGTATGATTTCGGAGCGATCAGTACAGGTCCCGACCTCACAAGACCATCCATGGCGGGTAGCTTATTGTTCTAAATCAAGAAACGAACAACAACATTGCACAGAATCAATCAGTCAGTACATATCAAAGGTGGAATTTTGGCCATTTCCCCACTATGCTTCACGCTTGGCTATCAGCTGCAAACTTTTCATTGCACAATTACCGCCCGTGTTCAGATGGCAAACCAGGAGTACCAACAGAATACATTATAATTACAAAGGTCTGTCTTGCTCAAAAGGCTACATTCATTCCTGCTACATGTATTTTCATGCTTGAAGTGCTCTGGTACACACAGTTCCATGTGTCCCTTTCATGTGTCATTTCAGCACCACTATGAGCCATGGCATATACTACACAGAGTCCTGGTCTAGGAAAGGAAATATTCACCCATTGCAAGAGTTGAGTGCCGCATGCTGGGGCTATGGGGAGGTCATGGCATTTTGAGCCACCTTGGCAAGACCCTGACCAGTCCTGGTGATACAAGTACATAAAACATAAGATGCTGGACCTGTGTAATCATCCAAGCCTCAAACATGCAGAGCACATTACAAGAAAAGGAACATGATCTATTTCTATGCTACTATCCGCTCACGATTGACGCAAGATGCCTGTTTCATGCATTATGTTTCGGTTATGGAAACAGCTTTGCTCGTACCTCATCCAATTCCAACAGCTTGTCATTCAGCATCATTTGGGTTGTGCGAAGAGTCATCTGCCCATCGCCAGGTATCAAGTGATACTGAGGTGGGAAAGGAAATAGCAACATGGAACAACTACCATCATATACTGAGCCATAATGGTAAGTTTATATCAAAGAAAAACTTGGACCAAGGAACTACAAGTTACGCTATTTTGTCCACGAACACCACCAGCTACTAAACAATCAGCTCGTGCGATATGCATGAACATCCGCCAGCGTCCTTCGCAGCTGAGACTTTCAGCTCGTGCTGGTCTTGGTTGCGCTCAACTTCCCCTCTTATGTTATGATATTACAATTTAGAACCTGCCAAGTTGGAAGGCTGTTGGAGTGCGCATCCAATATGTTCTAGAGCTGTTAGCCAGTTAGTTGCAGAACGTCAGTACCGTCGGTCAGTGTCGTGCAATGTTATCGCATGAGCTGATTGTTTAGTAACTGGTGGTGTTAGTTTGACAGTATAGCGTAACTTGTATCCTTGGCTCTCCATCTGAGTCCATAGTGGTAAGTATACTGCAATAATGGAGTAATTGGGAAGTTGATTGCTGCCCACACTGGAGCTCGCGTGAGCTCCAGTGTGGGCAGCAACCAACTTTCCTATAAAATTATCGCCGAAGTTAATACCACTATTTCGTTCTACTTCGAAGCAATTGTTTGCTCCCCATCTCCCGTATACTGCTTCCCTGCCTTTCTCCTAAATGCCCTACACGTAGCACACCACGTTCTTGTATGGAACCTTACCTTCCATTGGCCTGGTTATGTGCCTATTTTGCTATAGCTACCGAGAGAAAGAGAGAGAGGAGAGAGAGAGAGAGAGAGAGAGAGAGAGAGAGAGAGAGAGAGAGAGAGAGAGAGAGAGAGAGAGGGAGGGAGGGAGGGAGGGAGGGAGGGAGGGAGAGAGAGAGAGAGAGAGAGAGAGAGAGAGAGAGAGAGAGAGAGAGAGAGAGAAGAGAGAGAGAGAGAGAGAGAGAGAGAGAGAGAGAGAGAGAGAGAGAGAGAGAGAGAGAGAGAGAGAGAGAGAGAGAGAGAGAGAGAGAGAGAGAGAGGGAGGGAGAGAGAGAGGAAGGGAGAGAGAGAGAGAGCTAGGTAAATGGCTTTACTTATACATGTACTTAGATTCATCCTGTAGATAGGTAGCTGTAATGATCTTGAGCAGCATGAGTCAGAGTCGCTCTGGATGGCAGTCATGAGTCAGTCAAGTGTCGGTTTGGCAGGAAACCCGTGTTCCACATAGGAACAACCAACTTCATCTACCAACTGTACCGCCGATTTCGCTGCATCAAAAGCCTTCATTGATGACAAGGATACATGTGGCTTTTTCCTTCAAACAACAACACAATAATCTGGCCCGAGGGTTCGCACTCACCTCAATAGTACCAAGATTTTCTTTTCCGTCTATGCGGTGAACCTGCAGAAATGAAACATACAAGTGGTGAATTCGAAAAGGATCAACACACATTTCCATGGAAGTAGGTTGTATCAAACAGCGGTCAAGATGGTAGTAGTACTGACATGGCATCTGTTCATTTTCAACACTAGCATATTGTTTGTTTCACCCATCGCCGGCTGCAACACACATAAGCTCTTTCTATGCTGCGTTCCTTTATCCTCCCTACTTACCAGCAACGGAATTCAAACTCCTACATGACCATGTTGCACTGAAACAATAGACAACTCAGTGGTTCCCGAGCTGCTCATCATGCCTTCTTGACAGTGGCACAGTCAGTGATGTAGACAATAGACGATAAGACACTGGAAACGATGAAGAGCGACTTGAGAGGGACACCATCGGATGATGAGATCGGGAGACCTTACAATAGTTGTCTTCTGTACAGCCATGCACCAACTTTGTTGGCAGGGTTTCTGTATTCATATAACAAAATTTAATCATCCTTACCAGTGATGCAGGACTGGCTGAAAATGCAGTGTCTGCAATGTTGATAAAGGCCACAGTCACTGAACCTGGTGTTTTAGCCTGAAAAGCACACAACAAAGAACAAAGAGAACACTACTCAATAGCAGGCAATGCAAGTGACCAACCCGTGACTCAAAGGTACTGCATGCCAAGAGCAAAGATGATCTTTATCGTACAGTATGACGGTCATGCTTTCAAGTTCCCTTAGTCTATCAGGCAAGCCATGACATTCAGCACTGACCATGCAGTCATGACTGTCATGAAGACAAACAGGAGTAAGAATGAAATTCCATGATTGTGTACGATATAGAATACAATCATTGTATACTGCACTACTTCATACTTCAAAGTGTGTACCGAGATATGCCTACGCATTTAAACACTTTGAGAAGTTTGACTCAGAGTGATCTTGCCAAGCCAAACCCTATATCCGACAGGGTTCTCAGGTATCCATTATCATTATCAGACTGGTAATAGTACATAATAATTACACCAGGTGGGTCACCCACATTCAGTGTGAAGGGGTTAAGATGTAGCCTACTGCTCTCACTGGTTAGCTTCTCTAAAAACGATCTGGAGTTCTATACATGCCACTGATCAGGAACACGCTGTAATTGTCAGTTTTGTGTGTGTGTGTGTTGAAGGTGTGATGTTGTACCTGCCACCTTTGTTGGTTCCAGGGTTCATATACTTTCTATTTGAAGTATACATACCTGTTGACCATGGACTGCTTCTGGCTAGATTAACTCTTGTGCAATCAATGGTGCTAGTGAAGCTAATATCAGATCCACCCTGATTTAGCCACCCACACTAGTAGCACGTATTACCTTCACTGGGGGCAGGGGTAACTGCAGTTGGATCCCAGGACGGATACCCTGATGCCGTCAATCCTTTTTCTGCACCTTGTCCTCACCCACTTACTGAGGTGTGGTGACCCCATAAGTGGGATCATTTTCAAGTCCACCCAGAGTTTTGGGGATTTCAGGGGGTGTCGGCCGTTGGGCGGTTCAATAGCCAATTGAGTCATCTTTCCAAGATTCCTTTTGAGCCTCTCTCCCCTCTCCCGGGGAGACCCACGTGACCAGTTTGGGCAGTGTGCAACAAGTACAAGTGTGTGTGTGCATGTGTGTGTGTGTGTGTGTATTTGTTCCCTCTGGGGACGGTTTGAATTTTCCGAGCTCCCCTGGTTGTCGAAAGTAGTTAGTTCCACGAGTCTTCTGGGGCGGCTCTGGTCCACCAGGGCCGTCCCAGGACATGTAATTCTCAGCGCAAGAGATTCAGGGCCAGCGCAGCAAGAAGACGGGGTGTCGAACGATGGCACCACTTCTTGTTGCGCCTGAATCTCCCACTCGCGGCGGATTGGCAAACCCCCGAGTGGACGGAGACCAGCGCTTCAAAAAATCTGCCCAAGCACGGAGAGAGAGGAGGAGACGCTGCCTGATCCGCGTCGGATCCTGGAATGTTCGTTCTCTTGTTGAGAGCGAAGGGAACATCGAAACGGCAAGTATCCAAAACAAGGTTGTTGTAACAGTATAGACTTGATTGATTGGAGAATTCGTCGAATGATGTTCAAACCAGAGGTTATAAAGCAAAAAGAAAGGTGAGAACCGCAGGAGTGAGAATAGTAGGAACACAAGGTGTTACCATAAGACAAGCAAGAAGTGTCAAGGTAAAACTATTACACTCTCCCGGCCCCATAGGAAGCCCAAGGTTCTATTAGATAACACAATCCAGTTAGGAGATGCAATTGTGGAAAGGGGAATATTAAATAATCACTCATGCACATGCATAACCACATTGAAGTGTAATCCAACTCAACTTCATCACTCTCACAAGGAGATGACGCAAAACTATATCAGTCTAGAACATAATTATTAACTATCTCAGTAAGAGATGCATATGGCTCAGCCCAGTTAGATCAAGGCTGCTGTCGTTGTGAGGCTAGATAGTTCTGCAGCGGTTTAATATTCCGACCAGACTCATCACATAGGTTGCCAGCGGGCTCCCACGTAGCTTCGCTGCTGGGGTAACCCTTCCAATGCACCAGGAAGTGTTGCTCACCACTGCGGTGTCGGTGATTCAAAACGGCTTCGACAACATAGCGTGTGTGTCCATCTAGATCTGTGAAGGGCGGAGGCGGGGGTTGGTGTCTTCCAGGAATCGTGTTCTCTTCGTAGCGTTTAAGAGCAGTGACATTAAACACGGGATGGCAGCGAAGTTCACGGGGTAGTTCCAAGCGAAAAGCATTCGCTCCAATCTTAGCCTGGATACGATACGGACCAAACCACTTGGGTTGCAACTTCCGAGAGGGCTGGCCACGAGCTTCCGGGGTCAGTAGAAAGTCTCTGTAGACAAGAACGCTATCACCAACCTTCAAATCACTGGGCGTTCTCGTCTGGTCTGCGTATAGAGCTTGCCTTGCCTGGGCGTCGAGCATAGCATCTCGAGCTATCCTTAGTGCGGCTTCCTGCTCATGAAGCCAATCGACCGAATCACTCCTTTCCCCTCCCGTAAGAATGAATTCGGGCGGGGACTTAGGGTCAAACCCATAGTTCAGATAGAACGGTGTATTAGCTACAGATGACTGTTGTGAACTATTTATTGCAAACTCGCAGAGTGGTAGAAGCGAATCCCAATTGTCCTGTCTCAAGTTCACAAATGCTCTTAGAACATCTCCCACTTGCCGGTTAACTCTCTCTGTCAAACCATCCGTTTGAGGGTGGTTAGCAGTGCTGAATGCCAATTTAGTTCCTAGCTGAGAGAATACTTCTTTGAAAAAAGCTGCAGTGAATCGTGGATCGCGATCGGAAACAATGGTTGAGCTCAGCCCGTGCAGACGAAACACGTTTTGAATGTACAGTTGAGCGCTGCCCTTAGCATCAATCTTCGAGTTTGTTGGAACAAGATGTACGCATTTCGTAAGTCAGTCCACAAAGGTGTAAATTGCGTCGAAGCCACGAGAAGTAAGGGGCAATCCAACAATAAAATCCATTGAGATATCCTGCCAAGGACTATTAGGTATTGGAAGTGACTGGAGAAGCCCTGTTCGTGGCTGACCTCCCTTCGTTCGCTGGCAGAGATCACAGGTTTTGACAAATCTCTTGATATCGAGACCCATTCGGGGCCAGTAGAAAAAACGTGCTAGGCGGAAGTACGTTCGATCACGACCCGGGTGGCCAGCCGTTGCACACTCATGGTGTTCTTGAATGAGCTTTAACCGGACACCGCACTGTGGTATGCACAACCGGTTATTGGGGGATGCCTTGAGGTACAAGCGATCAGTGGATTCGTCCCAATAATAGCGATCATGCAAATTATCTCGGAGAGAATGCTTCAATCTTTCTATGATGGGAGTTAGCTCTTTGTCTCTCTGGTAGACATCTGATATTGTATTGGACACGTCATCATTCATTGCTAAAGCATACTCAATAGCATTCAAACGTGGTACTGCATTCTCCACGAGGTTACTCTCATGGAGATCTGGGCGACGCGAAAGGGGATCTGCAGGGTTCTCTCTGCCGGGTCTGTGACGGTCTGTGTAGTTATAGTCAGCTAGGAATTCAACCCATCGCGCCTCTCTCTTTGTAATGCTTGGTTTTGTTTTCAGATAAACTACCGCCATGTTGTCTGTAATGACCTCAAAGTGTTGAAAGAGGTAGATGCGCCAGGTCTTTAGCGCAAACACTACGGCCAATGTTTCTCTTTCTGTAGCTGTATAATTCTGTTCAGCAGCAGACAATTTTCGGCTAGCATAAGCCACTGGATGCCAGGCATCTTCCTCTAGTTCTTGCAGAAGAACACATCCCAAGGCGAAATCGCTTGCATCTGTTACCACTCTGAATGGTCGGTTCACATCAGCCAGCCGCAATAGGGGCGCATTCAGCATCATCGTCAACATCCTCCACAGCGAGGCTACTGAATCGGTTACGGGTAGAGACGGAGCACACACTACACGCAGGTGATGCCTTTTCTTGCTGCGTCAGTAATCGCATCGGCCTTACTGACGTCCACCGTTTGGGTGATCTCGATGCTGCGGGCAATTCTGGGCCATATGGCCTGGTCGACGACATGCGAAGCAGCCCCCCTGGGCTCGTAATGTCTCACGTTCCTCGGGGCTTAGTTTTGTTAGCTTTTTGCTACCTGATGGTGGTGCGAATCCCGGCGCGGTCGCCAGTGGTGGTCTGCGCTGAAATCGGCTGTCTGAGGCGACTGCTAGCGCTGACTGAACGGCGGCTCACAGTGTAGTGGGGTGTTCCTTCACTACCAAGGTCCGCATGTTACCGTGCAGGCCGTTGACAAATAGCAAGGCTCTGGAGAGTTCGTCAAGTTCCGGCACCTGTAAACTTAGCCGAGAAAACTCCGTTACGTACGATGACCCACGCTGTTGGATAGAGAACATATCCAACCGCACTCTTTCCCCATCATAGTGCGGGCCATACACTCGCGCTAGGGCGCTTTTCAAAGAATGCCAATCCGAAAATTGCTCACCTGCTTCCAGGGAAGAAATTAGCCAAAGACGCGCATTCCCAGCGAGGTAGCTAGCCGCAAAGTTAACTTGGCTCTCCGGGTCACCTTGAGGTGAGCACTTCAAGGCTAACTCGACCGTAAATACCCATTCTTTGAACTCGGAAGGGTTGCCATGGAAAACATTCGGTTCTCTGGTAACGCGTTTGACGCTCGGGCTTGTCTGCGAGAGAGAACGCGATCGACACGGGGCTAGATCCGGAGGACTTGAGCTTGATGTAGCAGGTAATTGATGTCGTCCAACTGTAGCAGCCACGTTGTCCCGAGCGCGGCGGATCTCACGGAAAGCGGCGTATAGCAGAGCAGTAGCGGCCAGGAGCACAAGGCACGTCAAAGGGCAAACGATGATCTCAACCATCCTCAAGCTACCAGTGTAACAGTATAGACTTGATTGATTGGAGAATTCGTCGAATGATGTTCAAACCAGAGGTTATAAAGCAAAAAGAAAGGTGAGAACCGCAGGAGTGAGAATAGTAGGAACACAAGGTGTTACCATAAGACAAGCAAGAAGTGTCAAGGTAAAACTATTACAGTTGTTGAAGACAGGAAACTGGACCTCGTCATCTCCGAACTACATCGACTCAGCTTGGACGTCGCTGGTGTACAGGAAACACACTGGTTTGGTGAACATCTATACGAGGACGACAAAGGAAATACAGTGATAACGTCTGGGCGAGCTGTGGACGCAAATACCCATCGTCGTCGAGGAGAAGGAGTTGCACTAATACTCAATAAATTTTCGTCCGGCGCGTGGAAAGCTGGTGGTAGTTTTTGGAGATCGTTTGGTCCGCGTGTGGTACTAGCACGTCTCAAACTTCCACTCAGCCATCACAGGGGAGTGAACAATCCTAAATCGATTTATGTCATCAGTGCCTACGCCCCAACGTTTGCCAGTCCAAGAACAGCAAAGGATGAGTTTTTTCACCAATTGCAGTGTGCCATCAATGTATGCAAGGACCATCAATATATCCTGCTTGGTGACTTTAACGCGCGCGTTGGCTCTGGTATGGCTGAGGATGAGTGGGGCAGAGTACGTGGGCCTCATGGTTTGGGCCAACTGAACAGTGCTGGAACCGAGCTGCTGTCCTTTCTGTCTATGAATAACGCTAGTCTTTGTAACACCTGGTTTGCGAAAAGGGACATCTTCAAGCGGACGTGGCAACACCCTGGGTCAATGGCTTGGCACTGTATTGACTACATCATTGTTCGCCAAGCCGATCAGCGGCAGTGCATGGATGTCACCACAGTACGGAATGCGGAGTGTGGGAGCGATCATGAGCTACTTACCATGTCTTTCGACCTGGATACTCCGGCCGTGCGCCGCCGTGCTGCCCGTCATAGCCCTCCGGTTTTCCAATTTGATGTTGCCAAGATGCGTGGCGAAAATCCTGATCTTCCGTCAAAGCAGTCTGCAGCCGAACACTACCAGTCGGATGTTGCTAAAGAGCTCGCTGATCGGTGGCCCGAGGAGGGCAGTGTTGAGAGCCAATGGACTGCGGTACGTGATGCTGTTGTTACATCAGCTATGGATAACTTGGGTCCACGAAAGAGACGCCAGTCAGACTGGTTTGCTGATAGCCAGGATGTCATTCAACCGCTCTTGGACGAACGCAATGCAATGTACAATGTGTGGGTTCAACATGGTAGGCTCCGTGACGATCACTATTCCAAGTTCAAGGCTGCCCGCGCTGCTGCCCGTTCTGCAGTACGTCAAGCGAAGGTGGATTGGATCAAGAACAAGGCACAGCAGGCCTCGGAGTCCCGATTTGACGGCGCGGCAGTTTGGAAGTGTATAGGAGATTTGCAGGCGTGCTGTCGTGGACGGGTGGGCACCCGGGTGTCTGCTATCAAGGATGAAAATGGTAACTTGTGTGAGTCTCAGGAGGAACAGGATGGTCGGTGGAGTCGTCATTTCGACACAGTGTTGAATATCCCATCTACGTTCGTCCCTGCGGTACTGGGCTCTCTCCCACATTGCCCGGTTGCTGATGATTTGGCTAACCCCCCAACGTCGGCTGAAGTGCGACGTGCAATCGATAAGCTGAAGCCTGGCAAGGCTGCTGGCGCATCCAGGATTTTGCCGGAGCTGGTTAAGTACGGTGGTTTTCCTCTACGGGACAGGATGCTAGATCTGTTTGGTGCTGTGTGGAACTCCGGACAGGTACCGCAGGAATGGGTTGATGCTACTCTCGTACCCATCCCCAAAAAAGGCGACCTGCAACTGGGTGACAATTGGCGTGGCATTGCTCTGTTGGATGTTGTGGGGAAGGTGCTGGCTGCCATCATACAGACACGTCTCCAGCGGCTAGCAGAGACCCTGCTGCCAGACTCGCAGTGTGGTTTTAGGCGCGGGCGCTCGTGCTCGGACATGATCTTCTCTGTACGCCAACTTGTGGAGAAATCTCTCGAGCATGACACGAAAGGCTACATGGTTTTCATCGACTTGCGCAAGGCCTACGATTCAGTGCCCAGAGAGTGTATGTGGCGTGTACTTGCTTGTGCTGGGGTACCGGACACCCTCCTCGCTGTCACCAAGTCCTTTCACACATCTATGTCTGCCACAATCCGCACATCCCAGGGACACACTCAGCCCATCAACATCAACAACGGCTTGAGGCAGGGGTGCTCTATGGCCCCCGTGCTTTTCAATCTATTCATGTGGGCCGTTTTCACTGTTTGGTCCCGGAGAGTGTCGGCAGTTCCTGGTGTCGGCATGGAGGTTCGCTATTGCATTGACGGAAATTTGTTCGGCAAGCCGAGGACGCGAAAGATATCGACCAAGTTTGGGGAATGTCAGTTCGCCGACGATTCAGCCTTGTTAGCGACTACACGTGACGGTGCTCAGCTCGCACTCTCTGTATTCCAGGCGACTGCTGCTGATTTTGGACTAACTGTCAGCACTACCAAGACCCAATTCATGGTGTGCGGCAGCAACATCCAAGATGCAGACTGTGTCCCACTCACGCTGGCGGATGTTGAGATCAAGAATGTGGCTGAATTCAGGTATCTGGGTTCCATTATCGCCAGCAACAGCCGTTCGGCAGTGGACGTCAGCGCCCGCATTGCGAGTGCCTCCAAGGCCTGTGGTGCTTTACAGCGCCCTGTATTTGCCAATGGTCAGCTTCCTGTGTTCTTGAAGAGGTGTGTTTTCAACGCGTGTGTCATGTCCTTACTACTATACGGTTCTGAGTGCTGGGTCCCCCTTCAGGGCGACTTGCAACGCCTGTCCACCTTCCATATGCGTTGCGTCCGCTCTATCCTTGGTGTGTCGAGACAGCAGATGTGGGATGCCCACATCAGCAATGCTGAACTATTGCGTATGTGGGGCGATCCGGAGACCATCACCTGTAAGCTTCGGCATCGTCGGCTAGAGTGGCTAGGTCACCTGGCGCGCATGGATGACACCCGCATGCCGAAGTGCCTTCTGTTTGGCCAGCTCCCACCTGTCAGACCTGCCCATGGACCAAGGAAACGGTGGAAGGACTGCGTGTCGGTCGATCTTCGACATAACCAAATTGTGAACTGGTACCAGACCGCTAACACATCTCGCGTGGAATGGCGATGTAGATACCAAGACCAGGATAAGGAACTGGCCGCAGCAGCCCCCGTTGAGTGCCCCACCTGTGGAAAGGTCTGCTCTAGACCAAGTGATCTTAAGCGCCACAAGTGCACAGCGGAGCGTCGCAAGCCAGTCCATCAGCAGCGTGGTGCATGTCAATGCGCAGATTGTGGGAGATGGTACCGTAGCAGGGGTGGACTCGCTGTGCACAGGTGTCAGCCTGCCTCAATCGCTAGCCAGCCCGCTTCCGCTCCTTGTAGACCTCGCCAGAACCGCCCAACAACGGATGAACGTGCCAAGTTTCCACTAATGTGTCAGCACTGCTCTCGGAGATTTCGGCAGTCCAGGGACCTGACCCGGCACCGGCGTGTTTGCTCCTCTCCCTCCTCCCGCAATGGGACCACGTAACCTTTAAGGCAGTGGGTCGACAGGACAGGACAGGTGTGTGTGTGTGTGTGTGTGTGTGTGTGTGTGTGTGTGTGTGTGTGCGTGTGTGCGTGTGTGTGTGTGTGCGTGTGTTCATGTGCTTGTTTGTGAGTGTGTGTGTGTGTGTGTGTTCACGTGTGTGAGAGTAAGTGTGTGCCTGTGTGTGTGAGAGAGAGAGAGTATTTACACGATCATTACCTGGAAAGATGCCGCAGAACATGCTGCATACAATCTCAGTGAGGATCTGCTCACAGTGGATGTGACGTGAAGCATCTGCATCCAAGATTACAGGCAAAGAACCAAACAGTTGTGTTTGCAAGGGGTCTATTCCGGATATCCGAAAATGAAAAAATGAGAACTTTCAAGAGACCTTTTGCGGAGTTTTAGTCCTTTTCAGATCTAAAACCAGTGCAACACATAAATATTCTATCCTACAACTTTGCAGACACTTTGTACTCACTTGTTACTGGCACCTGGTCTACCACCAATTGCTCAATTCATAAAAAGTATATCTCTGGCTTTGGTGCGCTGCCGTATTTGATGTTTTTCTTGATTTCATCATACACCATGCAGTGCCACAAAATTTGGAAAAATCAAAATGCTACCACACCTGGGGTGCGAACAGCACAATGTGCTGTTTCAAAAGAGAGTAAAACAGCAAGGAATTACATGATTTTTCCTAACTCAGAGGTTTTTGGGGCAAAACCCGACCAAATTTTTGGAGTTTATCGGCACGATAGAGATGACATTTGAAAATGTGTTTTCGGCGGGTTAATGTCGGGAGAAGAGGCTTATTCACCATCCTATAGTCTTATTCTCACTAATGACAAAATTTGATTTTTGGAAAATTTAATTTTTTTGGAAATGTCCGCAAAGGAAACTGTAGTTATCACCAACCCTCACTGCGCCCAGCTCAACGCCGCTGCCTTATGCGATCTGAGCTGGTCGCCCTTGCCGAGCGGCATGGGGCTGTCCTCAGGCCAGTCGCATATTTGGCGTGTGCTGTCTACGGGATCACAGATACTAGAGATGCTCAATGCGGCAGAGTCAGCCTCGGACTGGCCATGTACGTGGCAGCCTGACATGCGACCGGCAAGGCTGCATTCGTATTCGGATCACGGAAGCAATACAGGTGCTCTGGGCGCACTTTGTGTAGCCTCAGAGAGGCCTGTGAGCGTACCGTATAGGTGCGCGTGGGGGTAGCGTAAGACGGGTGCCGGAAACTCGGCAGGCCTCACCGCCATCTGGCCGACCTCATTGTTATGTGGTCTCACTCAATCGGCACTTTTCACTAGCTTCTGTAGCTTGCAGAGCGCCAGATTTTTTTCTTTTTTATCTTCTTTCCCTTCTACCAGACGCGGCTCCATGTTAATTAAAGCAGTAAATAGTAGATCATGACTCAGCTGAGTCTAGCTCGACTCTATGTGTCTGAGTTTGGCATAACATAAGAAACATACTTTCTCTCAAACACTTGTGCTTTTTTCCTGTGATAGTACATGCAGGTGTCCGTGGTCACGAGAGGGGAAGGGGAAAGGGGGAGTGATAATAAAATACCGTTAGCATTCAAATGCATGCATACTGCTTAGTTAGTGATGGCCTTATCTTAACTGTTAGCAATACTCAAATATAGAGTAGAGAAAGCTGTGTGAACAGTGGAAGTCTGCACAGAGGTTAAAACAAAAAAACATGTGCCTTGTACCTTTGTTCCCATTAGCTTGTTCCACAACAACCCAGTGTAGAAATCGGGATTGGGGTCACGAGTTGTCCTATTCAGCAGCTGAAAAGAATATTGAAAAACGGATGAATTAGCATGTAACTGAGAAAGACCTTTCGCCCATGTCATGTACATTACACACACACACACACACGCACATACACACACACTTACTTGTACTTGTACTTGCTCACTGCCAAAACTGGTCACGTGGGTCTCCCCGGGAGAGGGGAGAGAGACTCAAAAGGAATCTTGGAAAGATGACTCAATTGGCCATTGAACCACCCAACGGCCGACACCCCCTGAAATCCCCAAACTAGGGTGGACTTGAAATGATCCCACTTATGGGCTCACCACACCTCAGTAAGTGGGTGAGAACAAGGTGCAGAAAAAGGATTGACGGCATCAGGGTATCCGTCCCGGGATCCAACTGCAGGTACCCCTGCCCTCAGTGAAGGTAATACTTGGTACTAGTGTGGGTGGCTAAATCAGAGTGGATCTGATAAAAGCTTCACTAGCACCATTGATTACACAAGAGTTTATCTAGCCAGAAGTAGTCCATTGTTAACAGGTATGTATACTTCAAATAGAAAGTATATGAACCCTGAAACCAACAAAGGTGGTAGGTACAACAATACACCTTCAAGCAGCCGAGCCCGTTGGCAACAGGCCCAACACTATCTGGCATAAGTGTACCCACCAACCGAACTAGCTGACACACACACACATACATACACACACACACACACACACACACACACACATACATACACACACACATACATACACACACACACACACATACACACACACACAGATGTCTCTGGTGTGAGTTTGATAGCTACGCAATAGTGAATATCTGATTACGCATGGAGAGTGCAAGTTACGGGAAAGTATTGCCCTATTGTCAATTTGCAGTTGAACCCCACCATTGACGGCACATGTGACTCACCTCATAGTAGCCTCCAATCAGAGTTTGCCCTGCAAAACAACAGACATTGACATGCTCTCAACTAAATGTGAATATTGGTCAGCCCTATTCTCTCCATGAGCTCATTCTGGCACCAAATAGTCTCCCTAGCTGCTACAGCTACCTACAGCTCAGTAGAGCTTCCTAGTTGCCACTTCAGTCCCCACAGTGCCCGTTCATTGGTGTGTGAGAGTAGGTCTTGTCCATGCGAGCAGGTTCAAGCAGGCTCACTCTGACGACACGAAAATAATATGATACCATCATATCAACTAACTACAGTGCTGCCCTATGAAATCCAATCATGCGAGTTTAGGCCACGCCGGGCAGCGCTGTGCAGCCCTAGGCCTGTGAACATAGGGATGTGCACTGGTGCAGGGTGCACATCTGACACACATACACTGTGCAACACTGTCGCTAACAGCAAGGACAAAGGGCATTCTGAAATTAGCTCTATAGTTAACCTGGATGATGAGAGATACCAGGTAAAACCAACAGCGATACCAATAGCCACACATGAAGAACGAAGTGAGTTGAGAGCACCGTGCACGTGTACCTAGTGAAAATCTTTCTTCGAAGTGAAAGTGCAGTAAAGTCATGTTTTGCGTCATGATTATACCATGCTCCTTGCACGCCTGTTTCGGCATGCTGCTGTATCTCTGTTTCACCGGCCGCTATCATTATTAATTAATTTGATGATGCCATCTTCTCCATAGTAGTAGTAGTAGATTCCCTTGCTTTTACTTTGTTACACTGGTGTGCGGATGGAGATTTTGCTCCTCCGCAGTTTTTCTAATTGCTTTATCCACTACCCCAGCCAACCGTTTATTAACCTACTTCATTACTTTCTTCTAGGCTTCAGGAGTCGGCACCAGTAGTTTTCACCGCTGTGGAGTTGCCCATTCCGCTATTCCTCCATCCAGCTGGTTTTCTTGTTACCTGGCGAACCGGCCATTGTGCTGTAGTTTCGGGTCGCTTTCGGCGCCTTCGCCTTTGGCCTTGGATGAGCTGGCTTGCTGTGCTGCGCTTCGCGGCTGGGTGCTTTCCCGCGTGGTCTGTGCAACTGACGTGCGGGGTGCTCTTCACACCTCACGTCTCTTCGCGCCTTCTTCTGGCCGTGCTCGTGTATGCACTGTAACTGAAGTCTGCAGCTGTCTATCTATGAGCCCAGCCCAGCACGGCGTCCTTCAGGGTCGCACGTCTGGTCGCACGTCTGGCCCACGTGTTAGATGCTTGTCTGCAGCCGCCATTCCCCTGTTATGTCGTCTCAGTCGCGCAGGGGAGGTAACAGCAAGCGCTTGTGCTGTTCCTGCAGTAGGTCATCGGGCACGTGCCGCTCTTGCTCCTGCAACGCAGCAGGACGATGCTGTGTAGACTGCTACCCCGGCAGGGGCCAGAGATGCACAAATTTCGGAAACACTAATCTGAGCGTTACTGTTGTCACTGGCGGTGCTGTTGGGGAGCGTTCGCTGCCTGATGCACCACCCGAATCAGTACCGGGGTGGGTGCCTCGCAGAGGGCGGAATACTTCGGTTTCCAGACCCCAGTCGTCGGCCACGGAACGTTCCCAAGCAGCATTGCACCCTGGAGCAATCTTCTCAATCTGTTGCTCTGCTGCTTCATCCATGCAGCCCCTGCGGGTGGATCTGCCTGCTCTCGCGTGCTCGGAGACGGCTTCAATTGACGCTACTGGCCCACTGTCCGCAGGTGCTTCTGCTGATTGTGCTGAGGAGTCACGGGAGTTACGTGTTGACCTCCCTCCGGTCCGTAGTTCTGGAAATAATAGTACCACGGTCCAGCAACCAACCCATATTGCCGCCGAGCCCGTTGAAAATGAACGTGGTTTCTGGTCATTGCCGGATGGCGACATCACCCAGCTTATGGATAGTGCCTATGCCGAGGTGATTAAATGGAAAAGGAATACATTTATTGTACCTTTTGGCGATGATGGTGGACACTTTGTGGCTGAATTGGCTCGGTTAATCGGTCTGTTTAGCGACGGATCTGAAGCCAGAGCATTTGCGTGGTCGGCTGTGGTTGTTGCGGGCCATTTGCTTTTGCAGCGCCCATTTGGCACCTCATCTGCCACTGACAACAAGGAGTTTCTTCGCAAGCGCCTAACCTTGTGGAAATCAGGCAATTTGATTGCTTTGCTCCGCGAGGCACGCTGTATCCAAGCCCATTTGCCTTTAGTCGCGCACGGGCGTGCTCAGTCTCGGTCGGAGCTGGACGGCGTTGAGTTTGCCAAGATGGTGTATGGCGAGAGAATTGGTACAGCCACCCATTATCTAGAAGACAATGGTCGTGGGTGCGTTCTTCCTTTGGACCAGGAGATCAACGGGAGATCGGTTCTCGATGTCCTGAGGGAAAAACACCCGGATCCTGTCCACAGTGATGAGAGTGTTCTGTTGGATGACGAGCTGATAGTTCCGGAGAGTGTGCTGTATGAAGGCATAACAGCGGCCCGTATCCGGAAGTCATGCATGGCGATGAAAGGCGCAGCAGGTCCCTCTGGCCTTGATTCAGCTGCCTGGCGACACATGGTCTCCATGTTCAAGGCTCCGTCCAATGCTTTATGCTCGGCTCTGGCTCGTGCTGCCAAGTGTTTATGTACTGAGGTTCTTGAGTCAAAACATCTACGGGCGGAGGGTATCCTACACAGCGCCATAACTAGTTGCGGGACCTCTTTGCCGACACGCTGGCAGAAGTGGTGTGTGACGTGGAGACTGAGCCCCCACTGGCTGCATTGCAGGGTGAGGCTGTGTCAGGCAACACTGCCGATGGCGCTCGTGTGGATGTTCGGGCTTGTGGCTTCTGGTCGCGGCAGCAAAATGCCTTTTTCAATGTTCGGGTTACTCACCCAAGGCCATCTTTGCTGTCGCGATCACAAGTAATGAGCCAATTGGCTGATCACGAGCGCCAGAAGAAGCGTCAATATGCCGACCGTATCAATAGGGTTGATCGTGGATCGTTCGCGCCCCTTGTGTTCGCCACGAATGGCATGTGCAGCACGGAGACCACTGTTTTCCTGCGCACTTTGGCTGCGCGAATTCACGACCGTCATCGCGACCTACCGTATTCCCTGCTTGTGCGGCAATTGCGCTCGAGGATAAGTTTGTGCCTTGTGCGATGGCAGATTACCTGCCTTCGTGGTGCCCATGCGTCGTACGTCAAGAGACATGCTGGTGGCGGCGCTCATAGCTTCGTCATGGAGTGCCGGGCCCATGCTCATCTATTGACCTGACTGTGACCATCAATGTTCTTTTCACATGGATTGATCTTATTTATTACTTCACACCAGATCCATTTTTTGTTATTATTTTGTTTGTTTTTGTTTTGTTGTTTGTTTGAATGTTCTGCTATGTTCTGCTTTGATTTACTGTGGCGACGAGCTGACTGTAATTTATCCATGTTAGGGTGGGGGCTATTTGATCGCGGCTTTTTAGTGGTTTTCATTTCATGTTTTTGGGTGTCATTCGCATACTTTCATTTGCTGTTGCTTTATACCTTCTCTTTGATGGTTTCTGTTGCTCATTTGGATTGAAATAAAAACGATTCCCCTAGTAGATTCCTTTTCGACCAGTCGAGACCACACGTGCTGCTTCATGCTGGTATTCGCAAGCGTCGGGTGGTCTGGCCTGGTCGAAAAAGGAATCTACTACTGCTATCATTCATATTGAATGCTCTTAAGACTTCTTGTTGGGTCTGGATGGCAGTGTGACTCAGTCAAGTGTCATGTTGGGTCTGGATGGCAGTGTGACTCAGTCAAGTGTCAAATTCAGTCGGCAAGAAAACTGCAAGCTCCAGTGTGAGGACCAATCAACTTCCTTACAAAGACTTACTGCAAAATGCTTGGACGTTGTTATTTGCCGCAGTGCCAAGTGCATCCTTAACACGGAGGAAGGTACACAAGCAGAGAACAAGTACATAATTATTATGTCAACCTCATGCACAAATTAGAATGGAGTATCAATTGCCCAGTCCGATTTCCTGAAGCCATTAAATACGGCATAATCCCATGAGTTAGTGATTGACAGCGTCGGTGTGCTTCTGCAAAGCCAGGATGATAATTGTTGCATGTACGTCGCCTAAAGTTGCGGTATAAACCAGATTAAGATTTACATTAGCTTACAGCACAACATACTGGCCTTGATGCCCTCAGCACTGTATCTACCATCAGCTTGAGACCAGATTTCAAATTCCACAGCTGTGTACTTGACAGAACATTATCGCGGACGGCGCATTCACTGGACAAGTGAGCAACGGTGTCGGTACCCACCACTATCAGAGAGGCTCGACAAAGTCATGGTCATAGCTCTAGTGTGGCACTAGACGGTGTGTAACTAGCTGTGGAAACCAGCAGGACATGGGGGTGCACCTCTCTGCAAGCTATAACTGCAGGGTCAGTTAGAAGAGCCAACTTACAAGGTACCAGAATCCTGATAGAAATGTGTTGGTGGTATTCATCTGACCGCTATGCCAAGCTGCTGCTGTTTCACCAATCCCTATAACAAAGAAAATACCAGCAGGGAATTACAGGCTTGAGATACTGCATCGCCGAAGTAGATAAAACCTAGCTTCATGTCGAGATACCCACTGAAGACAATGCAAGCCAAGAAAGGGGAGCAACATGGTCTACTCAGTGGACAATCAGTACTAGTACACTTAACAGAAGGAATTTATGCGGTCCAAATCTGAACTTACATATCTCAGCTTTCGGTGCCTTGTCATTGATCACCTTTGCCAGTGGAGCCTGCAATCAGGAAACAAAACAGAGAGCATGCGTGCTAACGCTGTCTGTGTGTAACGTGTACACCAGGAAGCCGTACAGGTATTTGGAAGTAGAATCTTGGGAGATGTGACGAGCCACTGTAAAATGTAACAATGTGGAATTTGCTCTCGGGCTACCCGCCCCAATTTCCCTTGGGGCAGAGCCAATTTATCCACTCCTGCATAACATGGATCCCCTGGTCTGGGCCTTGCTTAGGGTCAGCAAATCAAGGCCATAATCACGAATGTGAGTTCCATAGAATACGGACAAAGTAGAACTTCCAAATCCAATCCAATCCGAGATGCTACGACTGCCTGGTGTACACGTGCATAACTAAACATAACCATCACACACAATCCAGCATGTTATTGGCTTTGGTCGGAAACGTTTAAGAGAAAACGCTACCCACACAGTTCATGCCAAATGAGGATATGTTTTCCTATCAAGATGATAATCAAGGACAAGCATTCTTTCCAGCTCTTGCTTTCTCACATGATTTCTTGAACTGTGTGCATGGCCAACCAGTGTGCCCTATACATCCTTATATGCTGGGCATCCACGAACTACGTGTGTGAGCCCATCGAAGCTTTACATGGGCATCCATACAGTCGGATACGTGGCGGCCATCAAGTGCACTTTTTTCCTAGCCTTTCATGCAGAACTTCGCGCCAGACCTGGCACGTTTGACTGAATTTTGGACCGCTCCAGTGGAAGAGTACTGCTCCGCTTCTCCCCCCCCCCCCCCCCTTCTCTCTCTCCTTTCCCTCCAATCTGAGCGACATATTTCAGCACAGATGAGTACAGTATGTACAGATAGACTTTCTTCAATTCGAGTCTCAAATTTTCAGGTTCCAACTTGGAATTAGCCGCAACTGAGTCCAAATGCTCGAAATCGAATGCTGATCATTCGCACATGTCATTTGTATCTGCACAACATAGTTACATGTACAATTCCAGGCATGTTTAGTTCTCCAAACGTTGGACACAGAGTCATTTGATATACAGTAAAACCTGTCAAGGCGACCCCTCGGCTTAGGCGACCATATGTCCTAGAAGACCACTGAAACCAGGACCTAGGGAAGCTACTTCCAGTCAAATGACCCTGGATAGGGAGACCACGTGGTAACAGAGACCACCTTGTGAAGGTCCCTTGAGAGGTCGTCTCAGACAGGTTTCACTGTAATAATCTTGACGTTCTAGTGAGGAAGTGGGCAGTTGCCGCGTCTTACCAATGTGCTCTGATACTTGTCCAAGTACTGGCCAGTTGTGATCTGTGCAGGTAGGTTGTGATCTAGACCATAGCCTGGACATGACAGAAGAACATCAGAGACATGCGATGTCTGCACTATCTGCACATTCCCACCACCTGCTGGGTTTCGTATGGTGTTCTTGAGAAACATTACAATTGTTATGTCATCCACCAACTCACACCTTACACAAGATGCAGCCAGTTTTCAACAGAAACTCTTACATCTTGGGCAGAGAATGATTCCTACTCCTTCATATATTCGCAAAATCCGGCCAACTTTTTAAATAATATTGTATCCAGGATCTTGTGCTGATAGCAGCTACAAATACTCTGGCAAAAAATGAAAATACCCATTTTCCCCTCATAGAACAACGGATGATCATGGGGCATTCAGACTGACCTGAACCTACATCGGTACAGACCAGCATCAAACCGAAAACGTCATTCACCATGCCAATGACTAGGCAGACGAGATTTACGAAGCGTGCACACTGCCGCTTTTACACTCCGGAAACCTCCTTTGAGGTTGCTTCGCCACGACAACATCCCCAATATGTCAGTTGTTTCACATCAGTCTGAATGTGCCCTAAGTACAATAAAACCTGATTTAAGCGACCACCGAAGTTTTACAACACCGAAAATAAGGTGATATACAGTAACACACACAGCCATTATAATTCAGGTTACCCAGGTTACCCAGGTTACCCAGGTTACCTGTGTAGATATGGACTGTAACAGCATCGATCACATCTGCCACTAGCGGGAGAAACTCCTCCAGAAATCCAGCATTGGGATTCTCATCTACAAAAACACAGAGGTTAGTTGGAGAAACGCATTGAAAAGACAACAGCTCAATCAGCTTCGTCTAAAGTCGTGGGCACTACACGTGCAGTCCTGGACAAGGATACAGCTTTCATTTTTGTTATAGAATTTTAGCCTCGATAGGCAAGGTTGCATCCAAAGTGACGTACAGTAGCGCCGCCTTTCATTCAAAATCGAAAGTTCCTTTGCACTATGACGTATAGTACAACTAACTTACCGTAATGTCGCGTGCATAAGCCGGATTTGTGCATAAGCCTGTCTCGTGTAGAAGCATGAAATCTGCAACAGCTTTTCGCGTACAAGCCTGTCGCATGCATAAGCCGGGCCAGTACACGAGACGCGCCACGTGTCGCGTGCGTAAGCCGGGCTACTACGCAAGACTGGTGAGCGCGCCTTTTACATGTTCATGTTTGCATGGTACCGTACACTTGCGAAAAAAAAGAAAAAAAATCCCGTTGGAAAATGTTGGTTTTGACGTCCAAAAGTCAGCAGTTTGCGCATACAAGCCTGGTCATTGAGTGGTGCTTGTCATATAAGCCTGTCTCGTGTATAAGCCTGTCTTGTGTACAAGCCTGACTCCATCACCGGCTTATAGGCATATAAGCCCCGGCTAATGCACGCGACATTACGGTATTCAACAACCGCTCTGTAAGTTGGCTACCACCCTGACTAGGTTAGTTAATGTATCTGCGTAGGTTTGAAGGAACTGAGAAAGGACAATTTCGAAGTAATGGGACCCTAGCTCATTAGGTTGACTGGGTGATTTCTTAGTTTTGTACACACCTGGTCCGATGAGCTTTGGTCTTGTCGCTACGTCCGGCCAGTATTTCACAAGCATCTCACTATGCATAACAAAAGCAGACAAAAAGATTTTACCGAGTTGCTAGCTGTACTAGCTCCTCTTGCATATGGCTACTTCGCAGCTAACTCAATCTGAACAGTAATGCATATCACCCGGTCATTTCAACAAGTAATATATCCACCAGATTACATCACCATACACCTAGGATCATGCTTACGTCCCAAAAAGGGTTTTGTAAACCGGATTGTGGCACAATTTAGGCCGCAAAACTGATTATATTAGGCTAAAAGTAGGCTTGAACCCACCACTCTTCATTTAGAAACATAAACCAGTCAAGGTATAGTTAAATGTACGTGAATATTTTGCTTCTTTACCTTTGACCCTCCCAAACCCAGGCATAATAGGAAAAGGTTTATAAGCTAGCCTCCATGAACGGACAGAAAAGGTTTATAAGCTAGCCTCCATGAACGGACAGAAAAGGTTTATAAGCTAGCCTCCATGAACGGACAGAAAAGGTTAATAAGCTAGCCTCCATGAACGGACAGAAAAGGTTTATAAGCTAGCCTCCATGAACGGACAGAAAAGGTTTATAAGCTAGCCTCCATGAACGGACAGAAAAGGTTTACAAGCTAGCCTCCATGAACGGACAGAAAAGGTTTATAAGCTAGCCTCCATGAACGGACAGAAAAGGTTTTCACCCCAATGAACAGTAGGGCAGTAAATCTAATGGCACTTCTGCTCCTCGCTGATCTGAATAATTTCTTTTCAACGCTACACAGCACACATTGTTCCAATATCCCTGCTTACAGGCAGGGTACATGCTCTGGTCCCAAATAAGACTACTTACTGAACATCTTGGTAAGAATCTGCCATCACATCAGCATGAACCTGCAGAGCAATATGTCCGATATCAGATGTAAAAATTAATTAGAGTACTAGTAATGTACTACTTACTAGTTGGGGCTCCCCCCGCGTGTGCTAGTTTGTACGTGAAGTGTGTGGGTACAGTGAGGGCTGCGTCCTACCCGCCTGTGTGGATTCACAGGAAGTGTGAGTTACGAAGTCTGAAGAAAACGTTGAACGGTCTCTGCTTGGATGACGACTACACCATAGCTCAGTGGTTAGAGCATCGCTGGCTACAAGCGAGGGTCCCTGGTTCGAGTTCTGGTGGTGACAGTCAATTTTTTCTTCAGACTTTTCCCGTTTGTCTCTTTTCCTCAAAACCAGTTAATACTAGTAATGGAGGTAAATATAGTAGCTTTGAAGAGAGTCACCAGTCAGCCATGCAAATCTGAGCAGGAAGCAAACTGTGAAGTGTTCGGCGCGGCGCATGCTCCTTACTTTTTTTTGCGCGCTCGCAAAAATTCATATGGGAGGATAGACAGGAGGAAGAAGAGATACAATGGAGATACTATGGTCTCTTGAATGCAGAATTGTGCAAGACTATGTTACCTTGACTTCAAACTTCAGACATGTCTATAAGTAATTATGATCTGTGCACCGGTTGATAGAATCAAATAACTCTAGACAATGTCATATTCTCTATAGTCTTACCTGACCCTGCTTCTCATTGCAAACCTAGAGGAATACAACAACATGATGACAGGACAGGAAGCAACACCGAATGGTATAGAATATGGACAAGCTAATTGGTTCCACACAAACACAAACAGGCAAGTATTCATAATTCAATGTACTAAACTCAGTTCACCGAGTATTACAGTAATTCGTGTGTGAGTGGCACTATCGCCACTATTTGTTGGTGCTTTTACGGAAAAGTGAAACTTCACCCGCAGCGCAAAACAACCCGCTGAATGGAAACATGCAGCCAAGGAATTTGAGAAATTGACTTATGCCCAGCACCATGTACACCGTAATACAGCTAGACATATTATATGATTGTTTGCCAGCTGTAGGGCAGCTAAAATACATGCTGTAAGGTATTGCAAGGGAAAGCATACTTCGATTTACACGTAACTAGGAGAAATGTTCGTGGTGCGGTTCTTTGTTTGGACAATTGAAATGTCAAATGAGATACGCAAATCTATGAAAGACCTGCCAATAGGGCTTGAAAGTGATGACGTCAAAAACGGCCAGGCAGTAGTAAGTTGACATCAGATTTCCATTTTGGATCCACTAAGGTGTGACTTTGCTATTGCCTCAGTATGTGGGTGCATAGCAACGCACTCGTGTCGTATGCAGGCGTGACTTTTACTTCGCCACCAGTTGTCACCCCGCCCCAGTAGCCAAATCAGCCAGTTTCACTGGCTACATCACCTTGCTGTGAGTAAGACTGCTTGAAATGTGCTTGGATCCATACAAAAACTTGATCCAAACTGGATCCAAGTGGATCAAGTTTTTGAATTTTTGAAATTGTTGCTATGCTGTGACGTAGCACTTTCAAGCCCTATGGCGCATGGCAGTGGAAAGTGCTTGGCAACACCGATGGTGCCGAGCAGTACCGGTGTAAACACACAAACACACAATCACTTACTACACCGATCAAAACCCACTGTTTTTGTTTGTCCTCATGCCCCTCCCGGGTGTACACTACTTTCTCTTCCTCCCTATTTCTTCTTTATTGTCCATCTTATCTTGTGCGCTAAGCTTGTGGTCATCTTGCAAATGAAAATTCTTTCACAGCTCAAGGGCCTCAAGGAAATCCTCAAATGCAACAGAATACAAAACGAAGCAGCTCAATCAGAATGCTGATAATGTACTCACCTCAAAGCCATACACAGGCAGTTTGTGCTGCGCAGTGTACTGAAGAAATGCATCGCTGTTTCTCTTGTCCCACTGTGCGCTCTTGTTTGCACGTCCATACATACAGTTCAAACCAAACACCTGCATGATGGCGAGGAGATATGCACAAAATGAAGTCAGTTCAGTGGCCATGCCTTTCCAGTACATTATCGGCACTTCCAATATGCAATTCAGAAGGAACATTCAGTGTATACCTGTTGTACTCTGAAGATGGGCTGTGTCCGAAGCATGAAAAAAATTCTTCAGAGCGAAAAGATCCTGCAGTTTTACAGCTGAATAGAGGCAGTTTTTTCTAACTTATTTAATCTTTTTCTCAATTTGTCAAGACCAGTCATAGACTACCTCATAGTAGTTGCAACTATCTCATCAAAATTATCACTATCCATTGCACTATCTTGAAAGCATTTCTTATTTTCCAAATCATATGTCGGAACTTACCAGCTTCAAGTCTGTCTCCTGGCTGAAAGCTACGATTTGTTGCCATCGATCCATGGATAGACAGAAACCCTATCAAGAAATGTCAAAGAGAGTTACAAAGAGAACGTGAGAATCATGTGTTGCTGAATAATACATCCAAGAAAAGATGGCGGAAGAAACGGCTGTTCGAAATCCAATCAGTTGCAAGGTTATTCTCGAGCATCACCAAGTTAATGTACAGTAGTGTGCAAACTTCATCTGTGTGTGTGTGTGGAAGGGGGGGGGGTGATGGTGTATGTAAGTTGGCTTTATCCAATGGCCTTTCCATGCACAATAGAGTGAACAACATGTATTACAGAAGAACACTTTCTAATCCAACAACCCATTACGCTACAGTAGGCAAGCCAATGCACCCAAGCAGAAACTGATCCTGATGCAGTGTACATTTGCGGCCAAAATCTGACCCACGTGACGAAAGCAGCTCATACCCTCAGATCAGTTTTTGGAATGTGCACGACGTAATTGAAATGGAAACGTGGCACTACCTTTGATTCGTGGATCGAATTTCTTTGGCCACGACTGTAGCTGGTAAATACTGCATATACTATGATATAGGGCTTGTGGACGCAGTCTTGTGCACTAGTAAACAATGATTATGATATCTGCTTTTTTTCAATTGGACCAGGTTTTCGAAGCTTGGCTTTCACTTACTCCAGACCACTGCTACATCCAAATGAAAACTAGTATCCGAGTGCCAGGTGTGACCCCTAACCTTGGCAAATCAGGTTAAGTCTTACAGCCTCGTAAAAAGTGCCTGACCCCATTTTTCGTATCTTCATTGCCCGTGTTCTCTTTCCTCTCTCCCTCCCTCTCCCTTCCTCTATCTTTGCCTCTCCCTCCCTCCCTCTCTCTCTCTCTCTCTCTCTCTCTCTCTCTCTCTCTCTCTCTCTCTCCCCCTCTCTCTCTCTCTCCCCCTCTTTCTCTCCCTCCCTCAGGGCCCTCTCTCTCTCTCTCTCTCCCTCCCTCTCTCTCTCTCTCTCTCTCTCTCTCTCTCTCTCTCTCTCTCTCTCTCTCCCTCCCTCTTTCTCTCCCTCCCTCAGGGCCCTCTCTCCCTCCCTCTCTCTCTCTCTCTCCCTCTCCCTCTCCCTCTCCCTCTCCCTCTCCCTCTCCCTCTCCCTCCCTCCCTCCCTCCCTCCCTCTCTCTCTCTCTCTCTCTCTCTCTCTCTCTCTCTCTCTCTCTCTCTCTCTCTCTCTCTCTCTCTCTCTCTCTCTCTCTCTCTCTCTCTCTCTCTCTCTCTCTCTCTCTCTCTCTCTCTCTCTCTCTCTCTCTCTCTCTCTCTCTCTCTCTCATGGTCTCCTTTTCTCCAGTAATACATAACCCTGTAGTTTTACTTGGAACAAGTTTTGGTAGCTCAATAGAGTGCTCAATGCACCTGGTTAAAGCAATACACCTGGTTACGGAGCAATACATCGGTTATGGAGCCTCAAACACAAAAAAGAGCAAAACAAAGCTGTAATACTGTGATTCCGAGTTTCACCCAAAGGTGATCATCAAATAGCATCGCATGCTATCCTGTAGTTTCTGGTGAACACTACCGCCTCTTATCCAACATACGACATTCAAGAACTTACTGGTTTGCACGGCAAGTGCTCGCCGATGTCATAGATCATCTGAATGATGAGTCACGAATAGAAGATAAGAACTCAATCACAGAGTGAAGTGAAGCAGAATCACTTTTGGCTTTGAAAGCGGTGAACTCAATCACAGAGTGTAGTGAGGCAGAATCACTTGCGGCTTTGAAAGCGGTGAACTCAATCACAGAGTGTAGTGAGGCAGAATCACTTGCGGCTTTGAAAGCTGTGCCAACAAACCGTGAGCAAGCAATAGGATAAATGAGGGGATGATATTAGGTATTGCAGAAGCCATCAAAGCCAGGTGTACAAGAAGAGGAGACAACTACACACCAAAACGTTGCAAGACAAATGGTGAAATCTTTCACAGCACAACCAGATAACAGTGTGAAACAAGGTGCCATAATTATGATGTTGATGGATCCGCACCGTCCAGTACTAATTCACGTCTATTCATACATGGTGCCAAGCTTATGCATAAGCACATAGACATTCAGTGATGGCACTTACCACATCGCCTTCTGAGCCACCCTGGGCATAACAACAGGCGTGCAAAATAACAGAATATACATGATAATCACAGTTTGAAGTCTATTTCACTCATCCTGAATACAAAAAAAGAGATAGCATCCTCCTGAAATAGTCCTCAATCAAAAAAGTACTGTGAAAGAGAAAGGAGGTAATGAGCAAGAGGCATTTTGAACGGCTGGCAATTTCTAGTTTTTCAGTGGCCACCCGACCAGAGCCCAGCCCTGATGTTTTCTGTAGCATCTACCCCCCCCCCCCCCATTTGTGATGACTGGAACTATGGGAAGGTCTCCTCGTATAACCATGATAGCTGAAGAACTGGGTTTGCATGTGCTTTTCAAATCTCGAGCATGCTGTTTGTCGATCTAACACAATTCCTACAGTACGTTCCGGAACACGTTCATTCCAGAATAGTTCCTGATTTTCCTTCAGTTCAATTGAATGAGTACAACGATATCGTAATTGTCATATTCTCCACAAAATGACCAACCTTGTCCTTTTCTGATGAATGAGGAATTCAATCAACCACAACTATCCCCCCCCCCCCCCCCCCCGACCATCGTCTGAAGCTTTCTTACAATTCGCAAGTGTCCTGGTGAAAGCTGACTGGCGAGATAGATAGTTTTGGTGTCGTTGATTTTCATTATGTTTATGCTGCAGTTGTCCCAGGCTGGAGGTTCTTCGTTGTTTAAATGCCAGTCGAAGTTGCCGCTGAAGAGACCAGCACCAGTCGTTGCCAGCACAGCCGATCCATTGACCGACACGGTGACCGTCTGGGCTGGCGGTGGTGGCTGCGCTAGGACCCCGCATTCGCACAAGCAGAACGTCGTGACCACCAACAAATGGATCATCTCATTCAGCATCCAATGATCCATCGCTCTTCGTTAGTATAGTGGCTGATTTGCACTGCAGAACAGAACGCTACTTGATGTTAGGAGCACCGGGAGTCCTGAAGTTTAGAAGTAGTGTCTTGTCCTTTTTCGAAGAGCCAACAGCTGGAAAGAGACGACCAGCTATCAAAGGAAACAATTATTTCAGGACTCTCTGAAAAGAACATATCCGGCGTCGTGTACTTCGAAGTAGGTTCTGCCGAGTATGACTATGACTCGCCTCGGAGTCGTAACAGTACTGTTGTACATCACGTGATTCGGACCTTGCTGGACCATGCATGGGAACCGCTAACCCGCGACACTGCACTGATTCGCAGTCTGGTTCAAAGTTCAAAAGCGAAAAGTGGCCATGAGACTGAACAATTTTAGTGTTCCTACGAGCACACTCTGCAGAACTCGTCGTCCACAGGGACAGGGACAGTCTTGTGCTTTGAAACTCACGTCTTCAACTTCTTCAGACCATGCAAGGAAGGAGAGTGAGTCTGCCTTCGTAGAAAATGGCTGCGTGCGAGCTGCTTCCGAGTCTGCCGCTGTTCTCCGGCAGGCTTTCTCACACGTCTCTGGGGGAGCGAGTTCTGATACTGGAGAAGCATGGCGCGAAGACGAGTTGGCGCGGTTTGCATGGTGTTGAACTGCTCCAGCGGCTGCTGGGCACCGTGATGATCTTGACACGAGGCAAAAAGGCCTAAGCCTGGCAATAGAAGTTCTCAGTTCGAGCTGCAGCCGTTCCGTGCGAGGAGCTGTGCTTGATAGTGTGGATTGTGCAGCAACGACTAATTTTGTGCTGCTGTGTTACACACAGCCCGCTTCTTGTCACCTGGCCAAGCTCACTCCTCACCCTTGGACTGCCCTGGCGGCGACAAAAGCTACCGGTTTGCTGGTCACTGTGAACTGAAGCCGGAACGGGAGCTAGTCGAAGAAGCTGCTGCCTGGCGACGACTGTCGAGCGAATAGACGTTTCTTGCTCTTCGTGTGCTATTCTTCTCTGCTCTCGCCTGGTGCCTACATGGTGGTTCATCCATGCAACCCACAAGACGACATTACCCTGTGATCATCCAAAGTGGAGCGTTGAAATCGATAAGACGTATCACGGCAGGGCGTCAGACAATTGCATTTCCCACCTTCCTGCTACACAAACTGGACAGCGCATTCGGATGTGAAAGAGAGCAAAGGAGGTGCGAGACTCCGGGTGGTGCACACTGGCAAGGTAAGACAACGGTCCTATTCTTCAAATCACAGGTTGAACCGCTCGTATTCGTCAGTTAGTGGTAAGCGTTCTCGAAAGTCGGCATCCGGATGCGCCATCTACTTCGTTGCTCATCGCCACGTACTAGTAGTTGTCATAATAATAATATTATTGTACAGTGTCATGTAATTGGTAGATTTTGCAATCAAATCTTTGAATCAGCCTGTCGCCCCGCAGATTGAACTACAAAGACGACCAGAGATTGCGTTGGATTGGATTGGATTTTTTATTTATAGTGGTGACTATAACAGACAATTGCCTAATAACAATAGACCCACTCGAGGGAAAGATGCAAAAAGATATGAATAATTAATATAATAGACTACCGGTATTGGATAGGTGATCATGTTCGCATTTTGCATAGCTGAAAGTCATAAGTACTAGCGAGAAAAAGCAAGGCATTGGGGTAACAGTTTCTTAAAACAGGCGGAGTTATCCACACAGCGAGCTAGAGGGTGTAAATCATTCCACAGCTTAGCACATTGGAAGGAAGGGCCATGACGGGCAAAGGCAGTTCTGAGCATGGGCAACTTAAGAGTGCGTGATACAAGGCTGCGCGTTGCAAGACCATTATTTAAACGCTGTCACATTTGACTTAATGTGACACTACAGCGGCCTTCCAAACAGCGCCACGTCAGATACAGTAATTTCTTGCAATACATGGATGCCAAACGATCTAGACCAAGTCTCGCAAATAAAGGGCTTGATGGGCTACAAAACCCAGTATCGTACACTGAACGCAAAGCTCGCTTTAGCATTCATTCAAGCCTACCTAACTGGGTTAAGGAAAGGCCAGCAGAAAAACAATTTGATGCATATAGAAAATCTGGCAACACTCGGCACTTTACAAATGTTTCTCGGCAAGTCAGCGGAATATTGTGTCGATTTCGGAACAGAATACCAATTTTACTGGCAAGTTTGGTGACCATAGAATCAACTTGAGTCCTCCAAGAAAGATCCTGGTCCAAATGTATTCCTAGGTACTTTGCACATGTCACTTGCTTGAGCTGCACTCCATGACAGTAGACTGCAAATTGGTGGTCAGTAATATGTGGCGTAGACAGGAAGAGCACTTGTGTCTTCTGGGCATTTAGAATTAAATTGCGGTTTGATAGCCAGGTACTAATGGCTGAGACAGCTGCAGACAGGGAGTTGCTAAGCGCATTCTTCTGCGTACCGCAAACATACAATAGAATATCGTCACCAAATTGAATAACTTTCACACAAAACTTGGAGACAATGGACTGGATCGAACGAACATAGAGTACAAAAAGCAGCGGACCAAGAACAGAGCCCTGGGGACGCCACACATGCAGGGGAAAGGAGGGCTATAGTTCTCAGCAATGTGCACTATTTGGCGACGATTGGACAAATAGTCGGCAAACCAAACTAATGCTGAACCAGATATGCCAAGCTCAAACAAATCATTAATGAGCACTTGGTGCCTGACCTTGTCAAATGCTTTGGACATATCCACGAGCACAGCACCCGTAATTTGCCCGGCATCGCGAGCGCGAACAAACGTTCCGCACTATAATGGTGTGGTTGTGCTGCGATTCTCCCAATGCCCCGTGTTAGTTCAAAACCTACATGACATTGTATATGGCGGCGGTATGTGCACGTATATTTCGACCTCATGCATAGAGTACCCCCGCTGCGAGGTCGTAGCACAGCACTAACAAACACTGGGCTGTGCCGGGAACACATCCCCGCCATATTCATGCAGTCGGATTTCACTGTCCCGACTCTAGTACCCCCACTGTACAGTGAGATCTGCGAACCTGGATCAGCATGAGTGCAGCATTGGATAAACTGCAGATCAGTCTGTGTGCGCCGGGATGTATAAAACATGACCGGGAAGTAATTACAACTCTTTATCTTACAATCGCCCAATTGCGTGTAACTTGAAATTACCACAAATACTGTGCTCCATTTTGTCCACAGTGTGTGAACATCTCTGTACAGTTATCACTATGCATCCAGCACTCTAGCAGCAACAGTACCGACCAGTATGTAGGGAAGTAATTATGTGTATCCATTAACAATTCCATAACTCATTGGGCGCAGCTGCGTCCTCGTATGTAGTTCTGCTTTTATACTATCTTTTTTGTGAATTTTGTCGGATGCTGTACAATGTTGGTAGTGTTCTGCAGTAAGAACGATGGGTGTCTCTACTACACATTCCATCCCATGTGTCCGTATACTACTCACTTAGTGTCAGGACTATCCATTTCAACACTTCCTTGTTGATATGCAGCAACTCAAGTGAATTAGTCTACAGTTGACTCTAATCACTGTTTGATGTGCAGGTAATTAAGTGGGCTGCTATCTTATGTGCAGGTGTATTTGTGTGTGTGCATATTTATATGTTTAACTTGTGTGCACATGTTTGTGTACATGTATGAGGGTATGTGTGCATATGCTGTGTGTGTGTGTGTGTGTGTGTGTGTGTGTGTGTGTGTGTGTGTGTGTGTGTGTGTGTGTGTGTGTGTGTGTGTGAGAGAGTGAGTGGGTGGTTGGGACATGATGTGTATTGCCGTTATGTGTATTCATGTGCATGTGTGTGTGTGTGTGTGTGTGTGTGTGTGTGTGTGTGTGTGTGTGTGTGTGTGTGTGTGTGTGTGTGTGTGTGTGTGTGTGTGTGTGTGTGTGTGTGTGTGTGTGTGTGTGTGTGTGTGTGTGTGTGTGTGCGTAACTGCCATTACTGCAGATCTTCCCGTTGACAGCAACTGGTGCATAAAGTGGAAGGACTGCAATGAGTAGTATGAACAAGGATGGCTATGACTTAGAGCAGATCAGCAGCGTAGCCAGTGCCGCAAGTGATGCCCTTATCTCCCAGTATAGCAGCGCCGCCGCCGCCGCAGAGTCCAATACGGCTGCGGCTCAATGCGGCTACAGCGATGGCAGTGACCAGGAGCCAGCATGTGTGCTAGTAGAGAGCGGCTCTAATGAGGCGCGGCGTGTTGCTGTCAGTGACTTTCAGTGTAGCACCACTCCTGTCCAGGCTAGAATGCCGCCGGTCAGCATGGCGGTGTCAATGACAACACCACTATACAGTGCTGTGGCGGCGGTAAAGGATGCGGCTGGCGCAACAAATCAGGCTATACATTCCGCCTGCGACCAGGACGTGCAACGCACAGGACCACCGTCGCAGCCTCGCCATATGACACCATCTCATGAGGGCCGTGTTCAGAAAGTAATTGCCCACAGTAGTAGAGCAGATTCGACATCACAACAACTACCCTCTGAAGGCAGCAGCAAAATGGATCCTGGCAGCAAAGAAACTCCCCGAAATGTTTCTCCAGCTGCTTCTGCTGCCAGGTTTCAACATGTTCAGGATAGGCAAGTTCAAGCAAACACCTCGTCCAGTTTGCGAGGAGACAGGAAAGATGCAGATGGTGAACATAGCCAGGCAAGCAACTGGGTGGCACCTTTCCTGAATGGCAAAAACAATGACCAATCATCACAGCCGTCCACTGTCTACAATAGGACCATGTGCCAATTGTCTGCTTCTCCTAAACTAGCTGCTCCTAGGTGTGCTCCTGCTCATGCTCCACTACAAGGCAATCCTGTCAATGGTCAGGAACCAGACTTGGCTGGCAAGAAGAGGGTCTCGCAACCCACAGATCTGGATCTGGGAAACTCCAAGAAGCGCCTGAGTAATGGGGTACGAACAAATATGATCCAATCGTCATCCTGCAAAAGTCTGGCTGTGCCAAGTGACAACCAGTGCTTAGATGGCAAGGATATCATAATTGTACCGTTTACAACACCATGCAGTTCTACTTATAACCAGCCACAGTTTCAGCAGAGCAATACCACCGCAGCAGGAAAAATAGATCCTGCCGCCAACGCAGCAACTCAACTGAAAGGAGCATGTGGACACTCGGACCAGTTCTCTATTAGACACCTCGCTGCCGGCTGCTTCAATAAGCTTCCATCAAATCAACAAGCCAACACGACGGAAACAGCAACCTCCAGTTATAGGGCCATTGAAGAAAGTGGCCAATCCGGCAAGGCAGAAGCATGCATGAATCTTCATCATAGCCCAGTTGCCGCAAAGGACCCTGATGTTGGTGCAAATTTTGCCGGTGATGGTAGCAGCAATGCCCGAATCACCAGCTTGATGAAGTCCATGTCCGAACTGCGCAAGTCAAGTGCAAGCGATGATCAGACTAGTGGTGCAAGCCTAGTCGACAACGAAAAAAGCTGGGTTGACTTCTTGACCCACATTGGCAATACCGCTGTCAATGATCCTTCTACTGAACAGGCACAGCTGCATACAAGCCAGGACCAGAGCCAGAGCCAGAGCCAGCCTTCTTCTGAGCCAAAGTCACCAGTGACAGTGGTACTAAGTAGCTCAACACAGGCAGCAGCAGCAGCAGCAGCTAGGAAATCATCCACATCTGCATTTCCCGTCGAGTTTGTAAATGGATCATGCACATCATCTTCGTCAGCTGAGAAAGACCCCCAAATACCAAGCCAGAAGTCAAACGAGATGTTCGCGTCGTCAACAGGCCCAGCAGCTGAGAGCAATGGTGATCATTCCTTGAAGTCCCTGCAAACTGGCATTGGCAGTGTGTTAGGTGCAGCCTTCAAACCCTGGACAAGTAATCCAACTAGCGGCAGTCCAAGTATGACAGTTTCACAATCACATCCATTCAGTTTCCCTGCAGTTGGAAATGCAAATTTCAGTGAAGGTGGCAATGGTAGCGAGATGAAGCACGCCTCGCAGAACTCTTCACAAGGCATGATTGGATCTGTATCTGCCACAGCTAGGGAACATCAACCATTGGACGTTTGCACGAGCATGAGGCGTCCAAGTCACACAGTCATTGGGACGGTGCCTTCAACTGCTGGAAAAGTTGCTCCCACAATGGATCAGCAATATGAGCAACGTCAGCAACCACACCAGCAGCAGCTACACCACCACCACCAGCAACAACCACAACAACAACCACAGCAGCAGCAGCAACAACCACAACAACAACAACCACAACAACAACAACCACAGCAGCAGCAGCAGCAACTGCAACTGCAACAACCACCACAGCAGCAGCCACAGCAGCAGCCACAGCAGCAGCCACAGCTGCAACAACAACACCCACAGTCACAACAGCAGCCACAGCAGCAGCAGCAGCAACATCATTCGCTTATTGATTATTCTATGTTCAATACTAACATGGCCTTGGCATCGCCTGTTAGCACTCACTTTCCAGGTATGATGTCTGTCCCAGGCCCACCTGGATGGCCAGGAAGTTTTCCGTACGCCTCTACATCACCATCATACATGCATTACTTTGCCCAGCAATCAGCCATGCCACCAACAGCACAGCCACAGCCCCCAGCAGCCGTTGCACCCTACCTGCCATCAGCTTACCCGCAGCATTCCCAGTACCGTGTACCCTCTGTGACTACACATGCCACTCAGCAGCCCATCCTGCCCAAACCAGCAGCCATCCCTGTCTCGACCCAACATCACACTTCAAGTACTTATGGATTGCACTGTGCAAGGTCACCGCGTACAAGTATCGCGCAAATTCATCCCCCAGAGCAACAGCATCCACAGCCTCACCAGCAGCAGCAGCAGCAACCTCAACAGCCACAGCCACAACAGCTTCAGCATCATCCACAGCCTCAGCAGCAGCAGCCGCAACAGCTTCAGCATCATCCACAGCAGATCCAGCAGCAGCAATCGCAACAGATTCAGCAACACCAACATCAACAACAGCCCCCTCAACAGCAGCAGCAACAGCAGACCCCACAACACCAACAGATTTCAGAGCATCAATTGCAAACCCAAAATCAACCCCAGCAAGCAGCTCACTCCTCTATGATGCCCGGTTTCGCTCAGAATTCCAGTATCACAAACCAGAACAAACCAGCCTCCCTTGAGGACAGTGTGTCAACAGGATTCTTGAAGGCACACAGTTTCGGGTCTAAATTCACCCAATCCAAGCACGTTGGATCTGTACCAGGACAGCAAGCACCAGCTCAGGTGCAACCGTCAACACCGCTATCTTCAACATCCGATGATATGGTCAAAGGCGTAGACACTCTACTTTTGCTCATGGCCTCAAATGGAGGCACTGATCATTGTGCTCCAAGCATTGACCACCAGCAACAACAAACAGAGCAACACCAACAGCAGCAGCAGCAGCAGGTCGCAGACTTCTTCGGAAAGGACAGTGGATTTCGACCCATGTCGCAAGCATCTTCTGGCAGTACTTCGACTTCAGATACTCAACTACTCAACCTTGCCAGTACTACAATGCCTATGCTCAGTGAAGCATCACAATATGCGGAAAATATCGAGCCAGTCGGCAGTCCGGTAAGAGTCAACTATCCCATGGATGCGACATGCGAAGCAGTACGCAAACGCCGCTCTGCTCCCGACCCACTGCAACGGGCCAAGAAGGCGCGTCGATCGCAGCCTATCATATCACAGAACAATGGCTTTCATCACAACTCGGCACTGTATGCAAGCAGCTCAACAACATCTGTGTCGGCAGTGACTAAAACAGTAGCAGCAGCAGCAGCAGGACCAGCACAATCACAAGTTACTGCTAATCACAATCATCAGCAGCAGCAACCTGTACTCAGGGATTCCACAAATACATCCTATCAACTCGCCAGCCTATGCAATAGTGTAGGATCGGCC